CACTACTGGTATATATACAATTGTTCAAGCTTTTGCAGATTAGTTTTTAAGCAATTTCTACAAGCCAACTTAAATAAATCACTTTATCAACGAATCTACTATTAATTTACCTCTGCTTCACTTTAATTCTATATCTCAAGATGAAGTTATTAGAGCCCTAAAAAAGCTTAAGTTTCTAGATTTTTTCCGGTACACAAAAATGGTTGCAAAAATGATGTTTGTAATTATGTATAAACATAAAACAAATAATAAATTCATGAATAGATGGCACAGTAAGTCGTTAGCATGGTACCAAGCGAAGGACAATGTGTGCAAATGTTAAGTCGTATTTTTAATTTAGAGCTAAACTTTTTATCTCTGAGTAAAGTTGAAAGTAACTTCTTGCTGAATAAACTATATAGCTATTGTTTGTTAATCTGTTAAGTTAACCTATATGTAACTTTACTCACAGGTGAAAATATCGACTCCTAACCTGCAAAATATTAACTTCTACCTTTAGAACATAATATATGATACATTTAACCAAAAGAAAATTTCTAAAATTAAAACTTACCTGAAGATGTATGGATCCGATAAAAAAATTGAAAACCATAGCCAACAGTCTAAAAATATTATTTCAAAACCGGTCGCCAATAAACTGACTGTCTGAAATAGAAAGTACTTTCTTTACAACATTCGTACTTAATACCAACCACTCACATATCGCTACTTCTAATTAGTCTAAAAATAAGTTAAGTTTGAAATTAGAGAAATATTCAACATTTTAATTAATAATATTTTCTTTATGGCATAACATGGTTTTATACAAATACAATGAGTTATTTTTTAATTTTGTAATGTTTAATGGAATTTCTTTAAAATTTGGAAAATAATAACATCAGAATGTCTGTAATTTATATCGGAACGATATCAAAACTTATTTCTGGATTTTCTTAAGGAAATTTTAAAAAATATCGTCAACGTATTTTACAATAAATAAATTAATAATTGTTTTAATATTATGGAAACCTTACATAAATATTAAAATGCTATATCGTCATTTTATTTCCATAATAAATATATTGTATGATAAAATTAGTATAAACTAATTAATTTATTAACTTTATTTTATTATCAAGTTTTGTATACAGTAAAGTGGGGTTACTTTGCACAAAATTTTAGTTTTTTTTTTTTTAATATCTATGGTCTGTTCAATGAGCTTTTTCAATAAATGAGGAAAAGTGCTTTTGTTTACTGTACTGTCTCGTGGATTTTTGGTTTTGTAGGTTGTTAAAATAAGGCGCCAAACTACCTTCAAGGGCTTAAAGAAGCTCACAGGTTGTGTCAAATGTATTGAATTTAATGGTAGAAAGAAAAATATAATATTGTTTCTTTGACACTCTATAATGATTATGACTTGATAAATTATCTTTTTTGGCCCATGGTATAACCATTTGTGTAAACCAGTCTTCAGATGCGTACTAATCAAACCACCCAGATTTGGTTCTATTATAACGAGTTCCAGGTGTCCCCCCGATACACCAGGAATCAAATAATCTCTCTGCCTTGTACACAACATATGGGGCAAATAAAGTTTCATCTGCAGCGGCAGCAAGCATGACGGATATTGAGGACTTTGTTGAGTTCATAATGCGTTTAGGGTATTTAATCCCTTTTCTTAAAATACATTTTGCCGATCCAGGATCTGATGATTGGTCTTATCGTAGTTAATGATAGAACCAAGTGGAATTCCTGCCACATTTCTTTCTAAATTATCAAAGTAATTGCTCATTTTCTCATCTGTTCTCTCAGCTCTTGCTTTTTTAATATTTTGGCTCAGTCTGTTGGATAATTCATGTTGGATCTATGAATAAAATTCTTGCACCAGTCTACACCTGGTAAACTGTCTTTGAACTTCTTTAGGCTCCAAAACCAGCAGGAGGTCAATGCGCCAGTTGGAGAAAAATAAACTATGAATTTCACAATAAAGATTAGGGCACCTATGGTCTTTATCATTTTTAGTACCCTCTATATAATTATAATAAGGCCTTTAATAAGGACTAGACATTAAAATGATCTCAAATCATATATAGCAGGAACGATACATTTAGAAAAAACTTTTTTAATACGATTCTAAATATTATAGATGAAGTAAGGATTTTAGAGAGAGTTGAAATTTCAACATTTTTGGAGTCGGAATAAATTGTTGATTTTTAAAATGTTCTTACGCCACTTGATAGATAATAAAAATCAAAACTTTTTTAAACAAGTGAAATAAGGATTTTATAAAGGATTGAAATTCAATATTTTTGGAGCTGCCTCAATTTTTTTAATATAATAAATTTTGAATGCTATAGGTAAAATATGGAGTTTAGAGAGGGTTGAAAGTATATGTATTTTTGGAGCTACAATTTTAATTTTTTTTTATAATTTTATCACTCGATAAATAATAAATAATACAAAAACCAATAATTTTTTTAATACCATTTTAAATGACATTTGTAAAATAAGAATTATGTGGTAAAGTAGAGGTTGTTTAATGCGTGTAAAGCAGTGTTTTATTGGAATCACCAGAAAAAACTTGTTGGATATTTCAAATTTTGTTCCAACTCAAAATGATTGAAATTTCAATACTTTTTAAAATCCTTACATCACCTCTTATAGCAATAAAAATGGCATTAAAAAAAGTTGTTTTCGTTTTATCATCTTTTGAGTAGCAAAATAAAAACCCGTTGCAGCTCCAAAAATATTAAAATTTCACTACCCTTTAAAATCCTTATTTTACACAATATAGCAGGTAAAATGGTATCTATCATGACCTCGATACTTTAAATTATCTCTTCTCGTTTAAGGAAATTTCTGTAGCTCTATCATCCACTTAAGTCTCCGCCGCAGAACCCAATATTATTCCTTTCATTTTCCTTAAAAATATATCTACCAATAGCATTTACAAACTTTTAGATCTATTCAATTTGATCTGGACCAAAAGAAACTACCCTAAAGTGTGGCAAGAATCAACTATCTTCCTCTTAAAAAAATCTGGCAAAGATCCTAGCAATCCTGATTTCTACAGGCCTATCGTACTAACATGTACCCTGTGCAAACTACTGGAGAAGATGGTTAATAATATGCTTATGTGGTATTTTAAAAAACATAACATTCTCTATTTTCCTCAAGCGAGATTTAGACCTCTACGCTGCACTGCAGACAATTTACTAGTAATTCAGGCATATAATTAATGCCTTTAATGAGAACCAAGAAGTCATAGCAGCAACATTTGACGTATACAGTACATTTGACTCCCTTATCTGCTTAGTTATATTAAAAACCTTAGAAGATATTCATATTAAAGTTGTATCAGAGTTATAGTCGATGGAAAGATATCTAACACTGTTACTGTGGAAAAAACGTATCTCAAGGTTCGTTGTTAAGCCCAACACCGTTTATCCTTTCCATTAACATTTGCAAAATAATTCAACCACCTCTGGGTTTTGCTCTGTATATTGACGATCTGTTCAACGTTTGCCACGGGATGAATACCATCACTACAGCCCACATTATTTAAAATACAGTTAACGCTCTTTACGAATGGTACACCCCAACAGGCTTCAACTTCTCAGCTACAATGTCTAAAGTCGGTGAGTTCTCCAGAAGAAGAAATAATCAGTTAAGTTCAAATATCACTGTAAATAATATCAACATTCCCACAGTCATAAAAATTTTAATTTTAGGGATCGATACGACAAATAGCTTATAGGCAAAGGGCACATTAAACAGATTAAAGAGAACTGTCTAGATGGGCTCAATATTCTAAAAAGCTTATTATACTGCCAGTGGGGAACTGAAGAGCAACACTTATTCGTTCTAGAATCGACTACGTATCAGCTACTAAAAGAGACTTAAGGCTTCTAAACACCGTACAAAATTCAGCTTTATCTATTTGATTGGGAGCATTCCGGTCAAGCCCAGTGACTTGCCTTTGTTGGGAAACCAATGAGCCTCCTCTCTGGCTAAAAAGACAATGACTTCTTTTGACATACTGTTTTAGGGTATCTGCACATCCGCTAAATCCAGCTTATAATGCAGAACAAAAACCCTTAGCAAAAGAATTCAACCAGACAGCCATTGTTTTCCACCACTTCTTTTCAATATAGATCTTAAACTACACCTATTATTCGTTCCTTTACTGCTCCCTAAAATAAAAATTTACCTAAGCTTAAGCAAATAATACAGGAGACACCATACTATTTTGAAATCTGGGAACTTTACTAAATACCACTGTGTCTCAAGTCGTTTATATTTTAATAACATTTTATGTGTTTATTACATTTTATTTTATTTTGTTTCATGACTTATATTTAATTATAAAATTTCATGATTTAATATTTTTCATATAAATAAATTGATCTTAACTATAAGTTGAGCAGGTAACTTCTTTCAATTTAGAGAGTGTTAAACGTTTCTTGTGTTTCAACATTAAACGTTGATGTTTAGTTATAGGTGCGGATATGCACTTGATTATTTATATTTTTTATTTAAAAATTTCATAAAAGGTAGAATTTAATATTTTACTATTTTTTCATACCATCTTGCGCAAACGCTTTCGCCTGGTACCAAACCAATGACCGACCGTGCTATCTGTTGATGAATTTGTTGTTGTTTTTTTTTTGAATCATGCATATTACATATATTATTATACATATATATTATTTTACTTTCTTCTCTCCCTTCTGAAAGTTGCTTAGGATATTTGTCTAAGAAAATTGGAATAGGAACTTGCATTGTAATTTTTTATATTCTTGTTTAATAAAAACTGCCAAAGTTTATCAGTTTAAATAATTTACTTAATGCATGTAATATATTTATTATTAATAAAGTAGGTATATCATTAAAATAATTTTGTATTTTTGCCATAAATACCCTTTAATCTTTTTTCCGATAATTTTTATATTGTTTTTCTTGCGATAAGAAGGCTCTTAGTTGGTAACTACACTATAGGTAGTTCTTTATATAGAAGCTCACTGAGATGTACAAAATTTTGCTATTTATTACTTTAAATCTATTTGCTACTTTTAATTGTGATAGGGAATGCGGATTGGAGAATATTATTTGTAAAAATAATAGTAAATACAGAAGTATTGATGGATCTTGTAATAACCTACAAAACCCCAATTGGGGAACGAAATATTCACTTTATGATAGAATACTTAATCCCAAATATGGAGATGGTAAGTTAACCTAAGTTAAATATATCATTTTTAATACCATGGCCAAATACACTTTTGCCTTTAAAAGACACTTATCTTCGCTTCTTTTGCTTTGCACATATTATGTGTATCCATATAAATCCGTACAAAAAAACACTTATCTTTTTGGACTTAAATCCCGAAACATAGAATAATTTTGTTTTTTGTTTGAAAGGCTGGAACAAATAATTTCTTACGATTTCAATTATTCTGTGGCTTACTTCTGATTTTTCTAGAAATAACAGAAAATCACAATTTATTTTTTATTTTTAAATTGAAACCTACTCTTTTTATTGTAAATTTGAATTTCTGAGATATTTTTGTATAATAACCTTGTATTGAAAATTATCTAGCAGCTGTCAAAATGGCCGCCATATTGGGTAATATTTTTCTAAACATGTTTCTATTAATTCGTTTAGGGAAAAAAATCTTTGTAAGCTTCAAAATTACCATTGAAACCCATTTATCGTATACCAGTAGCGTATCTAAGCATTTTTATTATTAGCAAACCATTAAATAAGTCCATCCGCTTTTATCTTCGTTGTTAATTGAGATATCGAAATAATTTTTTTTTGTTTAAAAGCATATAACGGCGTTGGTTCGTTTCGCCCGTTCCCGTTTCGTCCGTTGCACGAAAAATTCTCCTTTCGTCCGGTCGTTAAATTAAGATTATCAAGGGTACTTAAATATTCTCCTTTCGTCCGGTGATGTCAGGTAGGTAGGTAAAAAAAATATAAATTTTCCTTCACATTTTATCCAGGCTTAGGACTGGCAATTCATAAAATGAAATGTCTTAGCCTTCTATGTAATGCATACATTTTATATATTGGCGTGTTTAAAAATATTTGCGCTTCAAATATGAGCTTGTCTGAAAAAATATATACATATCGCATGCTGAGAACGAAAGTGACCTAACTCGAATTTCACGATTTTTGGGAAATTAAAGAAATGTATTTGCTTTTCAGGTACTGTTATGTTGTTTCTCCTATAACTTTTTTAAATTAAATATTACTTTCCAAATTTAAGTAATAAGTTATTCTATACACTCTCTACTTTTGATAGCCTTATTATAATATTTTTTTAAAACAATATTTATTATAATAAATATTTATCTAAAAAACAATTCCAAAAATGTGTCACTTCAGTACTAAAAAGTTTAAGACAATAGGTACTTTTTTTGATATAGGTCTGTTATATACTGTAAGTGAACAACATTTTTTGACACAACTCAAAAAAGTGCACTTTTGTTCTTAGCTATTACTAATATTATAATGTAACAGGTCAGTAAAAATATTATTTTTACAGTAAACATCTTTATTAAATGAGAATTTACGACACATTAAACAGAATAACTAGTGTGTATTATTTAGTTCACTACAAAACAAACAAAAAACCGTCTCGGGTAACAAAAATAAATAGTAATCTCTACTTAAATAATGTATCCTTAAAAAAACTTAATTAATGATTACTTCCTATTAAATTATAAAGAATTATAAAAACTTGCGTAGTAACTAGGTATTTGATTTTTTCTTACTAGATCTTTAAGATCTTTTTTCTTCTTCTCGTTTAAATTAAGCGCTTGCGTATACAATTTTTCTATTGTTATTTCATTAACATTTACCATTTTTTTTCTTTTATTACGAATGTTAACTGCAGTAAATTTGGCTTGCTTGTAAGAAGTTTTGTAATAAAATATAAATGTTTCTTCCTTTATAAATGTAAAATTTTTGATGTCGTTCCATCTTATAATCTTTTTTTCGCAGTCTTCGTTAAAATTGTAGCCCCAGAGTTCTTAGAGCTTTTTAAGATTAAAAAAAAAATCGTAATTGAGTTCCTTGACAATGAAGGGTTTACCGGATTTCCGAGCATTTTTAATTAGAGTCACGTACTGATAGGGTATGTATATGTTGAGTATGCAGCTCTGATTTTATCTAATTTTTTATTTACACTTACTTGTTGACTATATTGTATAACTAGATGGTTAGATGTTTTTTATGAAAGGTTGTCAGTTTTTGATTAAATAAAATAAAAGTCAGAACCAATATATTTTATTCCAAAATATTCAAAAGTATATAGGTCCAGCTTTTTCATTTTTCTTAATTTCTTTCTCAATCAAACTATGGACATTGTCTGCCTCATTTTGAGTATGCCCCTTAATTAAATATTTATGCGTAATGGTTTGAATGTTTTCAAAGTGGGCAACTGCATATGAGTATAGAGCAGCTATTGTTTTGTTTTTGTTCTGCCCGGTGCAATTGTCGGAGTAAAATGTAATGTTTAACTCTTCATTCGGGTGGTTCAGGCTTAAATTATTCAAGTAATCCAAAATGCAGGAACTTATCTCATTGGCCCCTCTTTGTCCCTGCGTCTCATCCCAAAAATAGCAGAAAACATCGCCATAAGCTCTATTTACTTCACTTTGTGTTTTATTTAATTCTGTTATGGTAAAGTCGAGGCAGTTAATTTTAGATGAGTAGTAAAAGTATGAAGGGCTAGGACATAACATTACAGATTGTAAATCAAACACAGCACAAATATGAGTTTTGTCAATATTCTCTCGATCTGTCCGTTTTTCTTGACGACATAATTCTTTCTCCACTAGATGATTATCATAACTTGTTTTAAGTTCCATCTTACTATTCACAGGAGCAAGTTCATAGGCCAGGCAAGTTTCGCATCTGTCTTTTTTTGGTTGAAAAAACTAATATTAAAATCCTTGTTAAAAGTATTAATAAACAACCAATAATCACATTCAGGTCTACTTTTTTCTTTTTGTTGCTGGTTAAAATCTTTCCATAGATCTGTAATAGTCTTACTCTCAGATATATATTCCTTACTTGTAGTGGCTCTTAAATAGTGAGATTCAATTCTTGGTATGGAATTGATGTAATCTTTTATATCCTGTAATAATTCTGGTTTCACTTTTTTCCTATTATCGTGTTTACCTCGCCTCTCTTGCTCTACAAAGCCTTGACTATTTGTTTTCTTCTTGACTGTTCTTAATTGTCTATCCGATATATCCAAAATATTTATAAAATATTTTTTGCATACACGAATATGGTTTCCATTTACTGTAAAATAAAAGGCATTATTAGGCAGCCTAGGTTTTTCTGCATTGGTGTATTTATATTTCGGTTTAACTTCTCTCATACTACATTGGATATAGGCACGCTGCATTTCTAAATCAGTTAGATTCCAAAAATGATTGAACAAAGTAATCCTTTCAGTGTCCATTATTTTATCGAAGCATTTCAATCTGCAATTACACACCTCCTTCATACTACGTGCTGGAACCTGTTTTTTTGATTTAGAAAGGGATACATAGGCTTGTCCACTATTTCTTAGACGTCTCATCTTATTTTGTTTCCACTGAGATGGGTTTCTTTTACGTTTTCTAGATTTTTTGGTATTATCAATAGCATCTTCATTATAAGGATTACGATTGTTGAACATAGCATCATTAGTAGCGCGTGACTGAGAACCGGAAGAAGACAAAGAACTGCTTGATAAAGAGTTATGCGTCCCCTTAATTTTATTAATTTGAAAGGTTGGATCAGAGTCACTTATATCTACATCACTTTCATCTGTATTAACTGGCGATATATTATAATTTGGATTAACTGTAGTTCGTGGAATACTGCTACTCGGGCCAACAAATTTAGAAGAATCAGAGAAAGAAGATCTTGACGAAGTGCTTGACGAAGAACTTGACGAGGAACTAGATGAAGAGGAACTACTTGAATTAGATCTGACACCTTTTATCTTTTGGGCTGATTGGATTGGATCATCCTTAGTTAATTCAACTTCAGCATTTGTGATGTTTTGTGGATTAAACTCTTTTGATATCTAAAAATAAATAGTTGTTACTATCTAATACTTAAATGTTTCTTAAAGTTGAAGCTACTTTAATAGTATTAATAATTATATTAAAGTTTTATTTTTCGGCCATATGTGTTTAAAGTTTAAACGTTTTAATGTACAGTTATTGGGTGTATACATTCAGTCAAAAAGACATTGGCTTATATTGCGGACGTAAAATTAAATAATATTTAAAAATTCCTACAACTGGACGAATAGAAATTAAAAGCTAAAATTCAGCAAACTTCACCCTTTTTATTAGTGAGGTGTGGGTGCATAAGTTTTAAAAACACTTTTTTTTTATACAATTTCCATGGTAATATTTTACTATAATTAAAACACAGATAAGCAATAAAAGGGTGAAAAGCTCTATTTTATTTTCATGAAGGTATATTAAAATTTTTCATTTTTTTTTCAGCATAATTTCTCATCTAGGTCATTTATCTAATTAACTTCTGCTGAATTTGAGCTCTTAATTTCTATTCGTTTAGTTGTAGGAATTTTTTAAACGCCCAATCACTCTAAAAATAAAATGTTCAATTTATCCTATTTATGCTTTTCTGTTTTGTTCGAGAATAAGGTACTATGTTCCTCTTAATGAACACACACGCACACACACGCGCTCGCGCACACACACGCACTCGCCCACACACACGCACCCACACACACAGACACACACCACACTTAACTTAACGTTTTGTAATAATTTACTAATTTTACCTGGAATTCACTGTCATCAGACCTAGTTTGAATTGTTGATTGTGTCTTGTACACATCTATAACTCTTTCTGATGTATTTTCGATTTTAGAGAGACTAGGCGGAACTATGTTTTCTTTATCATGTTCATAATTCTGCTGAAAAATAAAACAACTATTTTAAAGCTAGAAACTATAATTAAAAACAACTAGTTAAAAAAATAATATTATCATTTTACCTCTGTTTGTTGATTAATTTCCAACATATGTAATATTAAATCAGCTCTTCTTTTCATTTTTTCTTAAATTAAAGAGACTTTAAATAGTTGTTCCAACACTAAAAAAATAATAAAATGACGTATTAAAAATTGTGTCCTTTACTTATTAGATGGTTTCGATTGTAAATAGACACATTCACAAAGAGAACAAATAATTTTTCTAAAATTTAATAAAGTAAAAACTTATTTCTAAATGATCCACAGATTAAACGCTATTCATTAATAAATTAATGACTGAATTAGTTTTAAGACGTATTGAATAGCCGTGTTTTAAATCGTAAAATGACTCAACAGTAAAATCGGTCACTACAAGATTAAAAGTTACTGTTAAACTTACCTTAGTTTTTTGTCATGCAAGGACTCTATTGAGATTAGGTCACTACTAGAATAACTGCTAGACGTCCTCTAGCGAACACTCCCGGCTTATAACTAAACTCGCCACTGTTTCGTTGAATGATGTGCGGGGAGAGTATGAAATGAAAGGGACGGCGATATTGTATTCACCCTTTTTTAACCAAAAAGCGTCAGTTTATTATTTTCTGGGGAATAGAATATGCTTTTTTAAGTCGTTTTATGTATTTAACTCGATTTGCCAAAATGTTGGATTGAGTCACTTTCGTTCTCAGCATGCGATATATCTATACAAAGTTTTATGCAGCATGCTGACTTGTCGTGGTTAGTTTATTAATATTTCACAATGTATGTCAATCGTCGCAGCGTTTCTGGCAAATCAATAGTTTCCTCAACATATTTGGTGATAGTGTTCTCGATCCTCCTATCCAAATCACAATATTTTTTTGAGCCTTTTTCGTGTTGCCTACATTAGCTCATATTGTTCAATAATTATCTTATAATGAATGGAGTCGTCATGTAGGATAGTAATTATCTCAAATATATTTGGATGGACTTTTTTGCATTTTTTGTTCAGTCTACTATGACAAGCTTCAGCGACGTTTGTGGTTCGATGGCGACTGCGGAAACACACCCAATATCTTTGAGAGTTTAACCACTCTTTAACAAAGTAATCGTTAAATTTAATTATCTTTTCCATATTTAGAGAGTTTCCATAATTTTCAACCAACCTTCGTCAATTTGGTGGGGAGGTAAATGTGCCAGAGCAGCACACATTCTCAAATGCTGCCTCACGTCTTCCCTTTCGATATACTCTACTGAAAGTCCAAGCTCTTGAATTTTTCCCCAGAGTGCTTGGTTGAAGTGAAAATTACAACCTTTTATTTTCACTTCCGGAAATATTTATATAATTCCGTTAATGGTAGCTTTTTCAAAGTCTAGATGGAACTCTACTGGTTTGAAAGCAGGCACGTTTTCTTTTAAAATTGTAAAAAGTCTTGTATATGTCTTTTCGCTCTTATCCGGTAACAAGGCATATATAATTGGGACAACACAAGTTCTTTCCTCAGTACTTTCCATATCCATGTGAATAACATAAAGTTGTTGGAATACTGTGGGGCAGCTTTTAAATGTCCCATCACCCAAAAAAACTTTCTGTTTTAATTATATTGCGATAGGGCCTTAGTCACTCCTATTTTCCAAAATATATTACCAAAAAAATTTAAAATTTTGTGCGTTGATAGATTTTCAGATTAACGTAAAATTCAAGCAACTACCTATAATCGTATTATTCGTATTCTTACCTTTGTAAACAATTATAGACTTAAAAAAATTAAAATATCCAGTTTTATTAATTAATTATGTCTAGTGGACGAGACGATAACAGTTTTTGTTTAGCTACTCACCGTTAGATGGTGGCACAAAAATTCCAATAATACTTGATTTGTCCCAAGTCACCCAAATCTACGTTATATTTTTTCTAGTGTAACATTAAGTTAAACTTTTATTTTTCAAACGCCAAATATTATTTTGTTTTTTCGTTATGCTAAAAATGTGGAAAGCTTAAAAAACTTGACTCATGTGATTTAAGAAATTAAAAATAATAAAACTGACACAAAAAGATATTTATTAAAATAATTACAGAAAATTTGGAAACTAAAGAAAAGCTACATATTTATTTTAATTGTTTTTTAGGAGTGCATTCATTTCCCAAAGCTATTAGTGGTAAAAATTTGCCCAATTCACGAAAAATATCAACAACAATTTATAAACAAGGTATGACAGAAACTATTTCAAAGATCAGTCTAAGCACTATGCAATATGGTCAAATAGTGACCCATGATATGAGTTTTACATATCTACGTAAGTATGCTTTTCTATTTTTTTATTTATTTTACCTAACGCTAGCCTATTTATAACTCATCACGCTCCTTTTCAAGCAAAACCAGACGTAAGGATAGTTAACAAGCCCAACTTCTCCATACCAAAGGTCTCCTCTGAAAGATGACCTACCCTCGCGAAATTAAAAGAAACTTGTGTAAGGGGCTGTAAGTCCGACTAAGGTAAAAATTTCAGCTAGTGACTAGATTATGATCTAATTATGGTTCTACTTAAGTTTAGCAATATAATATGCTGTTAAGGGCCAGTTTCAAATGAACCTTAATGGCAGATTTAGCCAACTAAACTTTTTAATTAAAGTTAACTTTAAAATATCTTAAAAGTAGTTATTTCTAAATGGTTTTCCCGAGGTATGTATTTTCATTATTGTAATGTTTATCTATTTTAATAAGTTTACTATTTTAACGTATTTAAGGTTTAAGGTTATGCCGACGACATAGTCATATTTGCTAGAGGCAAGTTTAGAAATACCCTGTGTGATATAGTCCAACGAGGACTAGAACATACCAACAGATGGTGCCGTGAAGTAGAACTTAATATGAACTCTACAAAAACAACACTAGTAGCCTTTTCAAGAAAAAGAAAACTTAATCTCAGAACCGTTAAATTAGACGGGATAGATAGAGAAAAGAAAAATGAAGTCAAATATTTAGACCTAACCCTGGACAACAAACTTCTCTGGAACATAAATGAGAAGGACGTATTAAACAATGCCACAAACGCCCTAATGGTATGCGGGTAAACGATACGGATGTAACCCAAACACACTGCGATGAATGTATACTGCAATAGTGATACCAATCATCACTTACTGGGCTATAGCCTGGAGTAACAGAACTAGTTTAGCTACTACGAGAGCTAATGTCTAAAAAGTACAAAGACTATCCTGTGTTTTCATCACCGGTGCAATGAGAACCTGCCCTACGGCCGCAATGGAGGTAATCTTAAACCTCACCCCTCTACATTTAATGATAGAGAATGCGGCAAAAAGGACACGATATAGAATGATCAGTACCGGAGTAATCAGACAAAAGTCTCCTTGCTTCAGGACCAAAGATACCTGGGATATGCCCCAGGATGAAATGATAAAGGAGTACAGTTTTCTAAAAAACTTCAAAACCACAGAGTTGGGCTGCAAGAAAGAATGGAGCCAAGAATCAATCACGCTTGCAACCGAAAGACATGCTAATAAGTGGTATACGGATGGTTCTTAAACCATAGAAGGAACTGGAATAGGAGTGTATGGGCCTAGAACCAAGCACTCCGAAAGCTTTACGTTTTACACGGAGAGAAACTATCGTAGACAAGATCGATAGCCAAGCAGCCATCAAAGCGCTGAACTCTTACGTAATCAGCTCAAAAATGGTCTGGAGATGCCTAGAACAATTGAATGAGCCAGGCGAAAAAAATAGAAATACTCTCACTTGGGTCCCGGGACATAACGGGGTTAGGGTAACAAGATTGGAGATAGTCTCGCAAGGAAAGGAGCTCAAACACCCTTTGTGGGATCTGAGCCGTTCTGTAGTATCAGCAGTAACATAATATAAGGAGAGATTAAAAAAGAATTGGGCAATAGAAGAACCGATAATTGGAACAATTTCTTGGGGCTAAGACAGGCTAAGATACTTGTAGGTGAATATGACCAGAAAAGATCGGAAGCCTGCATCTGCCTGAGCAAGAACAGGCTACGTATTGTAAACTTACTGGGCATTGCCGACTAAAAAGACACCTTAGTAAACTGAAAGTAGTAGAAGATAGTGAGTGCAGATTCTGTGAAGAGAAAGTCAAAACCTGCATTCACATTCTAACTGAATGTGTAGCACTCCAGAATCCAAGGGCACTATACCTAGGAACATATCAAATAGAAAAGGGAGATATACCTAACGTGAAACCACTCCAAATCCTATACTTATTAAAACTACATTTGCCGGAGCTGTTCGTCGGAGAGCATCGCAGGTTCGAAGTTAGAAAATTACATGAAAGAAAACTTAAGCTGGAATGAAGAAAAATAGTTAAGAATTAAATTTAGAAAAATTGTTTATAGAACACCACTGGATTCTAAAGAATATGAAGTTCCAGGTCTAGAATCCAGAGAAGCCTAGGAGTTCTATGAACTAGGTATCCTCTGTACAAATATATAATATTTGGATAGGTCTTTACGTTTTTGTCCAAATAAAACTCAATAATTTAAAATTTATTAAACAACAGTTTAAAAAATATAAAATGAGAACAGGAGAATCAAAGTCTTGACTACCTACCTAATACAAGGGAATTTATTTATCTCGATTGGCCAATTGACACTTACAACAACTTACATTTATTTTATATAGGTAGACTCATTTACTTTAAATTCCTATGCTAAAACGTTGTCTGACTATAAAAAAATAACTAAACAAATCAAGAAATATTAGGAGCTTACCTGTGAAAGTACACAAATAGACAGAGACACGTATGTCGCCTTACCTTGTCGGCTTGACTCGCTTCTTAAGACTCAAGTTGGCCGATAATTATCGCGCCAAGGACAGAGACGAGGGACGAATCTGAATTGGCAGCACCTTATATAAGTTTCCTTAGCTTTTCGGGGTTGACTATAGCACCAAGGACAGGGATGAGGGACGAATCGGAACTAATAGCATGGCTATTAAAGTATCCTCAGCTTTCAAGTTGAATTTGGTTTACAGCTAATCCTCGAAGATAATTAACCAAAATCGTAATGGATTGGAAAATTGGGAACCCCAAGTTGGTATGTTATGCTAAACAACGTAATTCTCAAAAACCCAAAAAAGGGCCTTGCCTTCTACCTGATCTGTCTTGACCTTAATTTCTTGGTAAATAAAACCACCGATACCCTCGTCACTAGCATCACAACCTATAATAAACTCTTTATCGAAGTCTGGAGATGATTAGATTAAAAATTCAACTAGTAAAGTTTTTATCATTACAAAAGAACTCGCATTTGCTAAAATTTAATGTAAGGTTAGCTTCTCTAAGGATTTCCTTAACTTCATTCAAAAGTTTAACATGATCTTCAAATGAAGACGAAGTAATTATAATATCATCGAGGTAGGTAAAGATATTGGGTTCAAATTTTGGACCGAAAAGGGCATCTACTAAGCACACTAATGCAAAGAGCAAAGGGGACGACATTAAAAAGACCCCTTCCAAGAACACTAAAAGCTGTTTTTCTCTGGATGAGTCATCTAAAGGGAACTGTCAAAATGCTTTTCGTAAATCAATACTCGAAATAAATTTAGCATCACGCAACAATGCTAAAATTCTATCAATTCTAGGAAGAGGGTAGCTATCATGTTTAGTAATTTCATTAAGTTTTCTACCATCGAAGCAAAGTCTATATTCACCTAATTTTTTCTTGACTTAAAGTACCGGACTGTTTCACGGACTATGCGAAGGTTCAACTACTCCCAATTCTAACATCTCATCTAACTCTTTATTTAAAATCTTTAACATGTTTGGTGACATAGTGTATTGTCTGACTTTAAAAGGTTTTGCATCACGTGTAATCAATATTTAACCTAATTTTGTCAGTTCTGCCTAATTTATTTACACTACTGACCTCATTAAATGAATCTATAACTAATTGTCTTTCTAATCTTTGCTTGGTTGAAACATTATCATTACATTTGAATTCGAATTTTCTCCAAAATTTATCTCAGTAATGAATGTTGCATAAGCAATAGTTTGATTAAAATTACCTTAAAAGTATAAATAAAAGATGTTTAATGTAAAGTAATTATTTTAAAACGCTACAACTTCTTTGAGAAGATAGGATTGGAAGGGTCGTTATAGGCATTGAAACATTTCCTTGCTGCTTTAGCGAAGGGTGGACAATAGACCTTTTAGATCGCAGTGTACTAACACCACATTCCCAACATAACATAACATGTTAAAGTATATTCACTAAAATACTAATTTGTTAATTAACAAAATTTATTTGTACTTCTAACTACAGTGATTTATATTAATATCCAAATGTTGCGCTAATGCATTCTCCACTTGCTACACTCCATTCAAATTAGATTTCTCGTCATATTTCAAGTACATTTTAGAACGAATGATTCAAGGTGCGTTTTAATCATCCGCTTCTGCTTCCGGAATTGTCGGTTTAGTCGTTTTAACCTGTCAGATTAAAAGAAGAAATCCGACAATTCCGAAGCAGAAGCGGATGATTAAAACGCACCTTCAGTTAGATTGTTGGCGATCATAGGCGTGTCTATAGATGGGATCTTGAGGTTCATCGAAATGGTAACGCATGGCGATTTTTATAATCTGGATGGCACATCAAGAGAAATTAAATTTCTGCTAAATAAATTCACATAGTCTTCTGTAGAACTCAATGCCCGATGTTTCGTTTATGAGTTATGAAGGAGATGAACATGGAAAATGTTTAGAAGTATGTTATAAATAAATTGTTATAATTGCAGCTCCAAATTCTATACCGTGTTGTACAACAAACTTAAAAATGTTGGATAAAAAAGAAGTGCCAAAAGTGTGTGCATCAATTGAAATACCTAATGATGATCCTGTTTATAGTTACATAAATGCTACGTGTATGAGGATGGTACGCACTATTACCAACAATGAGAGAGCATGTAGCCAATCCCTAAAATATGACGAACAGGTAAAACAATTAAGATTTAATTATTTTAAAACACAAAATTTATTCAGCTGACGCTGGTTTTAGTTATATTTTCTTTTATTTTTCAAATTCCTCGTTTTAAAAACTTTGACAAAAATTGTTTAATATTTAGCAGTCTATTGATGCAGAAATTTAGGAATAAAATTAAGTTTTTATCTATTATAATAACATCAATTACGTCCCAAAAAAAATAAGCTGGCAGTTACTAGTTACAGTTTAAGTATTGTTGTTTTATCTAAAATAAAGTTTATTGTGTTATATGTTTTCATATAATGGAAGATTTATGAAAAAACCACTAAATCCCATTCTGAAAAAGTTTTCTTGAATCAACCAAAAGTGAATCTCGTAAATCTCTGTGTTCCTCGGTGTTGTTATTTATTATCATTTCATCATGTAGTATTAAGATATCTATTAGAAATTCGCAAATATTTTTATTGAAACGAAATAATTTTACAAATTTAGCTTTGTTAATGTCAAAAAGATTTTCAGCAACTCTTCTTTTATTAAATAATTTTATATGCCGTTATATTTTTACATTAGCATTACATTAATTATTTCTTCCACCGTAAGAGTTTATCCTGCATCTGTTTCTTTTTCAATATTGAAAATATGGCTTTACTATTCTCACCACTTTACTTTACAATGAAGAATGGTCAAAATTCTACTACTTGGCAAGATTTAAATCAGCTCGAACTTTGATCACCTTGTACGACCTGCAGTCCAACAGCTTAACTAATGAGCTATGTTTATATATTAACTAATATATAATAATTATTACGTGTTTAATTGTTTTTTCAGCTAAGTGAAGTTAACAGCTACTTAGATTTATCAATTATATATGGACAGACTTACAAAGATCACAAAACTCTCAGAACTTTTATAAATGGAACTCTTCTAGTGGATATAAGGAACAACCGCGAATGGCTTCCTAGTTCAGTAAAGTCGCTGTGTACTGGAAATTTCAATACTGCTGAAAGGTGCTATCGTTCAGGTAATTGAATTTAGAATCTACAAAATCTATATCTATTTAGAGACCGAATAATGAGTAGGTACGAGAAATTGTAACTATAAGAGAATGGATTAAGATTTATTTACCTGTTACACATTACCCACGATTACCAGAAAATGCTTTTCATGTTCCTTTTCAAAGTAAGCAACTAATGAATAAATGTCATAAATCTCGAAACGTTATTTAAATTTGTTAAAAAGTTACTACAATAATTATTCCAAAAATAAGTAAAAAGTTAAAAGAATGACTTAAAGGGTTAAATCCATCATCTAAACATATTATTTCGTCATCCAATTAACCTAATACTTTTTAGATTGTAACTAAGTCAATATTATAATCAAAGAAGAAATCCTAACTTTGTTAAACATTTGCCTGAAACAAAATTATTTTTAATTTCAAAATAACATCTACTCAGCAGATGAAGGTATTAATATGGGGAATCCATGAAGCCCGTTGCTTGCAGAAATACTTATGGATTATATAGAACATCAAATTCACAGCAATAAGTTATGTAAACATTGCCTTTGTTGGCATAGATTTGCTGATGACATATTGACTGCTTTCATTGGTACTAATAGACAGTTAAATTATTAGTTTTTATCAATAATAACTAATAATAACTAAGCCCATAGTTTTGGGATATTACAGTACATAACAGTTCATTCTCATCCATATAAACACAAGTTAGCCACATACAACAGTATGATCCATAGATTAGTTATTATCCCGCTTACCAAAGAAAATTTCACCAAATAATTAAATATTATTAAACAAAACGCAGTAAAGTTAAACATGAAAAGGAGGTCGTCCTTGCAAAAGGTCCGGTTGTTTTGAATTTTTTATGTAATGCTAGGACCTAAACCAATATTAAATAACCAGATTTTGAATTTTAAACGTGCCGTGCCGTGTCCAAAAAGTGCAATTTTTTTCGAGATGGTTACTTATATTATGAAACATATTCTGAAATACGCATCCCATGTCAAATATTTTACGAAATAAAGTTGCAGTTAATTTGCTTTCATTTTAGACCAGACTAGTACCTGTAGGCGGTTCTTTCGAAAATGACAGATAATCATAAAACATAAGTCATAAGTTCGATGAATCCACAATTGCCTAAGAGTATTGGGCAATGAAAACAACAAGAGACGCCTATTAACTCTTCTTTATGACACCTTTTAGAAGGAGGAAGTAAAAGTGGCTGTTTCCGAAGAAGATACGGATCAAGAGATCGTTATTACAGCATTTTCAAAAAGCGCAGTAGCCGATCGGGTCTTCATAGTGGGAGAAGACGTCGACCTGTTCGTTCTTCTCAACGGTTTAGGCGCTAAAGAGACAAACGTCTACCTTCAGAAGAACACGAAGGGCGAATTTGCGGTTCAACAACCAGGTTTACCAGAGATCAACAGGGACAGTACTATTCACCCACGCGGGTGCGATACCACCTCAGCACTGTTTGGCAAAGGAAATACTAAAATTGCTACACTCCTGAGGAAGAATGAATCACTTGCTGCGCAAGTGAAGGTCCGTCTTTGGCCAGACCCCACCACACAAGTCGTGAGAGAAGCAGGCACCAAGTGCTACCTCCAAGTGCAAAAGTGACGGAGAGTCAACTTGAATCCCACTGATTGTGGGTGGAAGCTGTCTTCTCACTGACTCACCCCATTCCCACCATCATGAATCCCGCACCTCCTGTCCTTTTGCAAATACAAGAAAGGGTGCTCTGGAAACTTTGAACCGCATTTTAATTTAAATAGATAGAAGGAGAATAAAAGAATGGAGAATGGAATAATGGAGAATGGAAGAAATCAGGACAGAGATTAAACTACAAATATCAATTAAGAAGACAATGAAATTAATAAAAATTCAATGTTTAGTGTCAACTACCGTGCCTCCACGTTTTCGCCAGGTAACGTAGCTGTTTTATTTACCGCCACGTAAGAGAACCATTTTTCTCACGTGGCAGAGATTTTGGCAATACATTTTCAAGTTTATAATTTTGTGGTAGCCACGTTTTAACCACAAAAATGTTACTGGGGTAAGATAATCGATGGTTAAAAAAAATTAAAAAGTATGATGCTTAGACAACGAAAGCTCGTCGAGTTCGCGCATAGTGTTGTGCAAAATATGGCTATTCGCGATTCAAAATAATTTTTAACCCGCGCTGTGTAAGTAGGTAAAATAGAATACAGTGTTGTCATACCAATTTATTTATTTGTAATATGTCATACCAATTTATTTATTTGTAATTGAGTTTTGAACCGATAGGCAAAGTTCATTTTATAGACATTATTTCTAGCGTGAAGCTAAGTAGAACGGCTGCTTCATTTACCTTAATTGCTTTACGACATTTAAAAAAATAGTTTTGAGTTCCAATTTAATAAAATCGTCATAGATTTGTAACGATTTTAATAACAACGTAACATCCTACTTACAGTTTTTATAAAATGTACTCTCAGAGGACATATAGCTTAGCTTGTATCGCCAATCTATAGGTGCGTACAAATATAACGCGCTGTGTCTAGGCGCATATTCAGAAACCACCGACACGTTAGGCACTCGGAAAAGTTCGATGGCGCGAATGAGAAACTAGTAAAATCATGACGCGTTAGATCTAATACGTCGGCGATTTATGAAATTAGAAATATTTGTTTACTGGGCATCAATTACTTATCACGAGATATAAAGTTTTAGTTTCCCTTTTTTATTGCCAAGGTATGTGCAAGTCTCTATTCAGATTATTTATTAATTTATTGTTCATGCCATAAATATGTGATTTTAATTTAATAAAACTAGTAATAAATTCAAAATGAATTCAAAGATATTACCTAATATTACCCCATTATTTTGTAAAAGGAAAAAAAAACTCAGGTACTCCACAAATAAGAAAGTATATATCAGTATGAGAGTATCTAACGTGTCGGCGGTTTCCGAATATGCTGCCGGGGCCTAGGCCAACATCGGCCGAAGTATATCAAATGTGTAAGGTATTGTGGATCTACGGCGCGATGGCAAGCTGTTAAAGTAACCATTGTGATGGAGGTATGTAAATCGGGTTTTTCTCCAAACTTTTTAGCTAGCGTTTTTTCTTTACCTCTAAAATACCGTTGAAATGTTTTATTTTTCCTCTGTATCACTATCAGGTTTTTTATCAGGTCGCCTACTAATTTTCTCCATACTTTCTTTTTTAGAAATTTTTTGGTATGAGTTTCCTGTCTTTTGTACTCGTACTGCCTTGTTTGAATTAGCATTAAATAATCTACGGCTCAAAGGAAAGCAACATACCTATTTTTTTATTTAAAACATTTATTCACCTGTTATAATATCTGCAGACTGATCCATTACTATTGATGAGGTATGGATGGAGGTATGTAGAACGTGGTTTTCTCCAAACTTTTTAATTGAAATGTTTTGTTTTTCCACTTTATTACTGTCGGTTTTCGTGTCAGTTCGCCTATTAATTTTCTCCATACTTTCTTTTCTAAAAATGTTTTGATAGAAGTCCCCTGTCTTTTGCACTCGTATTGCCTTGTTAAGATTAGCTTTAGGTAATGGAGTACTTATAGGCATTTAGGGAAGGTGTATACTTCGTTAATATTTAAGGGTAGAAGGACTTTTAAGACTACCTGTTTTAATTGGTTTGTTGACTTCTACCATTGATGTTGTATTGTGTTTATCTGTGACTTCTTTATTTTTAGGCTTCTAGAATGAAGCGTCTCCGATGGCACATCTGCATCTGTGGGTGATGAGGTTGCGCCTGAGGGCTCTGATATTGGAAAAAACTTGATCACGAGCGGGGATTTTGTACGTAACATGGCTTATTTGTTAAACGCGATTTTTAGGTTATAGATCTGATGGCCCGAAACTAAATTAATAGCAGTCAAAGTTCAGAGAAAGTGTCCCCTGATAAGGTACAGAAGATTACTGATTCTATTTGGCCCGGCCCGTTGTAGGTACACAGCACCGTACAAATCTTACAAACTTGGCCCGTCGTTTAGAGATAGCAATGAGATAGCATTGAGCAAATTAAAATTTGTTTTCGCGTACTGTGTTTGATCTGCGGATTCTTCAAATTCATAACAGCCAAGTCTCCGCACTACACGTATCATCAATCTGCCCTAAATCACCGGTTATATTAAATCTTGTTTTTATAGCATCATGGCGTCAATCGCTTTATCTATCGAGCATCAAAATGAAAAATGTAATACATATTACGCATGTGTCTTATAAAATCCTTGAAAATAACTCAATAAAACTCTTTGATATTTTGAAGATTCAAACTTCGATTTTGGAAATAAAATTAAATGCAACTAATTAGAAGTTCGTAGATTAAAATACTCAAATTCAAAATTCTTGATTTTACGTATTAACATTCACCCCCTTATGAGTGAATTTCAACCCCTGAAGTAGACTGAACGACTTGTGTAGGGGAAGGGACGGCTATTATTATTATTTGCCGTGGCGCTCCGGGGCGACTTAAAGATGATTGATGGTGCCATTTGACTTACAGGTGAGGAAAACCCGGAAAACCTCACCCACCATCATCGAGACGGTAATGCATGGCGATTTTTTAATCTGCATGTCATATCAACAGAAATTGAATTTCTATTAATACGGCACACATCAAATCCTAAACCGAACCATGCAATTTAATTAAAAATCCACATGGTCTGGTCTGGGATTCGAAGCCCAGCAGTCTCAGACTTGCCTATAAATGAATATAAGCGCGTTAGACTGCTACACTACCGACCCGATAAGCAGTAAGTCACCTATAAGGGCAACATATATATCGCGTCGGTATTAGGTGTCACTTTAAACCTAGTAACATTATATATTAAATTTGGTTCCATAAGATTTTATTTAGAATAAGTATTATAATTTTAGGCGATCCAAGAACCAATCAAAATCCCCAACTAACAGTAATAATGACCCTATGGGTCAGAAATCATAATAATATTGCAAAAAATCTGCAGAAAATGAACCCACACTGGGACGATGGAAGAACATTTGAAGAGGCTAGACGTATAAATATTGCCGAGCATCAATTTATATCTTATTATGAACTGTTACCTTTATATCTTGGTAGAGAAGAACTCGTAAAGAAGAAGATATTGTACAATACTGATGAATTTGTAAATGACTATGATCAAAATATGAGGCCGCATATATATAATGAACATGCTCATAGTGCGTTTAGACAATTTCATTCTCTTATTACAGGAAAGTTAAGGTAAGAAGGGAACAAATAATTTTAGGTCATTTTAAACTACTTAAATACTTCATTTTTCTAACATAAAGTCACCACCAATATTTGAAGAAAATCGCATTATTAATAACTGAGATATTAGGGTGTATTCATGAAGAGCAAGATACACTGTACATTTATTAACTAAAACAAAATACGTCCACAATTTAATTAGCAATTATAAGTATTAATAAAAATGTTTTTTGACCTCCAGTAATCTCTGTAGGTGTGTTAAAGATATGGTGTGTCTCTACTTACCGCGTGCAGTATAGTAGTAGTTAACAGTGTTGTCATATCTAGGAAGTATGATTGCTAGGTGATACATATCGGATCCTACTAATTTCTAATTAAATAAGAATAAGTAATAAAGCATGATCCTAAAAGTTATGAATAATAAGCCGCAGTTGAACTCTAGTGGGCATGGAAATCATTTACTGTACCTAGCTGTTGAGGCTATAAAGGTACCTAATATAGATAATTTAGCTATTAAAACAATGTACATTTACATAATACGTGATTTGTTGTTATTTCTTCAACAGAACACAAGTAAAAAAGTTAATTTTTTGTTTAATATTTAGGTAGTACCAAATTAAGAAGATGTTTAACAAAATTTATTATTTCAGTGTTTATAATCCAGATGGTTTTTCATATGATAGTATATTACTTAGAGATAACTATAACCGTCCCGAGTCTTTAGAACAGTATAAACTTTTTGATGGATTAATAAGAGGATTATCAATGCAACCTCAGATGGAATCTGATATATACTATGATCCAGATGTAAGTATTTTTGATTTAGTTACAATCTACAAAGAATTACTGACGTAGACTAATGTGATTTTACAGAAAAAATTTATTTAAAGTCAGTGTTAAATAGTTTTAACCCGTATTTCATACTAAAAAGCTTATCAACAACCTCATTCTTTCAATTTCAATTTTTAAAACAGCACTGACAGTGAGAACTAAATCACTGTATAATATCAAACATATGTATATTAATTTAACTGTTTGGACTTTCAAAGAGTATTAAAAATATAAAGGGTTGAATTTAAAAGTTAGATGTATTAGAACAAAGAGGTAAGTGCCAGAATTCAACTTTACTTCGTCAAGCATTTCTAAAAACTTTAACAGATACGTTTTATTAGGGTGACCAGACGTCAGGATAAAGCCGGACATGTCCGGCTTTTTTGCTTAAATGAAAACGTCAGGCCGGCTTTTTGTCGTGTCCGGCTTTTTATCAATCGAAAATTCTAAATAACTAGGAACGCACATTATCATTATTCCTGGTTCCGACTTTATCAAGCTGGCAATATCCCAATATTTTAAAAGAAATTGGTTCTTCTGAAAAGTATAAGTAGTTTTTATCTAAGTAAAAAATGTTACATTTTTTTATATAAATATATTTGTTAAATGTCAGGTTTTTTTATTAAAAATCAGGCTTTTTTTGTCCTGGTTGTCCTACTTTTCTGCAAATAAATCTGGTCACCCTAGTTTTATATATAAGTAGATTTACCAAGAATTATAATGTAGAATGAAATAATAATCATCTTCTTAACCGTGGTCAATATTCTTGACGAATTAGTAAAACTCGAAATAAATACCAAAATGTATTTATTAAAAAGAAAATACAAAAAGGGGGTGCAACTAGTTTTAAAAGTAAATGTATATGGTAAGAAAATATAGTTAATGGTGTTACATACTTATAATGGCAAATTAAATGAAGATAAGAAACATTTAGTACAAAGGTGTAAAGAAAGCTCCTTTTTTTATTGTCAGAATATCAAAGATAAAGAAGTTGATTTACGTTAAAGAAGGCATTAATTTCAATCCAGTGATTAGTAATTATAATTCATATACAAATATCACTGAGGACATTGCTCTTCTTTTTAAAAGGCTACGTGTATTAAAACGGTTTGAATAATAACTTTGAGGAAGTCCTCTTATGGTATAGGGTATAAATACCATCACTTAAAAAACAAGCTGATTTAAAAAATCTTCGTTGGACTCTTTACAAATGATTAATGTAATTGAAGTGTATCGGACTCCAAATAATATTGGCATATTCTAATTTTGACCAAAACCCATTGAAAAGTCATTGAATAATCTCATATTTTTATTGTTATATCATTAATATTAAAATGTTTCAGGTTACCCAGTGTGCATTTTTACATGCCTTTAAGTTTAATGTTGACATAAAAGCTATTGATATTCAAAGAGCTAGAGACCATGGTTTAGCGTCTTATAATGACATGAGATCTTACTGTGGTATAAAAAGAGCAAAAAACTTCACAGACTTCTTGGATGTAATGGATAGAGATGTAAGTTTTTTTTTTATATTAGTTTGTTTAATAAATCGTGTTACAGTTCGTGGCTACATTCGCATGGAATAATCTATTTAAATCTTGATAATAAATTAATAGGATAATATAAAGATTAACACACAGAATTAAACGAATGATATCAGTACTATCGATAATCACATAAGCTAATAATTACATGAACCGTATTGTCATAAATTATCTTTTGACAACACGTCTCATATATTAATGCATGATTATCCACATTGTTATTACCACTTTTTATACAATTTACATAATATTTATAATCTTATACATTTCGTACATTTGAGACCAAAGTTTATTTGCGATAACATTTGTGCAAGTATAACATAAATTTGTATACAATTTAATATTCAGTTGTCCAGATAGCCCCAGTTTATTTTCTAAAATATCATCTAAGTTTTTAAAATTTTCACTACTCTTTGTTGGAGTAATATCAGACTAAATACTTATTAAATAGGTTTCTTGAGATGTTCCTTATCTTCTATGAAATGAGATAATTAGCATATTCTACAACGAAAATTATTTAGTTATCAGTTTTACTCTAAACTTGTTGCTGGATATCTTCTAACTCTTGCTCCTTTTTCATTTCTTTTATAGTGGATAATATTTTTTTTTACTTTGCATTTGCTATTTTGAATTGTTTTCTTTTCTAATTTTACCAATCTTTTTCAACTGTTTTTTATTCTTTTTGGTTTGTGTCTTATTTTTCTAAGCTTCTTTTTCTTGTCTCACTTTCTTACGCTCTTATTTTTCAGTTTCTTTTCTAATTTTTACCGACTTCAAAAAAGGAAAAGGTTCTCAATTCGTCGTAATATTTTTTTTGTATGTTTAGCAATTATTCTTTAACATGGTGTCCTATTTCAATGGTTCTTTTTTTGTTGGAAAGGGGGTACTTCATATAAATTTGGTCAAAATCTAATAATTGGGTCAATGAGAAAATCCTCAAACTCTTCATTTTTTACGTATGGTTAGCGATATTTATTTACCACCTTGTCCGGTTTTTAGGATTGTTTTTTTTTTTTAGTAAGGGGGTATATCAGGGGTGGTCACATATAAACTTTGTTAAGATATAAGATTCATCCATTTTATTTCTCTTATTTTTTCTTTGCCAGTTATGAGAATCTCTTTTTCTTTCTCCGTTTCCTCTCCGTTGAGGTGATTTGGCCCAAGCTAGATGATCTCGAGGATCCAACTAAGGGTAATTTTTAATTTCATTAGGTTAGTTTTGTGAAATTTCTAATAATCTAAATATTATTGACATTTGAAAACAATAACAAGCCTATCAGGCATTCCAAATAAAATGGATACCACTGGGTTTTGACAGATTATAATGTGGTTATGATACAACCTTGTGGGCCTGGGGCCTGGTGTTTTGACATAGTCAATGATATGCTCATCTGTTTTTTAATATAAACATTAGGCTTATACCTTGAAGTAAAAATGAAGGAATGTTGTTTTTAATATATTGGTTTTAAAATACATTTTTGCTAAACTGATTCTGAATAATGAACACTTGTGAGGCAATATTGCCGCTCGTAAAACGCTTTGAGCAATCTATTTTAACCATATATGTATCATTGACCATGTCAATGACAGCAGGCCACAGGGTTGCCAAATCTAAATTGTCAGTTTCCACTTGTCAACATTTTGACAGGTCATCGGAATGCCTAATAAAAACAAGAGAAAGGTAAAAATATACAGGTAGTTTCGTTAAGTTAACAGAATATAAAGTAGTAAGAAAGAAGTGTGCAATATTTTCAATAGGAAACGTACGTGACAAAATCGGCCATTTTGGATAACCATTTATGACTCATTAATTGTTTACGTGTCATTTGAAAGTTGGCTTTTGTGTTATATTTTTCAAGTTATCAGATGTTGGAACAGTTTTAGTTGATAATAGAATATTTAATACACAAGTTCTTATTTTACTTCAATAATACATAATGTTAGTACAATAAAGATAGTGATAAAGACAATGGTTAGTTGTAGTCTGTTATAGTGTTGATGAATGCTCAATGACTGCTAAAAACGACATTTTGAAAATTAGATTTCATCGATAAGAACATTATCGTAACACCATTCATTTTATAGGTCTAAGTAATATATATTTTACGTTAAATTTTAAATAATATATCATAGTTGTTTCTAACTTAAAATTGCCATTGACATGGGCATACGTACCCTTTTTATGTTAAGTTATAGTTATTGTTGACTGGAATCCTGTAAAACCAGTTTTCTGTTTTCCATTTTACAGAAAATTACTTTAAAGATCTTTTTCTTTTGTTGTTATACCGTTAACAAATACTGTACCTATACGAATCAAGTAACGCTGATAAAAAATATATATAAGTATTTATTGACAATTTCCTGCATATGTATTGATTAAATTGGTCAAAATATATACAATACTTTTAAGATGCCTTGAGCCATAAAAAGTAATAAATACCAAATCAGATAATAGAATATTTTTCTTTACGCACGCACCATTACAGCGTGTATTAAGAATTTATTTAAAGCAGAAAAATGTTTTCGACACCTGTCTAATCAATAAAAATAATAATAAATTGTATAAATCCTAAAATTTAATTATTCACTTTTAAAAAGGCTTTGTTTTACTTAATTTTTAATCAAATAAAAATATTACACCTTTAAACAATATAAATGCGATATACCACCTTTTAATACTAATGTTCAGTAGCCAGCCATCTTGGATAACCATCCCGGTCAACTGACCTTGGCGTAACCATTTTTCCCAACAACTTCATATTTTAGGAGTAAATACCACAAATATTTCTTTAACTACGACTACGACTTTACCTGTCACAGTGGTGCAACTGCAAATAAATTTGTAGTATATCAGTGTGAATATGAATAGAAAGCTTTTTATATAAATAGTTTCTTACCGGTTTATTTGCCTTTTTCAAGTAGTTTTTAGTTAATCTCTCACATTTTTGTTTTTTCATTTTCTAACTTTAAATTGTACGCTATCTTTTAATATACACTGTATTATTTATATTTTTTATGAAATAGTTGACTTATTTTTTAGAAATTAGACTTTCTATTGTCGCTGTACGAAAAACCTGATGATGTAGATTTAATAGTTGGTGGATCATTGGAAAACAATATCAAAGACACTCTGGCAGGTCCAACCTTTTTATGTATTCTCTACAAGCAGTTTTATAAGACAAGAAGAAGCGACAGATTTTGGTTTGAAAATGAGGCTAGTGGTTTAACACTGAAACAATTGAAGGAAATTCGAAAATTTTCGATATCCAAATTATTTTGTGATAATGGAAATAATATCACGCTTATGCAAAAACATGGATTTTTGCCAGTTTCAGAAAGGTATTTATTTATATATATTATCCTAACTACAAGGATAAACTTAGTTACAAAATAACTGATTAACTATTTATTTTTTAATGTCAGAAAAGAAGTAAAAATAGTATATTATTAAACGAGCAATTTATGGTAGCCATTATTCACGCAGGGTGACGTTTGCGTCCTGAGCCGTAGGCGAGGGGCGCAAGTCACCCGAGTGAATAATGGCCATAAATTGCGAGTCTAATACTATACTTTGTCCACGACCATTATGGTTTCTTTATTACATAAAAGTTAAGTGTAGAATGGAAAGTTTTTATTAAACATAGGTAACTTACTGTTGTTTTGTCCACTTTTCAATTTTTCGATTTTCGATTTTTTAATTTTTCGATTTTTGGATTTTTCGATTTTTGGATTTTTCGATTTTTCGATTTTTGGATTTTTGGATTTTTCGATTTTTCGATTTTCCGATTTTTTGATTTATCGATTTGATTTTTCGATCTAGAAAATATCGTTATGAAAAGTATCGCCTATCTTTAGTTATCTACCGGAATTCACTCCGTGATATATGGGTACTATATGCTTTTAGTTAGGAGGTAGCATATTGATTTATTATTAAGTGGTAGTGGACAAAATAGTAAAACTAACAAATCAAGTAGTGAGATTCAAAATTAATTCAAACATTTCTTCTGATTTAGACCAGTCAAACAAAAATAAAGTATTGATCTGATTACCTAGAGTTTATTCGAATTTTAAACGAGTACAATTTGCCATTAGTTTGCGATAATTCGCCTCAAAAGCAGTAAATCATAGAAATATTGAAATTAAAGAACACAGTATTTTTAAATATATTTAATCATTTATTAAATCAGTTTTTAAAGCAAAAAAATGTAAGAGTTTACTTTCTCTTAATGTTTAAATCAGCTTTGGTCATTTGCAGCAAAAAATTTCCAATTTGATAAACATTTAGTAGGAATATTGAACCATGTAAGGAGCAAGCATTGTAGTTATTTGTTTTTAGAAATCCCCGTTACCGATGCAAATCAATTAATGGACCAAATTTACATTGGTGGAAAGAATAAAGTCATGGAATTTGTTTCATCATAGAGAAAAGCTGTGTGATGAATTCAAAAACTACAAGATAAATAAATAAAAATACTTGAATTTATTTAAACATTTAATTACTTTAATTCAGTGTAGTATACAGTCCATTTCTCTGAAGGGAGCTATTGATATTAAAATAAATATTTGGCAATGCAACTGTTTTTTATTACTAAATCATTTATGACAGAAGATTGTCCAGTTGGAAGCAAACAAAACGGGATAGATGACGGCGAAAAACTTTTTCTTAGCATTTAAACATTTTATGAAATATGCCAAATCTAGCAAAGAAAGTCCTCTTCTTTTATTGCTTAATAATCATCAAAGCCATATTACTTTGGACGTTGTTGTTCACGCAAAAGAAAATCACGAGATAATTTTGTTCCTTCCACCGCATTGTAGCCATAAGCTACAGCCATTGGATATTGCAGTATTCGGCCCTTTCAAAGTCTATTATAAAGTGGCTTTAAACAATTAAATGCTTTCCCATTCCGGTTCCACAGATTCCATTTATAGCATTCCAAGACTAGCGACAGAAGCCTATGAGAAGCCATTTACTTTCAAAAACATAACATCTGGTTTTAGAAAATCTAGTATTTTTTCCTTAACTCGCAAGTACTTTCTGATGAAGACTTCTTAACCTCCTATATTTCTGATCCACAACCTAATTCTTGTGATGCAGAATTTAATGGTCAATCGTCAAAAACTTGAACCAACACAATCGAAATCCCAAATCATACAGACGATCAAAATTCAAAAACTTCAGACAATCAGTCAAGCTCTTTAAATATTACCATTCAAGAACTGGAGCCATCAAATTCCCTTGTTTCAAATGGATCTGCATTATTTACGCCAGAGGCTATCTGACCATTTCCAAAGGCAACTCATAGAATTACAAATCGAAAAGTTCGAAAACGTGATTCATCTATAATTATTACAGAAACTCCAGAATTAGAATAACTCAAACAAGAGGTTGCAGAAAAACAAAAGAAAAAAGTACTGTATCATTAAGGAAAACTCAAAACCAAAAAGCAAAAAGAAAGATTATAGAAGACACCAGTAGTAGCAGTGAAGAAAATATAGAGTTTGAGGATAGTGAAGACTTTGAGAGAGAGAAAAGACACTAGAAAGCGTCAACATCGCGCGAAAGGTTAATGATTTTATTTTAGTTAAGTTTAAAACTAAAGAAAAATATACGTTTAAGAATTTTGTTGGACAAGTATTGAAAGTAATTAAAGACGACCAGTTCACAGTTAAGTGTCTTAAAAAATCTAATGAAACTGATACCTTTAAAATCTCTAAGATTGAGCCTGCTTTTGACGTTAACTTGCATGTTATTGTATTAAATCTTCCAGACCCTATCAAAATGGCTGGAACCAAGAGAGTCGAAGGCTTTTTATTCTTTTCTATTGACTTTTCATATTAGTGGACTTGAATAGTAATAAGAATTGTTAAACTTGATGTTTTTTTTAATAATGAAGTATTTTTTTGTTCTTGTGAATGTCCCTTTCAATAATTTTTTGTCCCTTTCAATACATACTAGATTATGAAAGGGACACATTTCCTTTTTTTTTTTTCTGAAAATCATATTTATTGACATTACTTGTTTCAAAAGCCTTTTGCAACTAAATTTAGCTAACCAAATATATAGGCCTTAGGCTACGGCCACTGTGGTGATTCTAAAACGGGATTTTAGTTAGCTGTTTTACCGTGTAGGTGAAATGTCCCTTTCATGACACTTCTCCCCTATAAGCAATCACAATAACAACAAAATTATAGAGAATATTTTGACGCAGCTCGATTAATAGGTGATGATTTATAAGTGTTTGTCAAATAAATTATTAAGTTGAAAAAACTACAATTGCCATAGTTATTTGATTAACTATTACAAAAAATAAATCAATTCAAAGTATAATAAAACAAGTGAACATTACCTAAAATGATATTTTTTAATAACCACTAGTAAACATATTTGTTATCGAGTACGAAATGAGTATTGAAAATATTTTTAAAAAATACGAACCTTGTCAGGTTTCCTTTTTTTCTAGTGCCTTTTTTTCATTTAAACCATTCTACTTATTTTAAGAAATTATATTTATGTGTAATACTTACATTTTTCTCTAAACCGACTGTCCTTGCTTCTGTCTGTTAAAAAATATGAGCTGATGTCGAATATATAGTTATGAATATTGAAAATTAAACCTTTTTACTGTGTACAGGTATATTAATTCTTAGGAGCAATTCCTTACATTGAGAACAAGATCTATTGAAATATCTGGCATTGTATTAAGTGAGGATGACTAACCTATTTTTTTAACCGTAGCAGTAAAGGTTGAGCCACAATGTTATTTTTTATTTTATTTATAAATAATTTTTGACAAAATACAACCAAATTAACTTCATTAACATTTACCTGTGATGAGCTGTGAAGTTTAGCCAAATACAATTGATTTTAACCTCTTTATTTTGTTAAGAAGAGAGGAGCAAAAATAAATAGGTTTTAACACTATAACTAGTCAATATTTAATGAGTTACTGAGTTTGTGGCAAAATACGAGCCTAATTTGGCAATAATAGGAACTCAGTTGGCGCCCCTTCAATTTGCAAACTATTTCCAGAATTTTTGTAAGCTATCTACCTTCTGACTACCGTCTGGGCGACGTTGAAGGCCCAAAGGTTTATACCGGGATAACCCAAACTTTTGTAACAGTAGTAGAGAATATTTTATAAGTAAATAACTTTTCTTTAAAGTTTTAGGCAATTTCCCTCACTGGAACTTGCAGAGTTTATTTGGTATGTTACAAATAGATTAAAACAATGGTATTTAAAATCGATCTCTATGTGAGATAGTTAGTGATATATATTTAACCAACTTACTTGTAAGGAAGTTCAATTAAAATTATACGAGATTCTTTACAACAGAATAGACTACTGGGTGGCCTATTCTGATGTGACCAATTGAAGTATAATAAGTATATTCTTTGAGTATACTGAGATGGCCTACATATTCATTTTGTAGTTTGTGCAGTTATCAAAAAATATACATGTATAGAAAATAGTATATTATATTACTAGACTTTAAATACATTATATTAAAAACAAATAAAATTTTATTTAAAAAAAAAATTAAAATAATACAAACCTATTATCCACTAAAATAATTTATTAATTATATACTTTACTATAAAATAAAATTTATGGTAATGGACATAACAGTAAAAATTATCATCTATCTTGGCATATAAAAACAAAAAATAGAAATAAAAGTAATGTATTAGCTTCGAGTTAAACCAGTAGAAATGTTTAAAATTTTAACTATTTTTTTAGTGACTTGTTATGCTTTCGGTATATGTGATCGGGAGTGTGGTTTAGAAAATATAGTTTGCAATGATTCTGCTAAATTTAGAAGCATTGATGGATCCTGTAATAATTTAAATAACCCAATTTGGGGTACAAGCTATTCAGTATACGATAGACTACTTCCACCTAAATATGGAGACAGTAAGTAAATATACAAGTGTCTCATTAAGAATAAGTTTTGGACAGTAGCGTAAGATTTAGAGGAAATGAAAGTATTACTTATCTGTGTTGTACGCCAATGGTAAAGTTTATTTAACTGATTGTTTTGCTAGTAGGTCTATCTAACAATGTTTACCAAATTATTGCCATTAAAAACTTGAAATCCAGCATTTTGGAAACTAGTAATATTTTACCTGAGCATATTTCATTTATTGTTAATCAGAGAATCTGTAATTGTTCTGTGTCCTATTATTAATAATGTATGTATATTTTTTATATAAATTTATCTTTATCCAGTACTAATACATGGTGTCTAAGGTGGCCATATCTATAACAGTAAGTAGAAAACACCATGATTGTTTAAAATTGGAATATTTAATTACATTTTAATGAATAAACAGGTAGATATAAAATTAAAAAATAAGTCAAATATCTAGGCTAAATCTTGGATAACAAACTGTTCTGAAATTTAAATGAGAATGTAGTTAATGCTGATGTCACCGAATTAAAAACCATATTAATAATATGCAGAAAGAATCCAGAAAAAGATGAGAATGTAACTCAAACACTCTGCGATGGATCTATATACCAACAGTGAGACAAATTACGGGGTTGTAGCCTGCAGTAACTGAGCTAGTTTAGCTGCTATGAGAGCTAATATCTCAAATGCACAAAGACTTATCTCTGTTTCACCGATGCAATAAAAACCTATCCTACGGCCTTATTGGTGGTGATCTTAAACATCACGCCTTTACATTTCATGGCTGAGAACGTGGCAAAAATGGATAAGATATAGAATGAGCAGGAATTGAGTATTCGTACAAATGTCTATTACCTCCAGGACCTAAAATACTTCTTATATAACCCAGGATGAAATAAGAAAAAGTAGAGTTTCGTAAAATGTAAATCACAGAACAAGGTTGTAAGAATGTTTACAACCAAAAAGCATACAATTCGGTAGTATGCGGATGGTTTTAAAACCCGCAGAACTGTTATTTGAGTATACATGCCTACTACTAAGTACGCCAAGCAGCCATCAAGAACTTAACTTTAACGTAATTACCCAAAAAATGACTAGTGCATAGAAAATGTTATTGAGCTGAGAGAGGAAAATACAATTACTCTCATTTGGTTCACGGGACACAACGGGACACAACGGGGTATAGGGTAATTAATAATATTACAAATACTCTCACAAGGAGAGGGGTTTAAACAGTATTTAAGACAGCTGAGTCCTTCTGTGGTATCAGTATTAATACAATATTAAGATCTATTAAAAAAGAATTTTGCAGTAGAATACCCAACATTTGGACCTATTTCTTGGGTGTAAGACAGGCTATGAAACTTTTGGGTGACTATAACCAGAAACAAACAAAATCCTGTATCTGTCTAAGTAAGAGCAGGTTACGCGTAACAACAGGAATCCTTATTGAGCACTGTTGACTCAAAGGACACCTTAGTAAGCTCTGAGTAAGGAAATATAATTATTGCAAAAGACTAGGACGAAACTTGCGTTTACATTATGTAGAGCACGCAAAAACAGGTGTGTCCTCATCACAATAGATGATAAAAATGCTTTCAATTCCGCCCCGTGAGATGTAATTCTGAAGGAACTGAGAAATTGAGGTGTAGGGGGGATATAAGGGATTAAAGGTAAAATGAGGATGACGTGTGGTGTACCACAAGGCTCTGTTATTGGACCATTGTTATGAAATGTGTACTTCTATGGCATCCTAAAACTACAGGTACTATTTGAGGTATTAAGCTAATAAGCTGCGCGGGCGATTTAGGCGTAGTAATGACGGGGAAATACGCGGAAAATCTGTAAAAACGGCAAATAAGGTCATAGAAAATATTACACAATCGTTGATAGCAAAAAGACTAGCCCTAGCCCTACAAAAAATGAGATGGTTACCTTAGCATAAGAACAGACCGTCATGGAAATCAACGTTAGGGTGCAAGACGTAACAGTAATGAGCTAAAAGAAATTCAAATATTTTGGAGTAACTTTCGACAATAACATGAGAATGGGACATTTCAGAAATGTGGCTAAAAAAGCAAAAAGGGTTGTAGCAAATAATAGCAGGATTTTACCCAACACTGGAAGACCACGAGAAAGAAACTACAGAATTTTGTGCAGCCTAGTACTTTATAGGTAAGCGACATGAAAAGGAGTCATGAAAACGAGCCATGGAAAAAAATAGATATAAGAATACTCTTCTAACAGTTCAAAGAAAAACAACAATCTGACTTGCCTGTGCATACCGAAATCTAAATCATTATTGATCATCGCAAGAACACCATCTATCCATCTATTAGTGGAAGAATGTTACGCTATGCGAAATTCCATGGTTAAAAGAGTGGCCACTGACAACACAATTCAGAAATGGCAATAAGAATGGCAGCAAGAAACCAATGAAAGTCACTGGACGAAAAGGCTAATACCCAACATTGAACCATGGGCTACAAGAAACCAAGGCGAGGTGTCTTACTATTTTACAGAGCTAATCTCCGGACACTGGTGTTTTCAGGCATACCGATATAGGTTCTATGTCACAGAGAGCACAAAATATTATTACTGCAGAGAAATAGACACAGAGCATATATTTTTTTAATGATAAAGATAGAACAATATAATAATGACGCTATAAAGCAATATTAGGGATATAAACCTGGAAAATATAGTTAACAAAGTGTTAGCAAATCAAAACAACTTGAATGATATAAGCTACTTCGAAAAGGTAGTACTAAGCACTTGGCTCTGTCTGCCCAGTGGTTTCCCTCCACAGAAAAAGAATAATAATAATAATACTCTCCCTAATTCACCCCCTTACGAGTGAATTTTAACCCCAAAAGCTGAGTTTGTGCATGGAAAGTGATTGCTATTATTATTATTATTTGCCGTGGCGCTCCGGGGCGACTTAAAGATGATTGAGGGTGCCATTTGACTTACAGGTGAGGAAAACCCGGAAAACCTCACCCACCATCATCGAGGCGGTAATGTATGGCGATTTTTATAATTTTCATGTCATATCAACAGAAATTGAATTTCTATTAATACGGCACACATCAAATCCTATACCGGACCATGCAATTTAATTAAAAATCCACATGGTTTGGTCTGGGATTCGAAGCCCAGCAGTCTCTGACACATTTCTCTAGTACTCACAATTCTCTAGTATTTTGCATTCCAATGGCACTATGTTTGGAAGCATATCAAATAGAAGAGGGCGATCAACCCAGCTTTGAACCGCTATAAACTTAACACCTACTTTGGAAAGAAAGATTGGAAGGGTCAATATAGGCATCGAGAACTATTCTCTTGTTGTCATTGCATCAAAAAGGACCACCATAGATTTTTAAGATCACTAGGTATTAACAACTTATACATAACATAACTAACCCTCAGTAAATATAGTGCTTTTAACCTTTTGGATTTGAGGATACTAAATACATTCATCGGAGAGAGAACTAAAAAATTTTGGAATTTTTTGGTCATCAGCAGAATAAAATCTAATGCCTTTTATGAGACCAAATTATACAAAGGCATAATCAACTTAGTTACATGAGACGCAATTTTACAACGTATTCGGAAGAAGTATATTTACTTTTTTTCTAATAAAATCTTTCGTTAACTCTTTAAATAACAATTTTTCTTTTCGAAATTGCCGTTGACTGTGTTGAATTAAACTACATAGTATACAGCATTATACGAAAAGGCTTAAGGTTAACCCGCTATTTTTAACTGAGGTTTCAACACCAATACAAGTAAGCACGGTACAACAGTATAGAAGAAATTTTGCCGAACTCTCTATAATTCCAATCAAAAGTATTTTTAATGAGCCCAACATCTAGGTATTGGGGACTGACGGTTTTATATATTCTCCGAGAAAAGGAATGCATCACGCTATTACCTTGTTCTGTCATTTGTGGTATGCAATGACGTCAAAAGTTATTTGGGTTTTACTAATTTATAGGTATGCGGGGATTAATTAAAATATTTCCCTATTTTTTATCGTGATTTATTTTTATTGAGATTTTTTTTAGGTATGCATTCTTTTCCAAAAGCACTTAGTGGTAAAAGATTGCCCAATGCACGGAAGATGACAACTAAAATTTATTCAAATTTTATGCCCGAAACCATTTCACAGATCAGCCTAAGTACCATGCAATATGGAAATATAGTGGCCAATGACATGAGTTTTACATATTTGCGTACGTTTATTTTTCTGTTAATATTATTGTTGTTAACTGTGAAACTGATAATGTGTTCATTGTTTCATTATTTTAAAACATTAAAGGGTGAATTCTAACTCATATTTAAATATGTCAACGTTTTCATATTTCTGTTTGCCTGAAGGGCAACTAATCGAAAGTACAATAACGTTTGATTCAAAATAACTGGATTCTTAGCCTTATCAGATTGTTTTTACTCACTCATATTTACTAGTGATGCCGCAAGACGAAAGATTCTCGTCTCTCGTCTCGACGAGAAGAAAGAGAAATTCTCTCTCGAAAACAGATTTGAGACAAGATGAGCGAGTGTCATTTCTCGACAAGAATTTCTCGTTTCTCTCCACCTCCCTCGAACAATTTACATGTTGCTTATTTAAAATTTTCAACTGCTTATCGTAGCTTAAAATGTGAACATCAGATTTATAGATAGTCAAAAAGTTGATTATAAAACGTATTCTATATACAATGAGCATCATAAGTCTTACCCCCCTATCTAACTCGCTACTGGAGTCTTGTTAGGAAAATCGCCGAGACACGTCGATTTTTGATTTCTACAATATACATTTTTGTATGAATAGTTTACCCTTAATTTCATCCCTTACTGGAGGGGAGCAACCTTTTCGAATAATTTAAATGGCATGGGGTGATGAGTGATAGCTCATTTAAAAGGGGGTTTTATTCTCTATTCAACCATGTAAAAAATTTTGAAATTTATATCATTAATTTTCGACTAATTATTGTTTCAGAATAACGGAAATTAACGTAGCGCACTCATCGTTAGAATTAAAATTCGGCCCTGCATGATATCGGTTTTGGTTCAGACGTGAAGTAAGACTTTTTGCAATTAGATAAGGTCACTGTTAGTTTATTTGCTTTCCTATTTGTGATGTTCTGTTATTTTTAAACATTAATAAATCAACACGTAATGAAGCTTTCAAATTTTTTGCACGGTTGAATAGAGAATAAATCTCCCTTTCAAATGAGCTATTACTCATTACCCCATGCCATTCAAATTTTCGAAAGTGTTGCTCCCCTTCAGTAAGAGATGAAGTTAAGGGTAAACTATTTATACAAAAATGTACATTGTAGAAATCAAAAATCGACGTGTCTCGGGGATTTTCCTAACAAGACTCCAGTTACGAGTTAGTCAGGGGGGTAAGACTTATGATGCTCACTGTATAATAAATAGTTATTTATTTAAAATTAATTTCAAATGGAAGCTGCAAAAAGTTTTTTATCGACTTGAAATTTAAATTTCAAATAAAAAGAAGGTATTATCATTGTCACTGATTAGTTAAAAATGGTACCAGGAAAATACATATTTAAAATATTATATAAATAAAAATTTATTTGGTTTATTTGGTCATGTTTTTATTTTTTATCGATTTCAGATTTGGGACAAATGACCATCTTCGGGAGCAGTCAAAATTTTAAAACAAGGGGACGATTACAAACATTTAAATTTTTTTTAACAACAGAAACCCCATCTTTCTGTTTCTTATTACCCAACGATTTGATGTGAATATATATGAAAGATTTCTCTATTATTAATCCCTTCTGTTCTAGCTTCAAGTAATATCGATTGCTGTACAGAAAACTTGCAACGTTTGGATAAAAAAGACGAGCCTAAAGAATGTGCACCAATTCAAGTACCAAGTGATGATCCAAAATTTAGTTTTATAAATGCCACTTGCATATCAATGACACGTACAATCACAAATAAGGAGAAAAATTGTTCACAATCTCTAAAACATAACGAGCAGGTAAAGTAGATATATTTTCATACATTTGTTTTTAATCCCTCTCTACTATTACTCAAATCACATCTGAAGTGACTTGACCTACACGGCCATTATAACTTTCCTTTTTTTTTTGACATTTTACGTATTTGCACATGTCGTAACCTTGTCAACAGACGACATATTATGTCATATCTATGTCAAGAGGTGATACTTGAGACACTTGTAATCACCACCTTGCCTCGATAAGGAAATGGCTAAATAAAACTGTAAAAAAGGAGTTCGACCCTGACTGAATACATCAGACTGTGTTTTTGATGGTCTCCGTATTATTGATTTATTTAGTGTGGAAAACCATAGTATTTTTTTTATTTGTGATTAAACTATTGTGAATACTGCATCTAACAGCTGTAAGTGGAAAACCGTATAACTTTTACAATTGAAATATCAAGCGGTAGTCGCGATAACGAAACCCAAGTATATGCTTCGGCGGCGAGGCAGGCCCGTATTCAATTTCTTGGGCACTTCGTGACTTAAGAAACCTAAATCACGACATCTAATATTCAACTACAAGAAAATATCTTAAGTTATTTCTAAGCAGTTTCAAAACTTTAATTTCCTTAAAAAAATTGTATTCAGCGCTCTGAAAAAAATATGACTGCAAGATTTATTTTATACCTCTAGGGATCCTCTAAACAGTAGAAGAAGATTTTATGAATAACCATTGCAAAAAGTGTGGCTCCTCAATGCCTTGAAAGTCAGTACGAAATTAATCCTTTGCGGACTACCGATATCAGCTAACCTACAGTCACAAGATTCGGCCCATGATATTACTACTACTCAAAATGACTAGTATGTTTACTCAATGCCAATACAGCTTACATTTATTCTACAATTCACGACAACGTATATCGAAACACACTTGCATTCATAAGTCCATAATTATGATCAACGTATATGATATATGTAACGTCAGTAGTTTAACAAACATCACTGACATTTTTTTGAATCCCACCAAAAACACTTTAATAAACTTTTCTTTTAGTATGTTAGAATTTACCTAAATGATCTAAAAACAAATCCAGGACCAGATGACACTCCTGCTTTATTTTTAAAGCATCTTATTTTTAACTTATTTAACTTCATCTAGCAACAACATGATTCCTGTAAATTTTTAACACTTCCGTTACTAAAATATTAGAAACCACCTCTTTCAATTTAACTCCTGTCAGTTTGGCTTGTTCTGCAAATTGATGGAAAAAATAGTAAAATCTCGTCTATCCTAGACATTATAAAACTACAATTTATTATTTTCGAAACAAAACGGATTCAGAAAAAAATCGTTCAGGAATTGATAATATCCTTGTTTTGGAATGTTAGCACGAAAACGGTCAAACTCAAATATGGCATCAAACTTCTGCTGTCAACACACTTCCCTGACTCGGTCATCACAGATGTGGCGGACTGGGCAGAGAAAGAATACAATCTATCTGTCTATGATTGGCAAAATGCCAAACACATTGTAGACGATGAAAAAATTAGATGGGCAATATCCAGTTTCTCTCCATTTAAATCGCCAGGACTTGATAATATCTATCCAGCCCTACTTCAGTGGGGCCTGAAAGAACTCACACCGCACCTGGTGGGTATTTTCAGATTTTCGTTGGCTCTGAGGTATATCCCCAAAAACTAAGAGAGAGGGAAAAGTGGTATTTTTTGGTGTGTCATCGGCTTCAACTGCTTATACCCAAATCTGAAAGGATGGATTACATTGTCTCAAAAACATACCGACCAATTAGTCTGACATTGGAAAGGTCATGCCAAAGGTACATAAGGGATGCGGTGATTACAACAACACCACTACACCCAAACCAACATACATACACCCCAGGCAGATCTACTGATTCAGCCCTTCATCTAGTTGCTGGCCGGATAGAAAGAAACCTGGACAATAAGAAGTCCGTCTTGGGTGTTTTCAAAGACATAGAATGTGCTTTTGATAAAATCAGCTTCCCAAAGATAATACACTCACTAACCAACAGAAATGTTCCACAAATGGTTAGTGAGTGGATACATAACATGCGCTCAAAGCGAACAGTAAATATAAGTTTAGAAAATGTAAATATAAGAGGTTTGATTGCGAGACCACATGTCCAAAGGGAAGGGTCCAATCGCATCTACTGTGGAATATGATTCTCGACACCCTCATTAGCCGCCTTAATAATGACCTTCACTACACAATAGTATATGCAGATCACCTGGTCATTCTGCAAACAGGGAATTTGGAGAACATACTCTGCGAAAGAATGCAAGTAGCTCTAAAAATTATCGAAAAGTGGTGCAAGGACCATTAGTAAATGGTCTATCAATCCTAAGAAGACAGAAATAGTCCTTTTCACAAGAAAAATGGAATTAAAACCTCCAGAACTCCTAAACACAAAATTAGGAAGATGCACAATGGGACTAATGAGTCCTAAGTGCGGTGGGGGGTAACCCACCCTCCACAGATACAAATAGCGAATATTTTGCAACAGAAGCAAATAATATGATTTTTAATTTTCTTTGATTTAAAACAAGCTTTTAATACATGTTAAAAATTTAAAATTCTTAAAAAATTACATTCTTGGAACATTCAAGGTAATTGTCTTCAGTTTGTTAACAATTTATTGAAGAACAGATCTTCCTCAGTAAAAGTGCACAACTCATTCTTTTTAAATACCATTGGAGAAAATGAAACACCTCAAGGCTCTATTAATGATATAATAATAAATCTAGTAGTTTATATCAAAGGTAAACATGTATCTCAAATGATATCCATTTTGTAAGGCTTCTGAGACCGACTTTTAATATCGAAAACTACTGGTCAGAGCTGGGCAAGGTTTGAGTGATTTGTGCTCGAAAAAGTGCTTGAAATACTTTGAGGGATTGAAAGTCCTATGCTCCAAGCCATTTATAAACTTGTAATTGGGGCTTGTCAAGTCAATTATTTCAGAAAAGTGCTTGGTAATTTGTAATTGAAAAAAAAAGTAATTCAAGCCGTTTCAATGAGCTTGAATTACTATCAAAGGGCTTGAAGCACTTTTGGTTTAGTGCCTTAAAGGATCAATCATTGAAAAATACTGATCTCAAAATGAAGCTTCGATGTTGGAATCTTTGGTGGTCGATTTATCTGGAAACAGTCAAAGAGCTAAACCAGAAACAAGTCCAGCCCTTATTTTTAAAAATATTGCAATTAAGCTTGAAATATTAAGTTAACTGAATGACCTAAGAGTTGACTTAGACTGTTAAAAAAGTACGCTTTAAATCATTCTACTTTTTTTAAATATAACACAGTTTGACACTCAAGTGTACCAGTTGAAAGACTATTTTCATTTGCATCCATAATCAGTTCATCTAGAAGACATGATTTAGCAGATGAACATTTTGAATATCTGGTTCTTTTAAAAGCTAACAAAATTATTTGTAATTTATAACTTTAAAAAAAATTCATAAAAAATTACTCTTGTTTTCGGTGTGTATTATTTATATTTATCCAAAAAATTTGTTTTAAGTTCCTTTAACTTGTAATTAACATAAATTACAACCTTTTTTACTATAGTTTATAAGAATTAAAAATTAACTTTCATCTATACTTTCTTTTAGTTTTTTTTAAAGAAATTTATTTTAAGTTCGTCATGTAATAAACATAGGTATTCAGTTGATGACTGAAGTACGTGTGGTAGATTCTGATACTTTGAGAATTTGATTACACATTTAAAGGGCTTTAGGCACATTTAAAGAGCTTTAAGCACTTTCGAGGTGCTTCAATCACTTCCGAAGAGCTTCAAGAACTTCTGAAGCACCCCAAGCACTTTTGATGTGCTTTAAACACTATTCAAATCACTTTGAGGGCTTTGTGCTTGCCGAGCACAAAACACTTTGAGGGATTTGAGCTTGGAAAGCACTTTCAAAAATAAGAAGGAATTTGCGCATGAAAATGAAAAACTTTGAAATAGAGCTTAGGACTTAGGGCTTAGTGCGCCAAGCCCTTTCACTGAGGCCTTTGCCCAGCTCTGCTTCTGGTATCATTTTTTCCAAATCCACTCTAGTCATTGTGCCAGTAATAAAACTATTTAGTAAGAATCGAACTTTTAAATCATCTCTGAAATTCTAGGGTGTTATTTATTCAAAAACTCTCTTGGATGGAACACATCAAACAACTTATACTCGAATGTAGTTAAAGACTGAACCTCATAATAAGTACTTCTAGTGGCGCTGCTCTATGCAATCTACATCAAAACTGTGTTTAGATTTTGAGTTTTAATCGTTTCTTGCGAATTATGCTTTTATTAAGAAAAATATTTACAAAAAAAGTATAAAAAATATAACTGACTAATTTGGAAACTATCAATTTAAGTAAATTAAGCTAGATCCTCATATTATTATATCATAATGAATTTGTGCTAGCGCTCTGTACAGGTCTTTCAGAGCCATTGAACGAATTCGATGGCTCAGAACATTTCAATCTAATTTGCACAGTTTTTCCTGGAATTAAAAAACGAAATATGTTGGTATTTTTTATTAACCGGACAATACTTTTAAACAAAAATATTTGTGAAAAACTAACAGCTGCTAGTTAAATCAGACTTAAAAAAATATACTTAAAAATTTGTTTGATTTAACGAGCCCTCTACGCTTTTTGTTTAAATATTGTTCCAGTTGAATCAAGTGAACAGCTACTTGGATTTATCAATTATTTATGGAAACACTCATAAAGACCATAAAACTATTAGATCTTTTCAAAATGGAACTCTTCTGGTAGACATCAGAAATAACTATGAATGGCTTCCAAGTACAGGTTCAGACAAGTCACTCTGTGAAGGAAATTTAAATTCTGATGAAATCTGCTATCGCTCAGGTACATGCTTACATAATGTATGTTTTCTTAATAAATACTAGTTATGTTAAAGTTACAAAAAATAAAAATGAAAGTACTAAGATATTAATCTAGACTAAATTGTATTTAGAATACCTAGAGACAAAATTAAATCTATTTAATTTCTTATTTTAGGTGACAAAAGGACTAACATGATTCCCCAGCAAACCTTATTACAAACCCTGTTAGTTAGAAACCATAATCTTATAGCAAGAAATCTTCAAGAAATAAACCCAAGTTGGAATGATGACAGGCTATTCGAAGAAGCTAGACGTATCAATATTGCTGGACACCAATTTATATCATACTACGAGATGTTACCTTTATATCTTGGAACAGAAAATCTCGTAAACAGAAAAATATTGTACGATACTGATGGGTTTGTAAATGATTATGATGAAAACATGAGACCACATATACTTAATGAACACGCTCATGCAGCTTTTAGGCAATTTCATTCTCTTATTGCTGGAAAGTTGAGGTAAGAGAAGAAAATCAACCAAATGATCAAAGTTGCTTTATTAATTTCAGTTTACAGGGTTGTTATATATAATTGTTTGGAATGCTAATTTAATGTACTAAAATTGCAAAAAATACTATTTTGTTTCTACAATATTCTTAACACGTAAAGTGCCACCATGAAAGCATTTTTTTTCGAATCTCTGGGGCCATGAGTGTTTATTACCTAAAAAGTCTTAAAAAAAGTTGGTGGATCACATTGTCCATCCGCAGAAAAAATTATTTACTTAGTTCTTATAAGCCGTGAGGGTTAAGCCCGCTCACCACTTATTCTTGTCTAATCCGGTCTTTGTGCGCCATAATAGGGAAGGTTTTTATCTAAAACAGTACGGACATATGTAACAAGTGGTCAGTCATAACAATAAGGCCTTGATGTGTAAAAGTTTTTTAAAATAGCATCTTGCGGAAGCGAACATCACAAATTACAAATTTTTTGGGACGACCTTCTATCAAATAAATCTAATTTTTTAATTGTTGTATCTGAGTATGAATCGGAATCAGAATCTGATGATACAAGTAATAATGGAATAGAAAACCTCGGTATAAGATAAAAAAAAAAACAAAATGGAGAAAAGTGACTTCTATGCAAGAAAAGAAAAATTGTGCAATCTTCTTCAAAGTCATCAGGTAACAAGAGACCTAATTAAAGGTCAATGCTTTATCCAGCCAGCATAAATAGTTGCAATAATGCAAATAAGGATAGTGAGGCTTCTACAAGTAGCACCCACAATATAATTCAAACCGATATACCTTGCACCAAAAGTACTGATATGGGTGATCCACATTTAGATGATATTAGCCGCATTATAGAACAAGTCATTTTTGAAAATGTAGCTCACCCTTCTTTTCAGTCAGATAATGAGGGACATTAAATCCAGCCAACCAGCGAGATATTAACTGGAGTCAAGTTGCAGGAAACAATATGAATAATTTAGCGTTTGTCGAAAAAACTCCTGAAATTGGTGCACTTGCATATGATCACCATGAAAAAACTCCCTATGACTTCTTCAAATTGGTTAGAAACGACGACATAATAAATATTTTTGTAACAGAAACAAACAGATATGCGGAACAGAAAAATTAGTTCACATGTTTGAATAAATAGAAAAACACCGACCAAATCTTCAAGCATACTGGTCACAAAATTTTTTGTACAACAAATTGAAATACGTTTTATCCCCCAAGAGCTTTCAGATGCTCTTGAAAACGTGCCATTTTGCTTATTATGAAGCTATTTATGAAACAGAAGATCGTATGTTTAAAATTAGTCCATTTTTGACAGTCCATTAATAGTAATTTGTGCAACAAGAATGGATATGATAGCCATATCGCACGAAAACAAGGTTTGATATGGACAATTCACTCGAGTTGTACAGTATATTTTTTCTACGAAAAACAGATGCTCTGTCCTCACCTCCACCACTATTTTGATGATTTTAGTTTTAATACTCGTAAATAAATTAGTTACATATAGTTTAAATAAAATTTAATTTTTTTTTTAATGTGGACCAAATAAAAATAAAATGCTATTATTGATCTATTCTACACAAAAATAGATTTTAACGTATATTTATTCTCAATAACTAAAAAATATACTGACAATTAGTTTGACAGAATTGTCATTTATTTACAATTGTTGCGGTAATCCTCGTATTCCTGTATTTGCCAAGACCTTTAACATCTGAAGATGATCAACAGTGTCGAAGGTCTTCGCAAAATCCAGGAAGACGCATAGGAGTGGTTTACTAGTTTCTAGACACTGTGTAATTTGTACCATTAATTTTGAAATTGCTTCGTTTGTTAACCCTCTCTAAAACCAAACTGTTTTTCAGAAATTACGTTGTGTTTGTTTAAGAATGCCAGTAACCTATTTTTTATTGATTTTTCGAAAATTTTTCTAATGATATAATAATATAAATTGGTCTGTAGTTAGTTATTTTCGATTAACATGCATTTCATCTTCTTTATCTATTTTTTTTAATTTCTTTTTCATTTTCTAACAAATTTTTAATAACTTCCATAAATTTTTTCGAGTATATTTATTTTTCTGATTTGATTTGAATAATATTAATATTTTGCTTGTTTCATCAATTTGTCTAGATTTTATTTATAATTATAATAGTTCTCTTTTTTAATACTATTTGTAGGTCATCTGTATATCATCTTTTATATAATATGATAAATATTAAATTGTTAAATAAACATTTGAGCGACTATTCTAAATGGTATTTCAGTAAATTAAATTAAAATTCTTTATAGTGATTTTGCATTGTTTAACAAAGTCTTAGAGGTATTATATAACAAAAATTACTTATAAAAGTTGTTATTATAATAGCAATGAAAAACTTGAAATTGAAATTAGTGTAACATATATTTAAAATATGCAAAGCTTTCTGACTTTAAACCATCATATTTTCAGTGCTTACAACCCAGATGGTTATTCATACGATAGTCTTGTACTTAGAGACCATCTAAATCGTCCAGCGGCTTTGGAAAAGTACAAACTATTTGACGGATTACTTAGAGGATTGGCAATGCAAAATCAAATGGAATCTGATATTTACTATGATCCAGAAGTGAGTGTTTTTACTAACAAAGTGAGATTAGAGACTGCTGACATTGTAACTATTACAAATGAGACAAAAAATATGTCTAACAAACCTTTTGACATTTGGCCACGTTCCATATTTTTCATGTATGAAATTTAATATTTTATGAATAGGATCAGTTTCTCAAGAGTTTATTATTTTTGATTTCTATGATATACCATTTTATTTTTTTTATAAAATGATTTATAAAAAAGACGAAAAAAGTAAGTTTTCAGACTTTATCAGATTAAATAGTTCGACCTGTTCTCGGACCAAAATCTACCCTTAATTATCAAAGATAAAAATAAACTTAAGCAAGAGACTTGTGCCGTTATTGATGATCTTTATTACTTATACGCAAATATTACTTCCTCTTTAATTCATTTAAATTTGTTGTTGTTATGTTTCCTATCATAAGTTCGAATTAAACATCCGCAGATGCATTTTTTTTGCTTTTTATATTTTTTTATTTGTTTCACTTTTATCATTAGTAGTTGTGTTATTTGAAAAAAGCAATATTACAAATATTTCGTTCATTCTTACCTTATCGTCCCTGCAGCCATGGAGTCCTTGATGACGTCTTAAAATAGACTATATAAAAAGTGCTGTCATATAAGCGCTTGCTTGAAACTTTCAGATATCATTTTCATTAAAAATGTTCTGTCACCTTTATCAAAATCTGCTCACAGTATCTTCCTGCTTACTTCCATGGTCATCGAGTGCTTTACCGCCAGCAAAGTATTTCCATCTTATACAGGAAAAAATTAAAGTTAAATTTGTTAATTTAGCCTTGTGCAAATGTGTATTAAAAAAGTGTCACTAGCTCTTTTACTATAGAGACTCGATGATAGTTCATTAAATTAATGATGACAGCCCAACGTAGCCAATCCAACAGTGTAAGGCAATGATAATAGAGATAAATAAAATAGATTGTTCGGAAAATTATTCAATTTAAAAGTCCTGATTTTTATTTTCGCATGAGTAATGGGAAATTTTCGAATAACAGAAAAGGTGGATTACATTTTGATAACGATAAAAACCAACTAAATTTAGGTACAAATAATTGGAATATCACCAAATTTAGACTTTTCGGAAAGAATTGACTGGATTTTGTTACTATGACTGATATGTAGTGCTTAAAGAGTTTTACTTTACATACTAGTGAAAAAAGTAAAACTTTGCGCACTCCATAGCGTGCGTAAAGTACATTTTTGATTAATGTGTAATAAAAACAGCAGATGGATTTATTTTTAGCACTATAACTTTAATTTTACTTACTAAGAAGAACTTTGTTGTTAGATCAGTTTCATCTTTATTAGGAAAGAATTTTACTTATTTACAAATGTCATTAGTTATTGGGAGTTATTACCAAGTACTAAAAATAATTAAAATAAAAGGGTTAAAATGTTATTAATTTCATGACTTTTGTCTTCATACCAATCATACCATTTAATACCTTTAATCAAAATGAATAAACTATTTCAGATAACCCAATGTGCCTTCTTACATCGGTTGAGGTTTAGAGGTGATATAAAATCTTTGGACATCCAAAGATCCAGAGATCATGGCATTGCATCTTATAATGACATGAGGTCTTATTGCGGTATGAAAAAAGCAAAACAATTTAACGATTTTTTGGATGTAATGGATCAAGACGTAAGTTTGTTTTAGACATTTTATGACATACGTAAAACAGCTGAAATAAATAAAATTAAAAACTTAAACTTAAAAATGATATTGTTTAACGAGCACGAGATGGTACTCATTTTTTAAGAATATGGTATTAACAGTAAACGAAATAAGCATTCCCTGAGAGTTGAACACTATACTTTTTCTTTTAATATTTACAAAACTAAAATAATGGCTCTATTTTATATACTAATTTATTGTTTGACATTTTATGACACTATGATTGTTTCTAAATAATTAGAGAATGACTTTGTGTTATCAGATTGGTCTATGATATAAAAACGAATATGTCAGGTCAGGAATAACAAATAACAAAAGGAACATGCTTATCTATACAGATAGCAGAGAAACACTACTCACCCTGAAGAAATCACAAATTTACTCAGCGTTAGTACTAGAATGTTACGAAGCTTTGGCCGAAGTATCCATCAACTATGTCACCTTAAGATGGATCAAGGGTCACGCCACATTGAAAGGTAACGGTCTTGCTGATTTACTAGTCAAGAAAGCAGCCAACCAAATACTTTTTGGACTTGGCCCTTCTATTGGCCTGACAAAATCGGTAGTGACAGACCTAATTAAAGATCATTTGTGAAATTCTAGGAAAGATGGGATAAAACAAGAAACTGCAAAAAATGAGACCATCGAGACCACAAAGTAATTTTGTTTCACACACCTAAGGGGAGTTAATACAGTTCCTAACCAAGAATTGGAAAAGATCTTAGTTTACCAACAAATTTAGAAATGTTGATGAATAACAATCAAAATAGTGTTGGGATGGTACCAAAAATAAATACTTTTTGTACAATTGTTGTTAAAAATAAATTTGAAATTAATTTAAAATTATATTTCACGTAACACATCGTATAAAATTAGTAGAATAGATAATATCTTTAAACACACTGTAACTATAAACTAAGATTATTAAGTTAATTCAGTAAAATTCCTGTTGATGAATATAATAAAATTTCTTTAACAACAATCACCCAAACTTTGAATTATATTTTAGTTTTTACAGTACCTACTTACCTCGGATACCGTAGTTTTTTTTATATTTTAGAAATTGGATCTTCTGTTGCCATTTTACGAATCACCAGATGATGTAGATTTAATAGTTGGAGGATCAATGGAACGAAACGTAGAAGGCACTTTAGCAGGTCCAACTTTTCTATGTATTCTCTATGAGCAATTTTACAGAACCAGACGAAGCGATAGATTTTGGTTTGAAAACGAAGCTAACGGTTTAACATTAGAACAACTGAAAGAAATTCGAAAATTTTCTGTTTCAAAATTATTTTGTGACAATGGAAATAACATTACGCTTATGCAGAGACAAGGATTTTTGCCAGTTTCAGAAAGGTATGAACCAAACTAGATTAATTCTATATTTTGCCTAATTATGTGGACATGTTGATAATTATATATTTTTTATATGATTTAATTTCGGTTTTTAATACTATTTCTTTAATATTTTCTCTTTATTATCACTATCTTTATTTTAATCAATAATAAATTTATTTCCACATTTTATTGTAAAAAAATGTATATCACCTTCTATCCCCTCCCTTTGACAGCCACACCTTAAATTGACATATTGAAAATAGTGACACTTCATTCGAAAGCAACTATTAATATTACAGGTAGAGTTATTGAGTGTTTGCAAAAATACAGGGTGATTCATTACTAATTGGAAATATTTCAACTATAGAATCTTGAGCTCAAATTATGAAGATTTAATCCAAATCACTTAGATAAAATTTAAATAATATAAAAATTATTTCTGTCTAACTAAGTACTCTGCGTGTAGCAGCAATGACTGGAATAAGCCAGTCCTTAGTTTTTCAAATACCGAAAAAAGAACATTTACGACCTTAGCACTTTACACCGGTACAGAATTTATTGCCTATAGAAAGGACGGCTTCAAGACGAATTTTAGGGGGAAGGGGACATTGCCTTTAGTCATTCCCTTTTTGGCATATTTTTGACCTCCATAGCCGCCCCCTCCTGGAGCCGCCCTTGGCCTAGAGATCATAAACAAAAAAAAATTAAAATCGTAATTTTATTGAAAAAATTCTTTTTACTGACGAGGCCACATTTACACCTGGAGACATGGTTACAATTGGGATCTTTAAAATCCCCATCTATTCCGAGAATGGCATTTTCAACACGAATTTAAGATAAATGTATGGCGTGAAATATTTAGAGATAGTTTGTTGGGTCCTTATGAATCACCAGAAAATTTAAATGGTAACTCGTATTTGCAGCTTTTACAACCTACACTTTTTGATTATCTAGAGGAATTGTCGATTAAAAGAAGAAGAGACATGTGGTTCATGCAGGATGAAGCACCACCTCATTATTCTTTAATAGTGCGGAACTATCTCGATTATCAATTTCCTCATCGTTCGATTGGCAGAGGTAAAGAATTTATGTGGCCGCCTCGAAATCCCGATTGTAATCCCTAAGATTTCTATTTCTGGGCTCATATGAAATCACTAGTATATTTCCAAGCAATGAATACTCGACAGGAACTATGGCGGTAAATTTTAAATTCCACTAATTTTATTGCCAATTAGCTAAACATATTTTTTAAAATTAGAAAATCGTTTAGCGAAAGAATTAATAAACTTATTGAGATAAACGGGGGTCACATTGAACATTTGTTATAAAAAGTTTTTTAAGTATTGTTCTTTGTGCCTTTTGATATTTTCTTCTTATTTAAATTGTTCCTTTGTTTAGAATAGTTGTTTTTAATTGTTTAATCCATGTTAATTTGGTTAATCATTCTCTGTGAAATAAATGGGCTGTATGATTTAATTAGTGGTTCTATTAAAAGAAACAAAAATACAAAAAATTGTGCCACTTGGAAATACAAAGCGTTTACAATAATAATTTAAAGTTGACTTAATTAATGTTAAATAAAATAATTGTGCAGCTTCATGTAAATATCTCGAAAAATACTAAACTTTATCGCTATAAAGAACAAGTATGATATTTACGTAGAAAGTATTGGAGAATTGAAAAATTGTGATAAAATTGCGATTCCGCCAGTAACGTAGAATTCGGAAAGGATAAACCAGTCACTTGCCCCTGTCGTAGGCCTCTGATGGGAGCCAGAAACGTTTATTTAACATAATTTAGTAGGGTGTATAGTATCCGTACTTCCCGCCTAATATGACAATAATAGGTCAAATAGTTTTAAAGTACTGGACAGAAATAATTTTTAAATTTTTAAACAAAACACCCTGTAACTCAGAATGGAGACACAGTTTATCTAAGTGATTTGGATTAAATCTTCATAATTTACGCTTAGGAATCTATAGTTGAAATATTTCCAATAATAAATGAATTTATTAATTATTTATTATTGTTATTTATTCGTGAATCACCCTGTAATTAATCCTTAAATAATAATTTTATGTTTCAGTTCTCACTATAAAACATCCAGTATAATGAATGTGTACTGTGCGATATTTTATCGCTAAAATACCATATAGAGTTGTATTTTTTGAAAATATTATGCTTTCCTGACGTTGCTAAAAACTACCGTCATACATTTGTGAATCACCCTGTGATTAAAAATATTATTAATTTTAACCGATAGTTTTCATGTAAACCTACTTTTTATTTCCTTTATTTTTGAAGTGTTGCTCTTTTTGTAATACACAAGATTTAATTTTTATTCTAAATGCTTTTAACAATATTTTTTTTTTTTTTAGAAATCCACGTATATCATGCAAGGATATTAAAGGGATAAATTTACTATTGTGGAAAGAATAATAAACGATAGTCATGAATAATAAATTACTGTTACTGCTTAATATAACCAATAAAAAATAGAAACAGAAAGAAGTTTTAATAAATTTTTTGATTATTTAAACAACTCTTTTAAAAACGTTGTTAATGATATATTAATTTTATTTTATAATTAAAAGCTTGAAAGGAGGATATGACTAACAAGGACAGAGATATAAATTAGGTCGGTGATAAATACACAAGCTTGAGTTAAATGTAAATTTTAATTTGAAGAAAAATTATTTCCAAAATTATAATAAAAAGTACCTAACTAAATATTGAAGCTTGCAAAACATTAAAGTTTTTCTCTGTATAATCAAGTCGAACAATTTATAAACAATAAAAATATTTTAAGTAAAACTGTATTTTATTTTGCCTTTAGCCCAATTTAGATATAACTAAAACAAAAAAAAAAACAGTATGGCGTGTAATTACACCAAATAATATCTTATTTAGATAGGAAAAAATAATTAACAGTAAATAATTTATCAATTAAAATAAATACGACTTATTAAAAATAAATACAGCAGCATTTTCTGTCCTTCATTTTGCAATAAACAAGTTTACTTTTATTATTTTATGTAAAATGCCCATAAAAAGCCATGTATTTCTAGGATCACTTTGAACACAAGCGATTGGCGCAGGGGGCGCTGAATTCTATAGGTAATAGGGCGGGCCGAAATAATTTGTTTTTCAATTTGACTTCGCGCTACCGTGGAAACGTTGTTAATGCCGGTAAATAAAATACAGAAAAAAAGTCATCTTTTTTTTTTCTTCTTAAAAAAAAAGATTTATGTGCTTTTTATCACAACAAAAATTATAGAACCTAAATTTAATTTTAGCCCGTCTTATATCGTTATTTGAATATTTGCTTAAAGGCCAACCCTGCACTAAGCACAAAAACATTTGGTGTAGACACGTGGACAGCGCGGGCCGCGCCTCTTGTGCCTATCTTGTAGCCATATGTTCTTTCAAATAACACTGCACAACAGCATTTCTGATGATTGAGTTATATTACATGACACTAGCTAAATTTTTAATGAAGACTTCAACTATGTAATCTAAATTTCTGTATTGGCTCTAGTTTAGAAAATATGACACATGGCCGTTTCATAGTAAAACACAATTTGTTTAAAGTTATTCATATTTTTAGTTCTTGAGGTGAAAAAAACTTTTTTTAAGGGTTTGAAAGTGACTCATTAGTTGTTCAAAGTGTTGAGAATAGTTAGAACTTTCCTTATTTCCAAAAAAATTTGAAACATGCCAAACAAACTCATTCCACGCGTTTTTCTTAATTTCTGTCATAGTGTCCGTAAATTTTGTGTCTTTTGTTAATGATCTTATGTGTGGCCCATTGAAAATGCTCGCTTTTATCTTTTCTGTACTCAGTTTCGGGAATTTTTTTGATAGAAATAGAAAACAAGTTCCAGTTTTGTTAAGACCTAATTTTGTATGCAACGGAGGCAAAATTATAGGATCTCTTGACACTAAAGGTGGGTTTATCACGTTTTTTTGTCCTGGAACTAGATCTTTCAGAGTAGGCTAATCCTTTTTAACCTAATGTTGATTTTTAGCTATACTATCCCACAAGCAAAGAAAACAAGGATACTTTGTGTAACCACCTTGCTGGCCTAATAGAATGTTGACCATTTTTTAATCAACACATATGATCCAGTTATTTTCCACATATTTAATTTTGTCCAAAACCAGAGCAATAGTTGTATATTCTTCTTTTACTTTTGTAGAATGTGCAATAGGCAACGACCCTAATTTATTCCCATTGTGTAAGAGAACACACTTTAGAGTCCGTTTTAGGAGTCTAAAGTGTGCCACTCACTAGAAACATAATTTTGTAATCCCATTGCAGTCATCAATCCAGGTACATCTTTAAAAAATACGACATTGTCTTGTTTAGCGAAATATTTGAAGAAATTCTGTTCTCTTGTGCGGTAATAATGTTAGTTTCTTTCGTTACCAATTTTCTTTCTTTTAGCCTTGAAGCCAAAATTTCTGAAGCTAACTTTGACAGTCTCAGATCTCTAATTAAGTCGTTTAAATCATCTTGATTAAATGGTTTTGGCGTTCCCAAGTCGCATTCAAAGTCACTTTCACTACTGTCGTTTTTCGTCCCACTTTTGTGAATAGTTTGCGATGCCAAAACATTTAGTAAAGAAATTAAAAAGTAAAGATTAAATTATTTATAAGACTCAGAGTTTTTTATACTCTTAAATATACAAACAGAGATTTGAAATCCTCGAAAAAGTCAGACAAAACCAAAAGAAAAATTAAAATTTTGTCCCATTTATAAATATTATTGATTTTTTTTTCATCATATTTTTCTGTGTAGTTTTATTTCTTAACTATTCCAATGGTCCAACTAACGTTTTTTCATAATCACAATAAATAAATTATTATCATGGTCCAACAAACGCGCACCTTAAGCCGAAACCGGCATCGCCTTTGTGAGGGCGCCGGTAAAGATGCCGCTGCGTACATTCGTATCTGGTCTAGGTAATCTGTGCCATGGGTACAGCACGACACGACGAGGACAGCGCCCCGCTTGTGACGTATAATCCATCGCATGTGTTCATCTCTTGCTAAGCGATATTGTCGTTTTCCTTGTTTTTCGCATCATAATCAAAGAGAAAACAACATAGGCACACATTTACTGTGCCCTGTGCCCATCTTCCACTTAATTTCGGAATTCTCGGAACGTCGCTCAACGCCCGGTCGTCCATTGTCATGCCAACGCGGTTTGCGCTGAATATTAGATAAAATAATATTAGGCATTGAGGAAAATTTAAAATATGTGAGTAATTTTTTTTTCTGGTTTATTATACTAGGGCACGTGCCCAAGTGCCCTTACGGACAAACCGCCACTGTTCAGGACAACGCTTACTTCGCACATCCTGAAAACATTTTAGTGGCAATGCCTACAGACTCTCGCCAACATATCCGTCAATCAGCTGTAAGAAGAATTGTAAAAGCAAGATCTCTCACAAGCAAACAAAAGGTAGGATATTTTAAAATTCCCGCCAATAACTTATCTGCAGAGAATTACATAGAAATGATTGATTGGCAAAAATGTGTTTTAAGTGAGCAACTATTAACCGCAAAACTTTCAACAGAAGATTTTGAAAAATGTGTAAATGGAGAAAGCAGTTGAGCGATCTATAAAAATTGTGACTGAAGCTTCTCAAAATAGTTTGCGGAGAAGCAGAAAGAGATGGTTACATCCTCTCAATATTAGAAAGTAGAAAACGATTGCCTTCATTTGGAAACAAGAGGCAATATTTTGAAAACAGAAAATTTAATTTAAATGTAATAAAATCGGGTGGGCGGGAAAAGGAACTCGATGTATAGACACCTACACGCGGTGAGTTCTGGGTTGACTTAGTGCTTACTACTTTTCAGTATATTTTAAAGTTAATGAAGATTAAATCTGGCGAAGAGGTGCACAAGTAATAAAAAGTCAATTTTTCTTTTAAATTATTAATATTCTTAAATCTGTGGGGTCGGCTAAGCGTGTTTTAATTTGGTTTATATTTTACAGGAGTACTTCTATGTAACGTGTGGAGGGTGGGTTACCCCCACACTTAGGCCTCATTAGGCCCATTGGGAATCCTCCTACGATGATAGGCACCTCCTAGCTCGTGAGTTAGCCTACAAATTTAATGTATTTGACAACGTCGCCAAGAGGTGTTTCTCGTACATCGGCCGGTATTAGCCGATACTCGCCGAACACAAATCTTCTAATAAATGAGAGCGTCGAACAGTCGTAAAGTACATGCTCGATGGACTCTTTTTCTTCTTCACACCCTCTGCAGAATGCGTTTCTGGCAGTACCGTACTTGGCAATGACCATTCCGAATGCCTGTGACTGGCGCAGATTCTGTCTAGTCATAGTCAAGTATTTGTTTGCTGTAGTGTTGTTAGGATAACTTAAGAGCTCCCTGGCAACTCTGCAATTTCTTGTTTTATCCCATCTTTCCTTGAATTTCACAAGGGAAGGTTATTTAATTACGTCTGTCACTACCGATTTTGTCAGGCCAATAAAAGAGCCAGGTCCAAAAAATATTTGATTGGCTGCTTTCTTGGCTAGTGATCTTGGTTTCTTGGCTACCTTTCGATGTGACGTGACCTTCGATCCATCTTAAGGTGACCAAATTGTTGATAGATACTTTGGACAAAGCTTCATGACATTCTAGTACTAACCCTGAGTAACATCTATCAAAAATAGAGACCGATTATTTCGTAGGCATTTATCTAATCCCAGTAATGAAAATATAAAAAATGAATATATATCATATAGAAATATCTTAAACAAACAGATAAAAAAGGCAAAAAGTACGTATTTTAAAAATGAAGTGCTAAAAAATCAAAAATCTCCCAAACATCTTTGGAAAGTAGTTAATGATTACACAAATAATTATAAAACTAAAAACGATCTGATACAAAAAATTGTGGTAGAAAATGGTTTAGAAATTACTAAACCTTCTGATATAGCTGATTCTTTTAATGAACATTTCTCAAACATTGGTGTTAAATTGGCATCAAAAATTAATAAAATAAGTTGTAATTATCATTCTCCCAATTTTCAAAGGTCTTTCTTTCTAAAACCCACTAATGAAAAAGAAATTATTAGTACTTGCTTATCTTTACAAAACAATAAATCTCCTGGTCCTGATGGTATAACAAATAAAACACTCAAAGTAACCATTGAATATATTGCTAAACCTCTAACCCATATATTTAATTTATGTTTTCAAAATGGATTTGTCCCTAAACAATTTAAAATTGCCCATATCAAACCGTTATTTAAAGGAGGCGAAAAAACGGAAATTAATAATTATCGGCCGATTTCACTTACATCGGGTTTTTCTAAAATATTTGAAAAAATTGTCAAAACTCGATTATCTGATTACCTAGAACAAAAAAATATACTTTCAAAAAATCAGTTTGGTTTTAGGAAAAAAATGGGAACGGAAGATGCTATAGCCCAACTTACTTCAGAAATATACAAAGCAACAGATAATAAAAAATCATGCATGGGTGTATTTATAGATCTACAAAAAGCTTTTGACACAGTAAGTCACAAATTATTAATTGACAAAATGGAACATCTTGGTATCAGAGGTACTCCTCTAACACTCTTTAGAAATTTTTTAATGAACAGATATCAGCGTGTTAAAATTAATGAATCACTTAGTGGAATAAGAACAGTGTCTTGCGGAGTTCCACAAGGCACCGTTCTTGGACCTATCCTTTTTATTATATATTTAAATGACTTATTTGCTATTAAAACTTCAAGTCATATAATCTCTTTTGCTGATGATACGGTCCTTCTTTGCTGTGGAAAAAATTGGGAGTTAGTCAAAAACAAAATTGAGGAAGATCTGAAAAAAGTAAAAAAATGGTTTCAATCGAATTTGTTAACCCTAAATATTCAAAAAACTAAAGTCATTCCCTTCTGTACAAATGAAAGTACTCTTCCTAATTATAGAAGTATCACTTTGGAAAAGGACGAAATCCTTTATTTTTCAAAACACGTAAAATACCTTGGCATTCTTGTTGATACCTTCCTTAGATGGGATGCTCACGCGGATAGTCTGAAAAAGAAAATGCGTTCGTTAATTTACAAATTTTATCAATGCCGCCATATACTTACCTTAGATAAAATGAAGATAATTTATTTTGCTCTTGTAGAATCATTGCTAAATTATGGAATAATTGGTTGGGGTGGTTTAAGAAAAAAATTTATGAAACCTATAGAGATAGTTCAAAAAAAAATTTTAAAAATAATGTCTTTTAAACCACAACGGTTTAGTTCTAACCAATTATTTCACGATATGCAAATTTTAGATATAAGAAGATTATTTGTCAAAACATCTCTGACTTTTGCAATAAAACATAATATTGTTACATCCACAATAATTGATCACAATTATTTGACAAGATCAAATCTAGCAAATAATGTTTACTTACCTAGAGTGAATAAAGTCTTAGGTCAAAGATGTCACACTTATGTTATACCAAGATTATATAATAAGCTACCGCAAGAGCTGAGACAGATTAAAGACTTTAGAAGAGTAAAACACAAGTTAAAACAATGGATCCTTCATGAAAATTTTGATGATATAATAGAATAAAAAAAAAAAAAAAATTTATTTATTAAAAAATATAGAATCAACACTCTCTCTCTCTCTCTCTCTCAACAAATGTTTATCTATTTGTCTTTTTTTTTACTGTTTTTACTGTTTTTACTATTTTTACTATTTTTACTATTTTTACTATTTTTACTTTTTTTTACTTTTTTTTACTTTCTTACTTTTCTTACGTTTCTTACGTTTCTTACTTTTTACTATATTAGATTAGTTTTTAAGCTATAAATGTACTTACCTTTTAATATGTTTTTTAACAGTACTCTTTTTGTTTACATTTTTTACATGTGTTAAGAAATATTGCTAAGATTAAATTATAAAAATTATTTTAATAAACGGCTATACCATAGACAGGCCTGATGGGCCTAAATGGATTACCTTGTTTATTACTTGAGTTCATAAATTTAATCTATTTTTTCTCTTTGTAATTTTATAACTTTATTTTGTAATAAAATTTGTAATATTCGTGGTCTGTTCAGGGTGAGTAGTGCTTGTCTGCTATCTATATGAATAAGCATGTTCCTTCCAGTGAAACTGTTTCTGGTTATTTCTTTTGCTGCTATGAGAATCTCCGTTAGCTCTATTTAAACTATACTGGCACTATTGCTTACAGCTTTAGGTTTAAGAATCTGGAGTATATTCTACATTCTGAGCCTTTTTGTTTAAGTACCGTCGGTGTAAATATGAATCGAACCTGCCACTTCTGGCTCTTCTATTTGTTCTATTATAACTTTATATGGCTTATGGAAGATATATATCGGAGAGATGGAGTCCATGTTCGCTTGAAGTAGTGGGAGCTTATCGAGCGCCTCCTGCCGAAAGCGACGTCTCGCCTCACCAGATCCTACATCAGGTTCTATTCCAACTGTACGGAGGAGTGTCATTGTCGTCAGAGCAACCTCCTTGATGTAAATATAAAGGAAAGTGAAATTAAAATGACTTCCATGGCTCTGATCGGTGTTGTTTTCATTGCTCCTGTTATGATAAGACATGTTGTTCTTTGAATTCGTTCTAGTTTACAGATAGCTCTTAATTTTTGGGATTTCGGTACCCAGACAACTGCACCGTATGTTAGTATAGGTCTTATGATAGCCGTGTAAGTCCATGCGACGACTCTGGGGTAGAAACTCTAGGTACAACCCACGGTTTGGCGGCATTGTTCATAAGCAATGAATGCTCTTTTAACTCTGTTTTCTAAATGCGAGTTCCATGTTAACTTGCTGTCAAAGGTGAGACCTAGGTACTTCACCTCTGTTGTAAATTTTAGTTTTGTGTTTAGGAATTCTGCTGGTTTTAATTTCATTTTCAACCTTTTCCTTGTGAAAAGGACCATTTTTGTCTTCTTAGGATTGATAGGCAATAAATGGTCCTTGCACCACTGTTCTATAATTTTAAGAGCTACTTGCATTCTTTCGCAGAGTATGTTCTCAAAATTCCCTGTTTGCAGAATGACCATCTGCATAAGCTATTGTGTAGGAATACTTAAAAGCAATTAAAGAATATTTTTTTCAGTAGCGCAAATTTAATTTTGACAAAAAAAATTAAACCCCCTTAGTGGCCTTTAGGTCCAAATGGGGTCAGACAAAATTTGACCTAGGCCACCTAATTTTTGACAAATTCAATATAACAGCCATTCAGAGCTTTCTATAAGTAGGACATCAATATTATACAAAAAAATTAAAAAACGGCTTATTTCGGCCCGGCCTATTTTATAAGCTGGATTAGCATTCGCTGTTTGAGATAGGATATGCCGATTCGCTTCTTCCTCTCTAGTCTTTATGTACTAAACTCGAACTGTGATTGGTGGTTTTCATATAAATTCTATAAATGTTGCACGATAATGTATTTATATTAATTATTAGAGATATTATTGGTTAATTGTATATTTTTAAATATTTAAAATGTATTCAATTTCGAATTGTCTATCAATCTCCTCTAGAATTAATTCTAAAGGGTTACAAAAGTGGCAATTATATTTTGTCGATTGAGTAGACTTTGTATATTTGTATAAATATTGTTTACTTATATTTTGTTACTAGATTGTAAATACTTTATTTTAAAAACAGTTAATTATAAAAAAAAGATAAAAATAATGCCTGCTTATTATACACTAAAAATAATTTTATAGTAATTAAATACCTTACTTTAAAATTTAAAAATACCAATTATGGTAATGGGCTTAACAGTAAAATTTGTTATTTACCTAACTATATAAAAGCAAATAAAGTTTCAAAATAATTTAGTAGTTTAAGTTAAATTAGTAGAAATGTATAAAACTTTTACTATTTTTTGTGTGATTATTTATTCTTTTTGTTTATGTGATAAGGAGTGTGGTTTAGAACATATAGTTTGCAAAAAATCTGCTAAATTTAGAAGCATTGATGGATCTTGTAATAATTTAAATAACCCCATTTGGGGCACAAGATATTCAGTATACGATAGACTACTTCCACCTAAATATGGAGACAGTAAGTAAATATATTGATATGAAAATTTAAAACCTATATTTTTTTCTCCTGCAACACCCTGTAATAATAATAATACTCTCCCTAATTCACCCCCTTACGAGTGAATTTTAACCCCAAAAGCTGAGCTTGTCCGGGGAAAGGGACGGCTATTATTATTATTTGCCGTGGCGCTCCGGGGCGACTTAAAGATGATTGATGGTGCCATTTGACTTACAGGTGAGGAAAACCCGGAAAACCTCACCCACCATCATCGAGACGGTAATGTATGGCGAATTTTTTTTAATCTGCATGTCATATCAACAGAAATTGAATTTCTATTAATACGCCACACATCAAATCCTAAAACCGAACCATGCAATTTAATTAAAAATCCACATGGTCTGGTCTGGGATTCGAAACCCAGCAGTCTCAGACTCATAAACTTGCCTATAAATGAATATAAGCGCGATAGACCGCTACACCACCGTGCCCGATAAATGATAAGATAAATATTCTCTTTTCTTATAAAATTAAATTTTAATCTTATTGATTTTTATTTTGCGTTGGGTCTACTTACCTTATCAATCTCTATATTAAATTCCCCAATTCCTCAATTCCCTAATTTTCCAATTCCCCAATTCCTCAATTCCCTAATTCCTCAATTCCCAATTCCTCAATTCCCCAATTCCCACTTACCTTCGACACTTTCTATGTTTGGTCTAGTCTGATTACAAATGTATGAATTTACAAACTAAAAAATATAGAAAATAGAAAATTTAGATGTATCTGATGTTCAGTATAACTCACCTGATATAATTTTTATGTGACCTTGTTAAATCCATCTGTATCTTAGTATTTTGTGAACATAAATGGATATACAATACATTATTAAAATTTGGGAGTTAAATATTGACATTTGTGTAAACTTTTGTGTTGTACATAAGAGCACACAACTTCATTCTAGACATTCCAAAAGTGCTTATTCAGTCATCTAAATAAATTGTAAATATGGCGTGTATCTACAGACTTGACTGCGTTAGTATAGAAGCTAATTATTTTCTCGTTCAATAATTTGGACGCATTTCCAGCTATAAAAATCTTGTCATAACTGGCGGTTTTACCTTTCCTGGCTAATTACATTCCTGATCTTAACAATACATGACTAATTTTATGTAATATTGTTATTTACTTTAATTTTTTCTCTTTGAGTCTAAATAAAAAACTTAAAACTTACATTACTGTTGTTATTATTTTCTCACATAGACTGCTAACTCTGTCTGCTTTTTTCAGCAACATCAACTAAACACATTGAAACAAAAGTAAATTGTTATTTTTTTTAGGTATGCATACGTTTCCTACAGCACTTAGTGGTAAAAGTTTGCCCAATCCACGAAAGCTGACAAGTACAATTTATAAACATGTTATGCCGGAAACCGTTTCACAGATCAGCCTAAGTACCATGCAATATGGAAACATAGTAGTCAATGACATGAGCTTCGTATATTTACGTAAGTTTATTCTTCAAATTTCATTTTATTGCCAAATTCACTACTAGGACCGTCATAGAGACATATTTTTGGAAGGCCAAGCTATAAAAAACAATGTTAGCATTTTCTGTTAGATATTTACTCAAGCGCCTACTATATAAAAATTAATAAAGGTGTAAAAAGAAATAAGAAATCATTTTTCAAAACTAATTCTCGTGTACTGGAGGAGATTGTTTTAAAAACTATAAATTACCAGTTAACATAGTTTCTGATAAGTAAATATTATTTAGTTACTAGTAATAAAATAAGGATATTGTTGTACTATAAAGATTGTTATTTTTTTTTAATAAACTTCATTATAGTTTATTTACTTTAATACTAAAATATTTGATTAAATGCTAATAGGCAAAATATTATTTCATTGTTTCTTTACTATAACCATAAATTGTTGCCGTCATTGTTTTACTAATTCGTGTTATCTATCATCTATTTAATATAACTTTTGAAATTGAGAATATTTCAAATTTATGACATCACGTTTCGTACATTATCTCATGCGATCATTGATAGTCCCGATATCAGCAATATATAATTATGATAATAATGCCTGTCTTTTTCTAAACATAGCAATCACTAGTAAAATTTTGATCTACTTGTAAAAAAAAATATTAATTGCCTAGCGTCGATTTTTTAGGTTTTTCTTATTACCTGACAATTGATTTATAAAAAAAATTAAATACATATAAAAGTAATATCTATATGTAATTAATTCTAGCTCCAAATAATATTGATTGTTGTACAAAAAACTTGCAACTTTTGGATAAAAAAGATGAGCCTAAAGAATGTGCACCAATTCAAATACCAAGTGATGACCCTGGATTTAGTTACATAAATGCTACTTGCATATCAATGACACGTACAATTACTAACAAGGAAAGAGCTTGTTCACAATTACTAAATTATAACGAACAGGTAAAACATAAATGTAATTTATTATTTATTTTTTATTCTTTAATTTATCGGTGGCCTATTGATTCAAAATGCTGGTTAACACGCTTTTTCCTTGACTAGAATTTTTGTCCAACCCTCTCAACTTCCACCTAGATGTAGGGATCTTTAACGGCCCAAACATCTATAAAGTTGTGAGCTACGATTTTACAAATCTCAAAAGATATGCCTTTATTATACAGGGTAAGTCATGAGAAACCTTGCAGACTTCTACCATATGTAGACTCCCTTAGGGGTACATATCATATGAGCATTGAAAAGTGGAAACACTCTACTCACTTTTGATTGGGTAACATTAAGTTGTCGACTTACTTTCCTGGTGCTTATTGCAATAATATTATCTTCCTGCACATGATCTACAGTGTTGTGTAGTACTAATTTTTGAAAAAGTTGATTATTTTAACATGTACTCTAAGAAAATACATTGCATTTAAGTTAAATTGTTGTTTTAGTTGAATCAAGTCAACAGCTACTTGGATTTATCAATTATTTATGGAAACACTTATAAAGATCACAAAACAATTAGATCATTTCAAAATGGAACTCTATTAGTAGATATTAGAAATAACCACGAATGGCTCCCTAGTTCAGGTTCAGATAAGTCAAATTGCGAAGGAAATTTAAATTCTGCTGAAATTTGCTATCGTTCAGGTAATCTAACATTTACAAAATATAAAAAATTTAAATAAATATAATGCGACTATTAAGCTATATTTATAGAATTCTTCAAAATACAATTAAATCATTTTTTTCTTTTTAATATTAGGTGACAAAAGAACTAACATGAGTCCCCAGCTAACCTTATTACAAACCCTATGGGTTCGAAACCATAATAATCTCGCAAGAAATCTCCAAAAACTAAACCCGTACTGGAATGATGCCAGGCTATTTGAAGAAGCTAGACGTATTAATATTGCTGAACATCAATTTATATCATACTACGAGATGTTACCTTTATATCTTGGAAAAGAAAATCTCGTCAACCGTAAAATCTTGTACAATACTGATGAGTTTGTTAATGATTATGATGAAAACATAAGACCTCACATATTTAATGAACATGCTCAGGGTGCTTTTAGGCAATTCCATTCTCTTATTGCAGGAAAGTTAAGGTAAGAGAAGGAAAGCAACTAAACTATATAATCCCGATCATTTGCAAACTGACATGATCAGTCATTGGAAAATCAATATGTGAAACTTGGCGGTCAAACATAGATAATTTAACAGTTGATCAGTGGCGCAAACTATTTTTAATCGGATTTTGTACGAAATTGAATTTATTTCATGATTAATTTTACATTTTCTTGTTTATGCTGACATATGCTGGCAAGTACTACATTTTTTAAATTATGCCCACAATTTATTTTCGTTTTTTTTACACCTTGGACGCTGTTGATACGTTGATACTTTATAATAATTGTTAGGTTAGATGACTTTGTCATAATGATAGGTCATTGTTTCTGTCATTCTATTCGTTTCTTAGTTCAAGGCTTATGGTCCTTTTTGCTCCCCGTTCATACGATTTTGACATATGACAGCTGTAGTGCATTAACATTGGTGACAACGCTATTACTTGCTCCTCGATGTATTGAATTTGTACGAATTTTTATGACTTACTCTATCCGTATTGGTCCATATGTCTACCTCGTCTATCCGTCCCTAGACTTTAACTTAAATGCTTGATGTTACGACTACCTTGCTGTAACACAACGTTCATCTACATGTAATTTTCTCCCACTCCTGTTTTTTCCCGTTTAAATCTGATCAATAAGAGCTGAGATACAGACTTAGACCCGTTTGACTTTTACGCTCTACATTATTTTTATTTATATTAATTCTTTCTTTTATGATAATTGCTTCAGCAACAATATAAAAAATGGTTGGTATTTATCACACTAACTACTTTGATTGCATACGGTTTGTTATTAGATTTTTATCGTTAAAATTGTGGAAATTATGAAAATTTTTCTGTAAATAATAACAAAATAGAAAAAGCTTGAATTATATAACAACATCGCTTAATTAGGTTTTGTGTGCTAGTTTTAGATGCCAGACCTAGATTTTTTTTATAAATTGGTATATTTGATAAGATATGGATGACAAGTATACCAAAAAAGCTACTGGATTGTTCTCAAGTTATGAACAAACCAAAAGAAGTAGGCAAAATTGATAAAGCATCCTTTATCTCGACTGAAAACCCAAAAACTTGGTGGCCTTTATGCACAGTTAACGAATGTCCGTTTCCCAATTATGTACATTTTACCTCTTGTTCTCTTATTTTATAGATATTTTATTTTTCTTCTTAATTTTGTACTCTTCTTACTTATTTGTTTTGATCATATTAAACTTGATTCATCTTAATTTAAACTTATTATACTTCATTATTCCATTATTAATTGTCTACATTATTTCATTATATCACATTATTTATTATCTGCATTATATTGTTTCACTTCATATACCGCATTTATTTATTTAATATTGTAAATTATTTATTATTACTTTACACAAATCATATACTTTTACACTCTGTAAAACAAAAAGACGGGGTTTCTGTTATTTTAGAATGTGTTTAATCGTCCCCATATTATACAGTATGGTTCAAATGAAAGGAATAAATTCATTATAATGGAACTAGTTGGTTTTTCGAAAAAATGCTCAGACAGGTCAATTTTGTTTACTCAAAGCGCAATTTTTTAAGTAGAATTCAATTTTCCCCCACTTCCCATTTTTGGGTAGTGACGTCATTGACAATTTTTTTAAATAGTACCCCAATTTTTTTTTCTTGATTTTGTGAGATCTTGCAATTTCCTACTCGGAAACATAATATTTGAAATATCTTACATAACAATTTTTTTTTAATAAAAGTAATTTAAAGATCAGACACATAAATTTTATTTTATTTTGAGAACACAATAAATGAATAAAAGATAATTATTTGTAATTAAGTGCTTAATTAAACAAAATAATATTATTAATAATAATAATAATAATAAAAAAGAATTTGTGAAATTGTCATTAAATTCTTTTTTTTATTATTATTATTATTATTATTATTATTATTATTTTAGATGAGGCACTTAATTACAAATAATCTTTTATTTATGTATTGTGTTTCAAAATAAAATAAAATTTATGTACCTGATCTTTAAATGACTTTTATTCAAAAAAAATTATTATGTCAGATATTTCAAATATTATGTTTCCGAGTAGAAAATTGCAAGATTTATTAAAATCAAGAAAAAAAAATTGGGGTTACTATTTAAAAAAATTGTCAATGACGTCACTGCCCAAAAATGGGAGGTGGGGGAAAATTGAATTCTATTTAAAAAATTGCGCTTTGAGTAAACAAAATTGACCTGTCCGAGCATTTTTTCGAAAAACCAACTACTTCCATTATAATGAATTTATTCCTTTCATTTGAACCATACTGTATTAAATATTGACTAGCACCAGAAGGTGGAACTTTGTTTCCGAAACATATGTAGTGCCAATATTTAAATTTTATAAAAACAATAAAAACAACCGAATAAACCAGTGAACTTTTTATTTATATAAAATTCTACTACGGTCAAGAAATTATCCTTATGCAAATCGTATAATATTATTATACTTCATTTAAAACCATCCTTCATCGTCTTTTATACTTTAACCTTTCTACAAAAATGTCTTATCTATCGTATATTACATTTGTATGCATCAAATATTTACTATCTAAATCATCCAACTAACATTTTTCATTCCTCTATTTTCTACTCTATTTTTCTTAATTTTCTGTTTCACTCTTCCATATTGAATTATTTAATTATTCTAGTCTATTAAATTTTTCTTTTTAATCTCTGTGTTTTCAGTTAATTTCAATATTCAAAATGTTTGTGTCCATTTAAATTTATATATTTTTATTTCGCTCTGGTTCCTAATCTTTTCCATTTTTGTTAATTGCATTACAATGTGTATAATTTTGGGTTGACGTCATGTGAGGATTTTACATATTTACCAATTTTATTTTGTAAATATTTTTTAAGCTTTTATACAGCATTAAACTGTAAATTTATAAAGGATTTTTCGTCAGTATAACTTTCATAAATACTTAAATAAATAGAAAGAAAATCAGATCTCAGTTGAAACACGATTTAGTATGTATAAACTAATGACCATTTTTAGTGTTTATAATCCAGATGGTTATTCGTACGACAGTCTTGTACTCAGAGACCATCTTAACCGTCCAGTGGCTTTAGAAAAGTTTAAACTTTTTGATGGACTAATTCGAGGATTAGCCATGCAAAATCAAATGGAATCTGATATTTACTACGATCCAGAAGTAAGTATTTATATTTTTTTTGTACCTATAATGACTGATACCTAGAGTGAGGCAAACCCACCTCTTCTGACTTTGTAACGAATGCAAATGAGACAAATCATATTTCTAACAAACCACAATTTTTATTTTGTGAGGAATAATGGTAATACTTCGGCAAAATTCCATGCAGTTTCAGAAGTTGCACAGAGATCTAACTTGGGACCATTATTATTTTTAGTAGTTGTCAATGACCTTCCAAGAGTAATTAAATATTCTAAATGTTTTTTAACGTTTTAAATAACTTGGCATAAGGATATACCCTTTTAGTCTCATTGTTTCATATATGTCCCAAGAGCTTTAATAATATTCTTGTGGACTACACACATTTGTTCAGATAACTAATGATTTTTTTATTACCACTGGAACTGACTGGGATATAATATGTTATTCGTCAATGTCAAATATGAAAAAGAAATAGTCAGTTTCCTGACATAATTTATTTATGTATAAAAGTCATTAAATCAAATTATTTATGTTGTCTAATAACACCAAAAATAAAGTTGGACTAAAATGGTTAAAATCATATTAAATAAATGGACATTTTCTTTATACCTACCATTATGTTTTTAATAAAATATTTAAACAATTTCAGATAACTCAGTGTGCCTTCTTACATCAGTTGAGGTTTAGAGGCGATTTAAAATCTCTGGACATCCAAAGATCCAGAGATCATGGTATAGCATCTTATAATGACATGAGGTCTTATTGCGGTTTAAAAAAAGCAAAAAAATTTAACGATTTCTTGGATGTAATGGATCAAGAAGTAAGTTTTTTTAAAAAGGTTAATAAGATTAGATATCCCTTAGACATTCACATAATAAATATACGTTCACGCGGTATATCTCCACCACCTCATCGAACATCGATGTTCCAAAGATCCTTTACTTACGTGATATATAAGCTTGAAAATGTTGTACAATAAGGATATAAACATTAGTCTCTACGTAAACATTTATTTATTAGTCTATATTTTGTTCTCAAATACATAGTTGTAAAATTATTAAATACTGAATACTAATAGTTCAAAGGTTAGTTTTAAACGCTTGTTAATACTTATTTTTTTTTTTTTTCTAGGGCTGGCACTGTACGTCAGCTGTATTTTGCAGTGTAACATTAAGTGTTTTTTAAATTTGAATTCAAATTGGAATTACTTTTGAGACAATTCCAGTACGCTCTTAAGTAATTTCTTTTATATTTTAGAAATTAGATCTTCTGTTGCCATTTTACGAAACCCCTGATGATGTAGATTTAATAGTTGGAGGATCAATGGAAAGAAACGTAAAAGACACTCTAGCAGGTCCAACCTTTCTATGCATTCTTTACAAGCAATTTTACCGAACCAGACGAAGCGATAGATTTTGGTTTGAAAACGAAGCTAATGGTTTAACATTAAAACAACTGAACGAAATTCGAAAATTTTCTATTTCTAAATTATTTTGTGATAATGGAAATAATATTACGCGTATGCAGAAACATGGATTTTTGCCAGTTTCAGAAAGGTATGTACCAAACAAGGTAAATTCTATATATTGCTTTATTATGTGGACATGTCTATTATTTGTATTTTTTTAATAATAATTCAAATATCTATTTTAATACCCGTTCTTGTATATTTTTTTATAATATTTAATTTGTATCGTCTTTTTATTAGTCTTCTTTGATAATATTGGGAAATACAAATCACGCGACTTTAAATGGTGGACGATTGGTAAAAACAAGTAAGCACTGTGAGCAGAGTGTTTTATGACAACCACATTATTTGTCGATGACACAGCCATACTTGTTAGGTAAAACCATAGAAGAATTAAATAGAAAACTTCAACAGGCGCATTAGGCTCAACAGAACTAAAACTTCACTAGTAAAAGATCATTAGAATACCTACGAGTGGTATTCAATAATGATACCAAAATACCATGTTTCTAGTGAGGTTATTAGTCGTAGTGTGCTTAATATTGTTTTCAAGATTTCATTTAATTAATTTTAAAAAAATGGAAAAGTTATATATTTATTTAGAAAGAATATAATATGAATATTAAATAATACACACCTTTTTAGTAGTAAAAATTTTACAAAGTAATAAATCTTACAGAATCTTCAAATTAACGATAAACAGTTTTGACTGTGCTTTACAATAATTGCTTGAAGATAAAGTAAATATCAACAGACTGACACAACAAATAAAAAAATAAATATTCACTTCTAAAAATTACTTGACACATTACTCAGAAAGTTGACAAATAATAAAGATACTGATTACATCTAATAGTCCACATGTCACCAATTAAAGAAAACGGAAACTGGACAAGATAAAATCTTCTAAAAACAAAAATCTCAATCATCTCAAAAAAAATTCAAACAGACTTATCAAAAGCAGGAAACAGAAAAGTAGTAGAAATTATTAGTTGATGCTTTTTAGCTAAAAATTTGATTTTATAACAGGTAAAATAATAAAACAACTAGAAAGATTTCCGCAAAAAAAGAAATGAAATGAAATACTGAAAATATTGGATGAAAAGATCTGCATTTCAGTCATTTTAGACATAGTTCAGACTTTCCACAAAGTAGATTTAGAACGCCTTGAATATAAAATAAATAAACTTTTGCCCAGGCAATATTTTGACATCTTAAAATCCTACTTGATGGATAGAATCTTCAAAATAAACCTAGAAATAATAACAAGAAGAATAATAAGAAGAAAAAGAAAAAAAAAGGACGAATAAGAATATTGAACGCTTAAAGAAAGTGAATAAGGGGAACCACAAGGAAGTATCTTGGGGCCACTTCTCTACCTGTTAGTGACCTTCGACATACCGCAATGCAAAAGTGGCTAATATAGAAGAATCGACCAGAAAAGACTGTTTAGAAAGTTCATCAAAAAACCAACTCATAAAAGCTTTGCTTCCTTAAAAAACATTTACTCTGTAATTTCAATTTTTACGTTATTTGTTCTACCCGCATTTTGATTTGTTCATGTTATACACACTATTTTTATCCAGCCTTCTATCGTGAATCTCCCTAAACCTATGGTATTAAAGAATGCCATTGTGAAGTTTATAAACCATGGAAGGTATTTCTTCGTCTACTACGTTCACTTTCCCTCGTTTTTCTTGATGTAGAATAAAGGCTCCCATTTTTATTTTTATTTATTTAAAATGTATGGCCTTGGCATTGCCAATTCGCCAGACTAAAAAGACTCCCATGTCCAGACACAAACAATTTCCTTTGATCGCATGTCATCTTTTTCCAAAAGTTAGCAAATATTTCTGTTACAATCTGTTCACTAAAAATATTGCAGAATCTTTTGTTAGATTTTATTCACAAATTTTTGACACACGGTTCTCCAACTTTCCTTGACGCCCGATGAATATTATGAATAACGTTTTTGTTTTTGTTCTGAGAAAAGCCTACATAATCTTCGTCTTTCATTTTAAGAATTTACATTTTTATTTCTTCTCCATTCGCTTTTATGAACTATATTGTTTTCATGTTTGTCATTTATTCATATCGCCCTATTTAGCCTCATTATTGTTATCTTGACCATCGGCATTTACAGTTTCTTCACCTTAGATGTCAGCGTTAATATTTTCATCAGAGCTATCCATTTAAGTATTATTAAGTGAGTCATCCTCTTCGTTGTTGGTTCTTGGACTCACTACTAGGCACATAATCAGTATCAAAATTAGAAACGCGTTGGTCACTAATATTATTAGTACAAAAACCAGTATTTGTACTAGGTTGTAACTATTCATACTCTAAATTGAAATCAGTTTTTTGGTAAGCAAACTATCCAAGATCAAAATCAACATTCTCTACCAACATCATCATTTAAAAACACTACGGGCATATTTGCTAAATTAAATTTATCACACGGTTTTATTAGTACAATCTTCTAATATCATTTCTAGTTCATTTCATTTTCAGAACCAAAATCATTAAGTATTTCGGTAGCTAACTGGTTCCACTATCTCGAGTTTGACAGATGACGTAAAAATTCTCCTTTTTATTCTAAAGGGTATTTCAATAAGAGGTATTCAATATTTTTATTAAATAAAATGAAAACCAAATAAAAAAAAATAAAACTTTATAGCAATTTGTAACATAATCGTATACAACTATATGTGAACACACAACTCTTATGCCAAAATTTTCGATCACCGCTGAGCACATTTCTGATGTTATCTTCACGTAAGTGTTACCGTACGATATTCCGACACTTTTTATTGTCTGAACTAATCAATATGGATCTTGGTAATAAATGTTCCCAATATGACGATGCAAGATCTCACACATCAAAAGAATGAACTTATTGCAAAGAGTTTCAAGGTAGATTTCTTTTAAGAAATTGAGATGTTAATTGGCCATCTAGATCCTATGATCTAATGCTGCTAGACTTTCTTTTGTGGGGTAACATCAAAATAAAGCATATATAGAAATTCCCCTAAATAATTCAGGAGTTACAAAATAAGATTCAATCCACCACCAAAAATGTGTTCAGCTGTGATCGAAAATGTTGACAAAAGAGTTGTGTCCTGAGGTAGCCATTTGCTCGATATTGTGTTTCACATATAATAATTGTATATGATTATGTTACAGATTGCTATATAGTTTTAATTTTATTCTTGTTTTTTTTTCTTTCTAAGATTTAATTATTTAATAAAAATATCGAAAACCTTTTGTTGGAACACCCATCTCTTGATGATTTGCCTGCCCTATTGTTCTTTTTGAACTAGCAATAATCACACCTCGGATAAACCTCATTTTTTACAATTTTGCCACTGCGCAAAGTTATTTATTGTTCTTAAATCAATCGACATTTTTCGTTTTCTACTGGTTAGTTTTCTTAATTTTTGTACCAATCAACTAAACCTAATTTTTTGCAATTTTACGTTTTTATTTATTTATTATTATTATTTTTTTTTTTTTTTTTAGAAATCCACGTTGCTCGTGCAAAGATATTAATGGACCAAATTTACTCTTGTGGAAACACAAAAAATAATTAATTATTGTTACAGTACATTTTAGCAAATATAACTACATATTAAACATTTTCTTTTAAATATACTACGAAAAAAAATTCTGTTACTTATTTAAATAAACCTTTTGAAAAGTAACAGTAAGAATAAAAAATGTGTAGTAACAACAAATGTATGTAGATTTAATATGAAAATAAAATATCAAATTATGTAAACGAAATTTTTAGAGATTTTCTCCATTAGTTTTATTTTTACTTTAAAAGTTTGAAGAAAAAATACTTGTAGCAGATCTATGTTACACGAAGAAGAATACATTATTGTGTTTAGACAGCCGATTTAGTTTGCTATAAATAATAAATGTGTGCTCTCTACGGTGTGGAAACATTCTTTATGTAAATATTCTTAAAGAAAAACTATTTGACTTTTGAACTTGGTCCCAATAAACTTAAAAAATAATTATAATAAAACAGAAATAATAAGAAATATGATACGGACTGGTTTACTCTTATTGCTACTATTAGAGGGAAAGAATCTTACCCAAAACAGGGCGCAGTAAATAGCTATAAACAAGAAAATGACCTAAGAAGAGATACTAGTCATAGAATAGCAGTCATAGAATATTAAATGCAGTCTTTGATGATTCTCCACCACATATAATTTCAACTGTATTCAATTGAATTATGCTAAACATATCTTCGATTTCATGAACAAACTTATTTATATTCTCACGGTGTGAAGTTTATATACAACACCCAATGCATACTTTTTGTTTTTATGTTTAATTTTAACTCATAACACCTCAGAGTAAATAGTTGTGAAACTTAATTTCTCACTATGCAATTTATCACTATTGCCTAAACCTCCACCTCTGGAACCAGGATCTAATCTACAACAATTATATCCTTCTATATGTACAATATAGTAAATTGTACTCAAAATTGTACTCGAGTACTCAAAGTACTCAGTAATTGGTACTCGGAAGTATTTTCATCCTTAAAAAATTTCGAGTACTTTATATTTTAGAGAACTCAGTACGTTTTATTTCTACAGCTGACGAGTAACAAGTATGAGTACCGACACGTGCATATATTATAATGGTTAAACCATTCTAATATCCTATTGCTTTTAGGGTTATGGCTCCTTTGGCTTCCACAACAAATTTTTAAAAAATATTTAAAAATAATACTAATCGACATATGTTGATTTTGAAAAAATCTAAATCTTTCACTTCGCTTCTTTTTCTTCTTGCTACCTGTTCTTCTACTTTCTGTACCTTCTGTTCTCCTGCCTGGTCTCCTCTTGCTGTTTTCATCTACTTTCTCCTCTTACTTGGCGTGCGACTAAACAAACTGCTCGCTTAGTTGCATACCACAGCGTGCAAATGTTATATAAATGAGTACGACGTACCTACAGCGTGGGATGTGCTATCTTTTCGGAGGAGATGTAAAGCGGTCGATCCTGAGTCCACGGATGTTGGGCTCGATAAGATCACAATGCCTGTTTGGAACACCAGGGTCTTCAGCTAAATATCTGGTAATAAGGGGTAGCGTGCTCACCAGAGTCGGTATTTAAACCTCGTAGATCTACTTTAAATAAATTAATAAAAAAAACTCTATTTGCATTTTAAGATCCACTTTGAAAATGAGGTATAAAATTTAAAAAAACGTGTTCGGATTGATACATATTTATCTAAAATTATATAAATAGTCAATAAACTTTTTGCAGAAAAATAAGTCTGCACTTAGTGTTATGTATCAAATAGAATAGCACCCAGTATTATAAATAGATAACACAGATTCCATATATATATTGTCAACATGACTAAATAATTGTCATGTTGAAAAATAAAAGTTAATTGTTCCTCAAAGCAATTTTACTCAAAGATATAAAACTTACCAACTGAAAATAATTAAGGCACCAATAAGCTCTGAATAAAATGATTGGTTTGTTAGCATTTAATAAAAAATTAAATGAAAGGTTTAATACTTTATAAGATGCATTTTTGTGCATATAAATATACTAAAATGAACGCCAGCATTGACAGAACTGGCCACTTAGTAAAAGTTGATAAAAAAAGGCCAGTTCTATACGTTTTGATATGTTACAAGATCATGTTGTTACTAATATTGTTGAATAACTACACATATTTTTCAAACCGTAAAGAGGAGATGTACGTAGGATAAATGCAATATTTAGAAAAACCCTAAATATAAAAACATTACTTTATTTAGCTCAATTTTCTTAAAACAGAGGAAAATCATAATTACGTTAATGAAAGTCCCTTTAATTATTTTTATGAATTTCAGTCATTTGCTGCAATATTCATACATTATGTGTAACTAAACATTGTTAAATGAAACGTGACAATTCTCTACCATTTTTTTGTTATCAAATATATAATAGACCCTTAATTGTCAGAAACAATAAGGTGACAAAATTAAAACAATAGCAACATGTAAAATATATAATTCTTTTGTTCGTTGAAAATTACATGTGTTCGTTTTATAATAAGTACTTAAATTATGTTTGTTACATGAGCGGTACTACTAAAGCTAAGGACCATTGACAATATTTTTTATAGGCAAGCAAACAAATATTTGAACATTAATAATATTGATTGGAATTGTAGTCATGCTATGAATGTAAACGTCATCGCAAATATTTAACCTCTAAAATTATTTGTATTCCTTTATGAAAAACACATTAGAAAATAACATGAAAGAGAAAATGGGCTTGCGTTTCACCAGTAAAATCGATTTACATTTATTCAGTGAAGTTTATAAATAGAAATGAATCATCCCTATCGTCATCGATAGGGTTTAAATAAGATTGATCCGTTTCATCGTCAATGTGTTTATCTTAGGTTTGTTCCAACACAATAGCAAATCGGTTTACATACTGTTGGGATTCTCCGCAGTCTAGAATTCGTGTTCCAACAAACTTAGGACTCAAAACTGTACAAACACCTAGTGTTCCAACACACCCAAACCTAATGACAAACAAGTGTATGTACTGTCAAATCAGTTCATAGGTTTGAATAGGAATGAAATATCAAAAATGCGCAAAACGAAAGTGAAGCAAATAAACCACGATCAACTCTGGAAATGTCGTCATTATATTTGTTTTAATATTATTGATCGTAGTCTCGATCTAAGAAGTATATATCATTATTGATCATAATTTGGTTTGACAACAAAAACATTTATTCCAACCTTAGATATTCCAACACATCTAAGTTTCGAATAAAGTCCCAGACCTTGACAGGTCGTGGACAGGTCTCCAACTATCAGTCGTCGACAATAAGTTGTGGACTGGTTTATGTACGGTTCCAATATTGTTGTTGAAACAAACGTGTGGGCATTCTGTGAATTTGCCATGTAAAAGCTTTGTTGCAGCCTTCTTTGACGACTAGGAGAATCTTTTTACTCAGGCGAATAGTCGTCTGTCATTCAGTCCTCGTCTGTTTTATATTTGTTAGTATTCTGAAAGAGACTGCGGAAAGAGAACCTTAAATCTCTGTGAGCGTCTTAAATTTTTGCACCTTCCGTTCGTTTTTTCATATTCCAGCACTTTCCTTGGCCTAGCGTGTCTCCGATAGTAACCACTCTCGTACTCTGCGAGTTCGTGTAATTTTATATTTGGGTATATTCATAGCTTTTCAAAGGTGTCTCTGACCATCTCGTGTATGAGGTCTAGAACACTATTGGATTCTAGATCCCTCCTAATCACACATATCACATATTCGTGTGTAATCCTTTTCAGGCTGATGTTCTGTTGCCCTTGTATTTTCTTCCTGTTGGTCTTATGGAGGCCGTACACGCTCCTATATACCCTCCGGGCCAAAACGCACGGTTCTGATGTAAAGACTAAATATTTACATTAGACAAAAGACCACAAAAGAGGAGAGGCCAGATGTTAGTCAGATCAAGCACTTCACGATGAGCTATGGACTGATTCGATTAACTGTAAAGTTAAAATCTCACAAAAATCGTAGCGTGTAGGGCCTCCCTAATAGGTACATACCCAGGCCGCACCTACTTTGATTTTCTTTTACTATACGGAGAATGATCGCACTGCGCAGCTTTCTGAGTGCCTTTTAAAAGAAGATAGAAAACTCCGCCATTTTGATCCCATATTACGTGTTGCCTACATCTTGGCGCAATATTTTTAATAGGTGCGTTTGAATCATCCGCTTCTGCTTCGGAATTATCGGTTCTCTTGTTTTAATCTGACAGGTTAAAACGGCTAAACCAAAAATTCCGGAAGCAGAGGCGGATGATTCAAACGCACCTGATATTTTGCTTGCTACTGTCAGTGTCAGTGAATATTATTTTTGGAGTCACAGTTTATTGCTAAAGAATCAGTTAGCTCACTCGGACCAGTTGAAAGTTCCAAAATAACATCCACTCCAGGGATACAAATTCAGGATACGCAGAAGACTGCTGTTTTATTATAGGCGGTTGTCATATATTGTATTATCCGAGTTGCGCAGTGTATAAACTAGAACATTGAGATCAAAAGTGCCGACGCAGAGTGAGCGATCTGATTATTTAGCTATAAACTGTGGCATAGGAATCAAAATGGCCGCGTCGGACCTCTCTCTTGGACTGTATAGTAATCAAAGTATGTGCCCAGGCCGTGAAAGCATACATCAGTATAGAAATTATAACTGATTGGATGCGTCGCGTTTTTGTCCTGAGCCGAAGTTTAATTTTTCTTCCTATCAAACAGTTCAGTCTTAATCTGGCTTGTTCAATCGTCTTAACTACCACGTGTTTAGTGAAAGTGAGCTTCTGATCTAGTAAAACTCCACAGGATGTCCGTTCATCGTTACTTCTTCTCCAGATGAGTGTAGTCTTTTCTTAAACTGCACAGACTGGGCCTTTTCGGAGTTGATCTTGATCTTTTCTTCTGCTGCGATTTGTAGATGTTTTGATATTAGTCCAGGCTGTGTGCTTGTCGCTGAAATAGCTGTATTATTTGCGTAGAAGAACACGATAATTTGTTCTATCTTGGGTATATCTGATGTATATATGGTATACATCAGTAGGAACTGTACTGCCCCCTGCGGTACTACCGCTTCCGAAATTCTCGGTCTAGATAGGTTAAGTCCCTGCTTGATCTGGAATTGCCTACCGCCGGAGTACGATCTGAGCAGTCTTGTAATACCTGCTTTGTACCCTTGATATTTTATCTTGAAAATCAGTCCAGCGTGTCATTCATTGTCTGTCGAATGCCTTAGCGACATCCAAGAATATGGTTACTGTAGACTGATTTCTGTTGCATCGTCTTGTAATACCTTCGACAAGTCTTAGGTCTTACAATTCGGTGAAGTGTTCCTCTCTCAATCCGAATTGCTCATCGTGTATGATATTCAGATCTCTTGTTTCTTTTTTTACTCTTCTTAGTATTATTTTTTACGCAATTTCACTCACAGCCAAGAGCAAGCTAATGGGCTTGTAATTTAAAGTACTTGTTCGATTTCCAGATTAAAATCACCTCTGCTTTTTCCCACAGTCGAAGTACTGAAGTGTAAAAATGCCGTTAACGATAACTGTGAGGTAGACTGTGGCTGTCAGCAGCAGGTATTTCATCGCATCCTTTTTGGTAGATAAGTTTTTAATGATGTCTTTCACCTTGTCCGTAGTTGAGGGGGCGAGTTGTCCAATTACGGGTTCTACTTTGAAGTCGTCTTCTATTTCTTTAATAAAGTCCAAGTCTTTGTCTTCTTGTTCGTTGTTTAAACAATGCGTTTCTAGCGAGGTTGCAAAGGCATTAGCTTTATCCTCAGCTGTGCTTACTAACCCATTTGATCCATGCAATCTTGGTTTGGGTTTTATGTTGTCTCTCAAGATATTTTAAAGTTTCCATAAACAATATTTTTGAGAGTCTAGTTCTCCGAGAAATTCTTTCCAGCTTCTATCAGTATATTGTTCTAAGTTCTTTGCTGACTATTTGTCCTAGCATGTTCGCTCGTCGTTTGTCAATTGAGTCTTCCGTTAGGGATGCTACCTTCCTTGCTTTCTTCTTTGCTGTGATCAGATCTTTTAGGTCTTGACTTATGTATTGAAATTTATTTGGCTTAGCTTCTGTCACTGTAGTCGTACTGGTAGCAAGTGATTGCTGGAAAACTTGCCCTAGATTTTCAAGAGCCTCGTCTACGTCTTCCGGAACTTTAATTCTGGAGATGTTTCCCAGGTTTGTCTTAGACACTTCTTTCGGAGTATCTGCCTTTTCTCTTTCTCCCAAGAAAAGAAGAGTAGGCTCCTTTGTAGTGAGAACATTTCGAGGGGAAATGTGCAGTCTCTATTTCAATGACATATATCATTTGTTTCCAGAATAGTGTATGGAGTAAAAAATTAATTAATTCGGTTTAAAGATGTCTTGTACCAGCAATTTCTATTATATTATAAACTTTACAATCCATCAAACAAGTACGAATATAAATATACGAAAAATATCTTCATCTCTGGATTCTGATGTATTATCTTCACTCTTACTGCTTTTTTGTTTCTATTTTTATTATACATAGATACAAAGTATAGTGTTGTCCAACACATTTCCTAAAATATCTCATGGCCGACGAAGAAGAGTTTCGCCCTTTAAAACTGCAATTCATAAAACGTGGATCGTATTTTTATAAATTATATAGTAATTGATGGAAGCACTGCACTGTTTGAATGCATTACGTCCACCGATATTTAGTTTTTTTATCATTAAAATTATTTGGTGTAATAATATATTGTTTCTCAAAATAATAGCGATAAATGAATAAGTGTATGTTCAATGATAGACTAAATAACATGAACACACGCATTTAACAAATTATTAGTACCTAACCAAAATTTTTTATTGTATTGAAAATGGTGCTTCTGTTACCAGTTATTTTAATTACATTGCCATATGTTTATTCTATCATAGAAGAATGTGGACTAGAAGTAAATTATTGCAAGAATGAAAAGTTTAGATCAATATCTGGAGGTTGTAATAACCTTAAACATCCCAATTGGGGTACAATTCATTCCACATATGACAGACTTATATTGCCCAATTATGGACCTAGTAAGTATATTGATAGTATTTTATATTAAGGGATTCAAGTGCTCCTTTTATATTATAATTTTAAGGTAAATTGTTTATATAAAGTGCTTAACGAGGTTAAAATCCGTCGACATTAAAAAACATATTTGCAAATTATCTTTTCTTTTATTGTACTTTGTTATATTCAACCAATCATAGCCTTTTTAACTTTATATTTAGAATTATATCCAATATTCCTATATCTATATAAGTGAATAAACTAATAATTATTTCTGATCCTCACGAATATCTCTAGATACAAGCAATAAAAAATGAAAAAAGAAAACTAATAATCCATACTGACATTTTTAAAACGAATTGTACCTTTGATATGTGAATTTTTCCACGGTATACTTAAGATTAATTTTGGATCACTCCTTATGTTCAAAAACCAAACTTTCTAAATTATTAAACGAAAAAAACATTTGGAAATTAATTTAACTTACCTATAAAGAAATAAAATGACCTGTAGAGTGGGTCTACAAAATAGCGCTCTACCCAGATATTTAGAACGATGTTTCAAAAGATCTAAAAATACCGCTTGGTGACATTATCAACCTGTAAGACATTGACAAAATGAGTGGCTGACTCTCATAACACCTTCTGGCAATATCCAACAGTTTAGTGACGAGCTCAGAGGCAGGGACTCGGACCGAACCGTTATTAACCGAAAACCGGACCGGAACCGAAATGTTTTAGATGGACCGGAACCGAACCGAACCGATAATATATTAAAAATATTTTTTATGGACCGGACCGTACCGAACCGAAATAAAAATGAATTTTTTCGGTTTTTTTTTCGGTTCTTGTGTCTTTTTCATATGCTTTTTTGTTGGCTGGAATAGCTGATTCACGTGACCAGTAAGACTCACTGAGTCACTGAACACTGAACCCCATAGTTTTTATGACTGAAAGTAGCTGAATAATAAAACCACACCACACATCGGAAAAAAGACAAATAAAGTGAAAGTAGGTAACGTCAATATTAATTCAGCTACTACAAACTACAATTAATAGACTTAGGCTAGTAGGACATTGTGCCGCCCCGGAACACCTTCACCGGATAGGAGTGTATAACTCCCCTAATTGTGAGTGCGGACAAGTAGAGAGGCAGGTGAAAACGCAACTTGTTCCAAAATAAATTATATTTAGACATGGTACTGGCGTTCATACTATTGGGCATTTGGCCTTTACAAGTCAATCTTATTCTGTCAGATTGTACAAGGTTATACATTATAAATTACCCACCCCTTATTATCGTTATTATTACCTATAGAAACAGTCACAAATAAAAGTTGAGTGGTTATAGCTGTTTTTTGTTAAAATTCTATCAAATGTACAGTAGCGTGCATATTTCAGGGGATACAAATTTTTTAAATGGGATGCCCTGTATATTTTTACTTTTTTATAATCCTCTCGATGAGCTGATTTCAACGATGTATCATACCTGATGTCTAATCTGGATAATAAAGGATCTACAGCCACATGAAAAATCACATTTTTGGAAATTGGAAATCTCATCTGACTTTTGAGTAAAAAAAATGTGATTTTTCAGGTGGCTGTAGATGTTTACTATCCAGATTAGACATCAAGTGTGATCCATCGTTGAAATCAGCTCGTTGAGAGAATTATAAAAATGTAAAAATATACAAGGTATCCCCGAAAATATGCACGCTACTGTACATTTGATAGAATTTTAACAAAAAACAGTTATAACCACACAACTTTTATTTGAAACTATTTTTTTCAATATGCAATACCGATAATAAGGGGTGGGTAATTTATAATGAATAACCCTGTACATACCTACTATAAAAAAATCAATCGAACCGAAATAACTGAACCGAACCGAAAAAAATTTGGTAGAACCGGACCGAACCGAAATTTTTTTTTGAGAACCGGAACCGTACCGGACCGGATTTTTTTAAATGTGATAAGAACCGGAACCGAACCGAACCGTCAATTTCATTTCGGTCCGGGTCCCTGCTCAGAGGTAGATTCTGTGTGTCCCTGGAGTATCGCATTGTGAAGGCAACAGACAAAATAGCCCCACTCGCGCAATTACTATCGAGGTGGTAGGTCTCACCAAACAGCCACTTTTAAAAATGGGGACAACTAGAGATCTCTCAGCAATAACCAGCAAGCTTATTAACGGACTGAAAAACTCAGGTTCTATAAGCCTTAGTGATGTAGCGCAACCCATCATCCCATAACTTACTGATACTAAAATAAATATTGGGAAGGAATTTTTCGAGGTCACTTGAGGATACACAGTTTTAGATGTAGGATAATCAAAGAAATTAATTTTGTAATCAGGGGCTGTAGCTACCACAGTGTCGCATCTGCCATCATCGAGAGCTTGTTAAACACGTCTTTACACTTCGACTACCGACAGTATAAAGGATACAACTACAGTGTACTGGCTGACAAGATAATAGAAAGTCACTTAAGGAGCCTGTATGAATAAGCTTACTTCCTACTAGCAGTAATTAATTGTGAGGGGGATCAATGTTATGTTATATAAAAGAGAGTTGTCAATATACGTTTAATTTATAAGGATTGCAATATTTATTTTACAACTTATTACATGGCGCAGTCAGTGGTTATTTAGTTAAATTTCCTTATTTCTAAAACGTAAAGGAAAACAACATGTCAAAAAGAAAACTACGGTCTAAAACTTTTGTGGAAGAAGTGAAGCAATCTGCTAGTTGTAGATTGACTTCTTTAGAATCTGCAGTATCTTATACAGAAAATAGTATTACTTTGTTAGAAAAGAAAACTAATGATGCTTGAGTACGGATAGAATCTAATTAAGGACAACAATGCTCTTATATTCAGACTATGTTAGAAAGTGTAGTGATGAGAGACAATGATGCACAAAGTAGTTCAACAGAAGCTCCTGAAATATCCACTAACATTTCCAACGCTAGTCAAGAAAATTCCTACATAAATAAGGCCACTAGTTCCAGGTCTGAAATCCATCTTTCAAGTGCAGTTCCCAATCCTAAAAAAATTAAAGAATCTTCAAAATTTTCTGTTTAAAGGTTGAAGGTGAAAATTTGAAAATTACGTGATATTACAGAATTTTGAATGTATTCCCGAAAAACAATTAGTGGCGCTTCTTGAATCCTTATTGAGTCAGGATAGTTCTGATGTTGTTAGATTGATACTTAAAATTTAAAATAAAGATAATCTAACAGCAGTGGAAGTACCGTTGAAAAAAATGGAATTAAGGCAGATGAAAAGAAAATAGAAGCTATTTAAAAGTTCCCAATTCCCACCTGTTTAACAGAACTGCGCTCGTTCTTGGGCATTGCAAATCAACTAGGAGGGTTTTCTTTAGAAATCATTTCTTACGGTCTGCGCGGCACGATGAAGCATTCAACGATGTTCAAAAGGCGTTAGTCAAACCACCTGTATTAGCACATTTTGATTCATCCCTTGAGACAGCTCTACATACCAGCGTCTCACATCTGAATGGCCTAAGATACGCTCTAATTCAAAGACATGGGAACATATGGAAACTTCTATAGTGTGGTTTTCGTTTTTTTTTTCTGACTACTGGATATAGTAGGTATGGTCAATAAAAAAGTGTAAATTGTATCTACATGGTTAAAATAATCTTAAAATTGTGACAGACCATAAACATTTGTTACCAATTCTGAATTCCTATAACCTAGATATAATAGAGAATCAAAGACTACAGAGATTGAAAGAAAAATTATGTCGATACAACTACGTGGCTGAATGGACTTAAGAATCTCAACATCGTACACTAGATGTCCTATCAAGATCACCAACAAATGTTCCCCTTAAGAAACAACTATTCGGTGAAGATTCTATTACTTAAGTTAACTCACTCATCATTCAGAAAATTGCTTTAGTAGATAATACTGATGAGCTAACAAGGGAATCACATATTCTAGACCCTATACTGGAAGTTTTACAAAAATGGGCTAAAGAAGACAAAGTCTACGAAAAGTTAACAGAAGTTATAAAAAAAGCTTTTTCCGATTGTAAAGAAAGGTTAGAAAACCCGCTTATACCTCATTGGAGCGTTATTAACGAGTGTCGATAATGGCTTGATTTTTAAGGGATGTCAAATCTTAATACCTGGGTCTTGCAGAAAAATGGTACTGGGCCGATTACATGACTCCCATCAAGGTATTTAAAGAACAAAACGGCGTGCTCGACAGTTTTCTGGCCTACCATAAATAATGATATAAAGAATATCATGGAGACGAGTTTTGTCAAATTTCAAGACCTTTTTTACAAAAGGAAACATATATGAGTGATCCACTTCCAAAACTTCCATTTCAAGATGTATCGGCTGATTTGTTTTCTTATGAAGGACAAAAATATATGGTCTATGTAGACAGATTGTTCGAATAGCCAATAATTTACCATTATAGAAATCGAGACCCAAATAGTTTGGCTAGAATTAACGATTTAAGGAAACATTTTGCGGACACTGGGGTTCCTTTACGTTTCCGTTCAGACAACGGACCGCAAGTGATGGATCCCGTTTAGTACCCCGTTCTTATTGAGCATTCGAATTTGTCGGGTCACTTTTCTTTGGAGCTATTCCAGCCTCGAAAAAGGCACAAAATCAACATACCACCTTGTAACATTATTGGTTACAGTCGACGGATTTTTGGGATATGCTAAAAAAAGTTGTAGTATGCTCCAGTGACACAAGTACCCATCGGAACTCGATCTGTGGCAATTACGCTATGTTTATCGTAGGCAAAGGTCATTGAATACACGCACGCTGCTTTATTATTGAAATCGGACCCAGCAGACAGTTCTCGTTGAGTTTTCAAATTGTTGGCATTTACCATTTTAATATGATACCTATGTGTTCTTAAGACTTACAGCTTACAAATTAAGAAGATCTCTTTTTATGACTTATTTTTTATGTTTAAAAAAAATAAATGGAAAATTCTTTAAAATAAATTATTTTTTCTAGACCGTTTAAAATATATCGCAAAACTACATTTAGAACCTTTTTAACTTACTTACCTTTTAATTTACAACAAAAAGTGTTCGAGAATGGATTTATTTTCTTTATTAATTTCTTAATATAAATTCGCGTTATCTATTTTGACACTTTGCCCCACCTAAACGGTTCATGCTTTGGACCTTTTCGAAGAACCAAGAGATATCGATGTACCGCCAAAGCAGTAACAAGTTCGTTCGCCACCGCTTAATTTTTGTGCCTTCGCTTTATGTATGCCGCTCGCCGACCAGTCCAATATTCCAAAAGGTAAGGTGTCAAATACGTTTATTAATTTATTTAGTTTGATTATTTGAATCAGCCCTTTTTGGCAGCATAACATCCGTTCTGTTTCAAAAAGAGATTCGCGCAAACACACGTTATTGTTCGCGCATGACGTATTGTGGTGGGGAATATGGCTGATTGAATAACTTTATTTTCGCGCTCCGTTTTCAATCAGCTGATATCTAAAATTCGTAAAAGCGACGCCTTTACACCCCAATACGTATAAATCGGCATATCATACCTTCTTTTTGAAATATCATGGACATTACATATTTTATTAGCTTGATCTGTGATATTAGCAAAATGAATTAGAGGTTAGGATATTTTAGTGGAAGGTACCACCATACAATAGCGTTTGGGACTAAATTAGTAGCATTTGCCTATTGGATATTTATGGTATTTAAAGTAATATCTTAGTGGAGTGAAAAAAAAAAACAGAAAGGTATGTAATTAAAAAGTAGTAGTGACAGTTATTAGAGAGCTACGCAGCTATTACTAAGCTGCCGAGTCGCGGCATGTAAAGCGACGTTTTGCCTCACTAGATCCTACATCAGGTTCTATTTCAACCAATACACTATAAGAAATACAAGTACTACATGAACAACTAAAATAACTACAACTTTACAAGATATTAGAAAAATCTAAAGGGACATAGCTTATAATAGATACAAAAAAGTCTAAACCTCACTGGGAGTATTACAAACAATTACGTAACAAATGGAAACAAATGAAAAAAATGAACATTAATAACATAAATAATTGTATTATTCTGGATGTCCTCAAAAAGGGAAATTAATATATTAATTTTTTAATTAATGAAGCGAGAGACCACCGTTTACCGGACAATGATCTATAAAGGTACTATAACGATAATGTTAAAGTTATATCTGCAGAAAATTTAACTTTACCAACACCAATGATGATGATGGGGTTCTAAATATTATTAAAACTATAAAAACTAAAGCATATGGCCTTGACAATTTAAATGTACAAATAATTATACTTTGTTGCAAGACAATTATACCTCATTTAGTCCGTATTTTTAATAAATGCATAGATCATTTCTACTTTCCTTATATTTGGAGAAAGGCTTATGTGGTACCTTTACCAAAAATCTCGAAGCCATTAAAGTTTAGTCACCTAAGGAATATAAGTATTCTTCCTACGTTCTCTAAAGTACTAGAGAAAATACTGCTAAAATATTACCATTAAACCAATCAGGCTTTAGAAGCGGTTAAAGTTGTTCTACAGCATTAACTGCAGCTACAGATGATATTGCTTCTTCTCTTGACAACAATATGCTTTGCGTTTTAATTTTGCTTGATTACTCCGTTGCCTTTGACACTTTGAAACATCAAATATTGCTTACAATTTTAAATTATCTAGGTTATAATAATACTGCCATTAATTTAATGAACTCATTTCTTTCAAACAGTGAACAAAAGATAAAAATCGAAAATAAGTGTTTGCAAGTGTTCCAGGGTGTACCACAGAGAAGTATTTTAGGTCCTCTGGTATACATCATGTACACTTCCAACTTTTATACCCATCTGTCTCACTGTAATTACCTACCATTTCTACGTAGATGATACACAATTGTGTTATTCGTTTCCTTTATCTGACATTAACTTGGGACAAATACAAATTGATAAGGATTTATCAACACCTATTAAAAATAAACGCAAAAATATCTTGCGCCATTTTGTTTGGATACGAAAAACATACTTTCTGGCTATGGAACAACTACAGATTAATATAGGTACAGATATTCTTGCTTTTAGTGATAATTGTAAAAACTAAGGACTACTTTTTGTATCTAAACTTCCTTTGATAAACACATTATCAGAAAAAATAAATAGAGCTTATGCTTCACTAAGATTAATTTATCCCCATTGATCGATTTTAAATTATTAAACAAAAGAGATGTTAATGGATTCATTATTTCTTTCACAATTTTCTCATTGTGACACTGTTTATGGACCTTTCCTCAGGAAATCGGATATATACTATATTCAGACTGTTCCAAATTCATGCTTAAGATTAATTTGTGGCATTCGGAGAAAAAATAGGATTTCTCATAAACTGAAAAAAATGGGTTGGCTAAGTGTATGAATAACCGTAAAAAGCTTCACTTCAGTTGCTTTTTCTATAAAATTTTAAAAACGAAAAGTCCCCGTACTTGTACAACAAAATTAAATTAAGAACGGACATTCATTATTTGAACATACGTACAAAAAAACAAATTGCTATTTTTCCTCACAACAAAGAGTTATATAAGTCTGCCTTTACATATCAGATCTCTCTAACTGGTAATTTTTTGGATATATCAACTTTCTCTTTATCGATTAATGCATTCAAAAATTCTCAAAAAAAAAATTGTTTCAACAGCAATAGTTGCTTAATAGTAACTTAACTTTAAATTTATAATTGTTATTTCTTTTTGTTTTTTTATTTTAATTCATTCTCATTTTTTAATCGTTGTGGTCTGGTCAGGGTAGGGTGAAGATGTATTGGAATATAATTTATGTATGTATTTTTTTTTGTTAAAGGATGGTGAGGAAGAATTGGTCAGTAGACCTATCACCACTTCTTTTGTTTACTATCGTTAATTATTGGCTTTAATATTTTATCTGTGATGTATATTTATTTTATGTGGTAAACAATAAACGATTTATTATTATTATTAATGAAAGTGTACTTTTAAGTTTACTCTTTACATACGGGTGAACAAACTATATAAAACTATTGTTATCTGAATTATCGACTGTTACAATTTTTGTAGAGATAGTTCTTCTTATTTTTGCACTCCATAGTTTTTACTTAATTTCTCATTCTTTAACTATAAATATATTAAATAAATTAAATGGTATGTAACATGACATGACCATTAAATACTAGAAACACAGTCAACATACGATACTTAAACGAAAAATCAGTCTATTTGGAATTAAACAAATTTTTACGTATTTTTTTATCATAATCGTCATCTGTTGTTTCATATCCTTTATTAACCAATAATTTAAATTTATTATTTTAGGTAATTCCATACGCTCAGCTGTCAGTGGAAATCCATTGCCCAATGCTCGGCTACTATCTCAAAATATATTTACCGACAAAAGTGTACCTGATAAAGAACATACTTTGGTTTTAATGCAATACGGACAATATGTGGCACACGACATGAGTTTCACCTTTTTTGGTAAATATCCTATAAGTTTATTTTTTAAACAAATATAATAATAATACTCTCCCTAATTCACCCCCTTACGAGTGAATTTTAACCCCAAAAGCTAAGCTTGTCCGGGGAAAAGGACGGCTATTAATAATAATTTCCGTGGCGCTCCGGGGCGACTTAAAGATGATTGATGGTGCCATTTGAGTTACAAATGAGGAAAACCACACCCACCATCATATACCGCCATATACAACTATATACATTTAATGATATGGAAACACTCGGTATGGGAATTCCAATCAAAAAAAATTTCTCAAACTGATGTGGTTCGAATAATACAAACTCAATTGTTAACTGTTATTTATATCTTCTTCTTTTTCTTCGTTTTCTTCGTCTTTCAGTGGTACGGTCGCTACTTTAATTTTATTTCTAGTGTTCTGCTGCTCTCCTCTTGTACACCTTTATATTTCTTTTTCAGACCCCATATATTTTTTTGCTTTATCTTCTCTTTTGTTTTCTTTTTAATTTATTTTCATTTTTAAATTATTTTATTTCACACTTTCTTTTTCATTTCTTCAATTCTCATTTTTTTTTATATATTTATTTTATTAAATTTTTATTCTAACTTTTTGCGTTTATTTCTTTTCTAGAAATTATAAATTAAACTCTTCTATTTGTTTATTTACTTCTTTGTTTTGCATATTTGTCTATTCGTTATTTGTTTTTATTCTTTCTTCTAAATTTTTGCAATTACTTTGTTCATACTCTTTTAATTTATTTCTTTTCGCTTGACTTTTATTTCATTCTATTTTCTTAATTAAACTTTTTTTAACTTGTTTCCCATTTTCATTAATCTTCCTCTCTTTTGTCTGATTCCTATTTTTTATCATTTTCATCTAATTTATCCGTTTTTTTATACATTTTCCTACTGTAAACATGCTTATTAAATTTTATTTTATCTTCCTCTTTCTTCTTTATTTATTTTTACCCAATGACTATTTATCTGTTGCACGTTGGGCGCCACTTGATTGAAAATACATTGTAAAAGAATTCGAATAAAAAACATATTTCAAAATTTTAGATAGAGGTTACAAATACAGTTTAAAATAAAAAGAATTGAAAAAATAGTTTTCAATTATGTATATCTTCTTTTTCTTCTTCTTCTTTTTTTTTCTTCTTCTTATTTCAGTGGGAATTTTGTTTCTACTACTCTGCTGCTCTTTAGCTATGTATAAAATTATCATGTTCTTATTGAGCCTTCCTACGTACCTCTGGACTCTGTTATCCTAATTTTTGGTGTATCTTTTAAAAAGTAAAAGCTTTAATTTTATAGTTTTATTTTTACAAACATACAGTGTTTTCGAAAAATAGTGAATATATTTATTTACATATAAATATTTGATGCCATTTATTATATTTATTAAAGTTCAATGTTTTTCTCGTTGCGAACTATCATAGTTAAAGGTGATTTCCAGGAAACTACACACCAATACACAATATAAAAAAAATGGTGAACATTATACTAATTCTTTACATCCAACTTTGATAATTATTATTTTAGCTGATAATCCTGGAAAATGTTGCACTCCGAGTCTTCAATTACTAGAGAACTCACCACCCGAGTGTGTCAGTGTTGAAATACCTCCAAATGATCCAGATTATCAAATACATAACATAACATGTATATCAGTCCTTAGAACTCAAACAAATCAGAATTTAAATTGTTCAAAACATTTGAAATATGGTGAGCAGGTAAGGATCTAATTTTATTAATTAAATGAACAGCGTAAATAAACTAATGTATATTGTTTGAAAACATTTTTTTACGGTAAATTTTATTTGATTAATGTGTACTGAGATTTAGCAATAACAGTAAACATAAAAGTTATTGTCAGATAATAAGGTGCACGTGGCAACACCGCAAAGAGACAATCATAAGGATCAGCGTTACCTCATTGATAACAAACCGCAATTTTTAAAAGTCGAAAACTGAACATACTTCCTCAGACCTACAAAATCACTTTTGTAGGAAATACATATCTTCACAGGATGTAGATAACAGTAACCTACAATTGTAGAATGTTTTAGTTTTGATAAGAAAATTCTCGGACCGATGAAACGAATGTAGAGAAACTGCTTGTCATGCGGCTTTAACGGGTTTTTCTGGAATAAAAGATTATTCTTCGACGTCAGAACAATGCGAATATAAATAAGAGAAAATAACGAGCTAACTTCATTTTACATTTGGTTCCCGAAGTAGCAACAGCAAATATTTGGTGTGTGTTACAAAAAAAGTTAATAATAATATACAATGACGTTGTCAAGCATATAAATAACGGGAAAATAAGTGAGCATTTCATTTCGTTCCAGTAAATATTTAGTAGTTCTGTGTGTTATGAAGGAAGGTATAGTAAAAAATATGTGTTTTATCATCTATTTTTTCTATAGAATTTAATTTTAGTTGGGCCTCTAAATGGTAGATTTTTTCTCTCTCTTTGCTGACGAAACGATTGGTCCACTAAATAGTAGATTTTTCACTCTCTCTTTGCTTTTAAAAGGATTAATCGTCTAAATAGTAAATTATATTTCTGCCTCGTCTCGTAAATAAGATCATGTCGCCCCCTGTATATGCTTGGATTCGATCACATAGTTGAAAGCTAAAACTATTTGCTACATTCACCTCTTCGTTGATCCCTTTATCCCCTTATCTCCTTATTTCTTTTCTTCAGTCTTTGTTTATGTGCGGTGAAGATCACATCTATATTTTGTAGTGAATTTAAAAAAGTGTATCAGATGACTAAACCAAAACCTAAACATTCAAGGAAACGTCGATGCAGCAGTAGTTCATCGAAAAACGAAAAACGGCGGCAGTAAAAAGATGTTACGACGTTTAGAACGTCGGCGTCGTATAGATGGTTTAGAGTGAAATTCGCCGATCGTATCTGCTAGCCGTGGAAGTTTTGCTCCGCAAAACAACTCTCGAAGAATATCAACATCATCGTCCAGTATAAACACATTCTCTGAAAATATTTTTATTTATTTTTTCGTGGTGCCTACTTTTAAATTTCATTTACAGCTATTTTATTTTTAATGTGTAATTCTTTTTGCAAAAGTAGTTGTTATTAGCCTTATTTTTAGGCTTTAGGTACAGGCATTAAAAAAAAACAAAAAATATATAAATATAGCAACTTGATACCCAGGTATTTTTATTGCTAGGTAATGTTTATACTAGCGTTGCTTATAGGTATAATTTAAATTGTTTGGATGACAATTTTCGTTTTATCTGTGGAAGATAACTCCGTTCTTAAAACATTATTAAATGGTTAGTGACATCACTACCTTACCTGAAGTGAAGTTCAGCCCACCCAATATTTCTAAAGTCCCTTTTTTAAGTTGCAACAAGTATGCTATGAAATGACTAAAGAAAAGAATTGGGATAAGGAGATGCGGGGATCAACGGAGAGGTGAATGTAGCAAATAGTTTTAGCTTTCAACTATGTCTTTGAATCCAAGCATATACAGGGGGCGACATGATCGTATTTACTTCGACGAGGCATCATATAATTAAGATAGAACTTCACTTCAGTGATCTTATAATTTTTCGCTCTCTTTGCTTTTGAAACGATTTTAAAGTATACTTACTCTCTGCTTTTTCTATATACGATTTTTAGCGTATTTTAAATTTTTTTTTCTAAATAGTAGATTTTTGCTAACTCCTTTTTTTATATATAAACGATTTTTTACGTATTTTTAATTTAATTTCTTTTTCTAAGTAGCAGATTTTGTTATATTTTTAATTTCTTTTCTAATTTTCACTCTATAATTTAAATTACAATTTTTTAAAATGCGATTTTTTATTTTCTTGTACAAAAAAATATTTATTGGAATAACGGGCCTTATACATTGTTTATTATGTGATATAAAAACAATAGGCAGAAGGACAGAAGTTCAATAAAACAGGCTTAAGTTTGGCACTTGTAAACTGAGTATTGTTAAAAAAATTCAGTAGTCATATCTTGGTTTGCACACTTGAATCAGCTTTTATAAATCCAGTTGGCAAACTCATTTTAATAATAAAATTAAACCTATTAGCAAAGACAGAAGAAATAACAACAACGAATGTTAGGTTAGGTGGTGTCAATTTTAAGTGTCACTAAGATGTGCGTTCACTTCGACATTCTATGTGTCGGTTTGTTCGTTGGCTTGGTTTTGTATAACAAAAAAAACTTCGACACAAGCTGATTGGTCTATTCCTGATGACGTATACATTTCAAATTTTAAATTGGTTATAATTTAAAAAGTTTTGGCTTTTTTAACGAACTGATTATTTAGAATAACTTGTATAGCGACTAACTATTATAATATAATTTATAAAACAGCATATCTCATATGTGAACATGGCCCATTGTAGACCTATGCAAGTTTAATGGAATGCTGTGTGCAACGGAAAAATTCATTTATAATCCTATTCCCTGCATGTAATACGCCAATGAATCATACAAATGTACCCAGAAGACCACTGAATGTCTACGTCACTGGTTTCTTAATACTGTATTGCCGTTGTAATTTTTGTTAATAATAAATATAATATTTAATTAAATGTTGTTTAATTAAAAACCTTATCAATTTCAAACATTTATTTTTGTTTTCCAAGAAGAGTAAAATTTTTTATTTATAATTTTTACAATTATTTTAATTTTCGATCAAAATATATATATTTACAGTTAAATGCAGCAAATAACTATCTAGATCTATCTGTTATCTACGGTTCTACAGATGAAGAAAGTAACTCTCTAAGAACATTTAAGGGCGGAACTCTTGCTATGGATTTTAGAGATGGATATTCATGGTTAACCGCATCACAAAATCGCTTTGAATGTGGATTTAATCTTCCAACCACCAGATGTTATCGAGCAGGTAAGTGAATATGTAAAAATAGCTTGTACTTTTACTACACCTATTTTAATTTCTCTTTAAACAATTTGCTAGGTGACTTAAGAGTAGATCAGAATCCTCAACTAACAACTCTTCATATTCTTTGGGCAAGAGAACACAACAGAATATGTTACATTTTACAAAAATTAAACCCTCATTGGGACGACGAAAGATTGTTTCAAGAAGCAAGAAGAATTGCTATAGCCCAACACCAATACATAACCTTTTATGAATTGCTTCAATTGTATTTTGGACAACTACTTATTAGAGACAGTCACATTATTTTTGATACAGATGGTTATGTAGACGATTACGATGATGAAATGAGACCTCATGTTTTTAATGAGCATGCCCAGGGAGCTTTTAGACATTTTCATGGAATGGTGGAAGGGCACCTAAAGTAAGTTTATTTATTTAGTACACCACGCAACAATTAAAAACCAATTATAGATAAGGGTGAATATAGAAAAATATATTTTAATCATAAAATAAATCATATATATGTATAGTCTGAAGAAGAAAGGAGTGCAGTATAGATAGCACAAAGTCGTCTTTAAGACGTCTAGCATAAGACATTCGTGACGTCTTTAAGACGTCTGGTATTTCCTGAAAGACGTCTTTAAGACGTCTTAGAAGACGTCTGATGTTACAAAAAGCGACGTCTTTAAGACGTCTTATTAATGGCTTATATTGGTCTGTAGAGCTTAAAATAAGCCATAAATAAGACGACTTATTAATAGCTTATAATGGTCTTGTAAAGCCTTAAATAAGCCATAAATAAGATGTCTTATTAATGGCTTATAATGGTCTTGTGAAGCTTTAAATAAGCCATAAATAAGACGTCTTTAAAACGACTTATTAATAGCTTATAATGGTCTTGTGAAGCTTTAAATAAGACGTCTTTAAGACGTCTTATTAATGGCTTATAATGGTCTTGTGAAGCTTTAAATAAGCCATAAATAAGACGACTTATTAATAGCTTATAATGGTCTTGTGAAGCCATAAATAAGACATCTTTAAGATGTCTTATGAACGTAGGACGTCGGATATCTTGGTTAATAAAAAGTAGAACAACCTTGCAGATTATAAAATAATGCAGAAAATAGAATTAAAATATTTATTGATAAAACATCTATTAATCACAGGTCACTAAGAGTTATTTTCTTTGTAGCGCATTCGTACTCCTCTTTAGCCATAACTGCATTGATTTTTCTCTTTGATTTGTAGTTGCCTTTGTATAGCTCCTAAAAAGAAATTTAGTTAAGAGCATCTAGTCACAGAAAATTATACTTTGCAAAAGTTAGTAAAAATCGACAGAACAGTTATCTATAAAGCAAAACAAAAAATTAATTTCTTAGAATTTTAAATCAAAGAATTTTTATAATCATTTAATACAATATGAGCTATTATGCTTAATCGCCTACTTTAACAATTTTACTTTAACTTCACTCAAAATGGCTATCTAATAGGGAGTTTTTGATATTATTAGTTCTTAAAATCTCCATAAAAACAAACAAAAATGATACTTGACGAATATCTGAATTAAATCTTATATTAAGATGTTTACTTTTAAATTAATTTAATTATTCTTAGAAGAAACAGGATATTAATGTTCTATGTATATAAACAAATATTCATTTATTACCTGTATTCCAGGAATGTGCTACATCGGTAACACAAACTATTCTTCCCTCTCTGGTTTTTGTTCCATATTATTTGAGTAGAAAGAGACACAAATGCTCAAAATAGCCCAAAGTCACTTTTGGTGACTATAATCGTGTACGCAATAAAATAATCAATAATCCACAATGAGCTTGGGCCATACAAATTTTTGGCTTGGGCTTGAATGTATTTCTTCTTTTCTTCGTTTTATATGGGCTCAATCTTTTCACTTTTCCACTGCACTTGATATTTGATTTCAATTATCTTCTCCAAATATTACACTGAATATTTTGTTTAATTTTGTATACTTTTTAAATTCGGATGGTCACTTTTATACTAGATATTTTGTGATTTTTATGGGATTGCTTGGCTCCCGATTCGGAGAACGCCATTTCAATATTGCCACGATGGTGTCCGAATCGGAAGTCCGGCTTGAATATAATGTTAAATCAAACGTCAAACTTCACTTCATTTAATTCTTCTTGTTAAATTTGAATTATGTAAACCGTGCAAGTTTCCGTCCGACTGAAAGACGTTTGTAAGACGTCTTTGAGCTTTCACATTAATATATGGATTTGGCAAGACGTCTTTAAGACGTCTTAAGAACGTCTTTGAGCTCTCACATTAATACATCTGAATTATGGCTTTTGAAAGACGTCTTATAAGACGTCTTAATAACGTCCTAGGACATTGAGACCAAACCAAGACCCAAAAAAGACGTCTTTCAGACGTCGTGTGCTATCTGATAACATTACGAGTGTGGAAAGGGACATTTTTCACACGAGTGGGAAATATTGTCGCACGAGGCGTAAGCCGAGTGCGACTATCACACAAGTTTGGAAAATCACTTTTCACACAAGTGATGTAAAATATTTTTCCTACGACCACAAAATAATTTCATCAAAAAAATGTAAAACCAAGGTTATTATTACTATAATAATTCAAATGTATTTAAAAAAATAATTAACAATAATCGTATTTATTCAGTTTTTATATTTTCTAAACAAAAAAAAACTAAAAAAAAATTCTGCCCCGCCAGGATTTGAACGCGGTCGAAAAATGGCAAAGTTGATAAGTTCGACGTCCTAATCACCTGAGCTAATAGCCCTTGTGTCAATTGAATGATCTAATCGGTTATGTATTTAACCATTATTAACATTATTTTAAAATTATTTTAATAATAATTGTTAAAGATAAATATCTAGGATCTAATTTACAACAATTTCAATAATTTAACAATCATATCGATTTTAGTATTAATATGGATATTACATAGATCAAAATAGAAATTAGTTGTTTGACATTTTGTGACAACTACTGCGGAAAGTAACATATTCTCACTCGGGTGGAAAGTAAATTCTTATTCATACGCGTGTGATATAGGGCACTTTCCATAGGACTATATAGTGTGATATGTGTCACTTTCCTAAGTGGTCGTAGGAAAATTTAATTTACACAACGTAGTACAGGTTATTTGTAGATAAAATAAAAATTTAAATACATCTGATCGGGCTAATTAAAGTTTTCGTTTAGATTTACTCATGGTTTGTTGACAGAAAAGTCAAACTTTATTTATTAATAGCTGTATTGTATGTATTTTAATTATTAAATAAAAAAATGTCACGTTTTACGTACTCTTTAATAATTAAGGGACTATCGATGTCCCGGGGGTTGAATAACAAAACATAACAGTCTGGGCCTACATAACGTAAGGACTCTATATTGCCTTAAACTTGGCTTCGTAGCCCTTAACTGTATAAGGGTTCTACTCTTGATGTATGAACCTAACACGTCTCTGTAAAAGGGCTGAAGGAAACACAATGTTTTCTCAAAACAAATATAATATTATAATTAAAATAGGATACAAAATAGGTCACAGCTCGATACACAAATATGGGCTCAATATAATATAAAAGACAATAAAATACTTACTTACCAACTCCACTAATATTTGGGCACATGTCACAACGCTTAGCCAACTATTAAAAAATGCAATTATTCAAAATACAAAATAAAGACTTTTAAATTAGACTATGAAGATCATGAGCTGAAGCTGCTACTGGGAATCGCCTACAAGGGAGATCTCCTATGGGGAGGATCCGTTCCCTGCGGAAAAAGCCCTGCGCGTCCCCTCGACATTACTTTTATCACTTCTCCATAGTTTATTTTTATGAAACTCATGTTTATTAATTATTAAATAACCAACCTTGCACATTATTGCAATTTAAAATAAATTGTCGACATACTTAAACAAAGTTTTTAGTACAGGATGTTATTTAAATAATTAATTAAAATTAAAAAAATATGAATTTATACGAGTTGTGACAATATACCAAAGGCAAGTTTTGTCAGCACAAATGATGGAAACACGAGCCGAAGATTTTTTGAAGACTCTAAAGTGGCTTCCGAAATAACGGGCATTAGTGATGAGCTAATTTATAAATTAAAGATCATACTAGAAACGATTTCGAGCGGAAAAATAAGACAAATACGTATTAGATGCTGCTCGCTTATATGTGCAGCTGTACCCTTGGCACCCAATGACACCAACGATCCACAAAATACTTATTCATGCAGTTATAATAAAAACTGCATTGGGCTGTCTGAAGAAGCCGCGGAAGCACGTAACAAGCAATTCCGCTCATACCGCCAAGACTTCGCGTGAAAATTCTCTAGATAAAATTGTAATAGGGATATTTTTAATCGCCTGCTTCAGACCACCTCTTAAGTACCATGAGAAACGTTAAAATAAAAAAAGTTAAGTCTTTTTTGCCACAAACAATTAATTTACTAACCCGTTTGAAGCTGGTAATTCTTCAGTAAGCGAAGATGAAAATTTATACAAATAATGTAAGATAAAATTGTATATCTATATTTTTTATTAATAAATATAGGTTAATTAAACATTAAAACCTTTGTTATTTGTTAATATTGTTTAGAATCGATATAGACCAAACAATAATTTTGGCCGCGTAAATCGTTTAAATACCCCTATGTGCGGCGTTCATGAGAAAATAATCAAAATCTTAAATTTTTTATATATATTCAGTGATAATTCTTTAACACGTTGTTAAATTTCTATAATTTTTTGTTAGAAATGTTATACCTAAGGGTTAGTTCCATATACACCCGGTCAAGATCTGATTATAAGATTTATTATAAAACCAGCAAACTCACTTTGCTATGGTATCGACACAATTTTGGAGTCGATTTTTTTTAACTTATATGATACGTAGAACGATACTGATCTGTATTACAATATTTTGTATCTAACTAAAACTAAAACCGTTTCAGTTTAGTTAGTGAATCTGGATGTCCGTATAGAACTGTTAACATTCGTGATACTATAAACAGTCCACATTTTATAGAGGAGTGTGACAATTTTGATGGTTTATGTCGTGGCATGACTACTCAGCCTCCAAGATCATCCGACATGTTTATGGTACCTGAAGTAAGAAAATAATAATTTAATATTTATATAGAATAATTTACAAATCATCTTTAAATTTTCATATATGTAAGAACATATAAAAACAGTCAATTTAATGAATGTCCAATAGAGATTGGCGATACATTTTACTAATATTTAGGCATTCTCTTATTTAGATATATGTTTTTCTATCGATTTTCTTATTGTTTTCTAGAAAGATATTACCAATTACATAATTTATAAATGATTAAAGAAAACATTATTTAAATTTTACTGATGTCAGTAACTATGCAAGGTGTGATTTAACAATCAAATCATAACCCTACTTTTTTATTTTAAGGATTTACAGGTGTAACTATTTAGAAAAAAATTCTGTGAAAGCACAAATGACAATGTAATTGTAATTTTAATTTTATTTCATTTGAAGGTAATCAAGGTTTATCCAAGAAAATTTTGAACATGAAAATATTTTTTAATAAATAGATATTTTGTGTTTCTCTTAACAATGATTGAAGCAACATGAAATTAACTAAGTTTAAAAAACTACGTATGACGTATTGTTGTGGGATGGCGTGGCTTTTACAAATTTGAGGTATTAGCTGATCGAAAACAGAGCACAAAAATAAAATTTTAATTTGCACATGGACAATTATATTCCACACCACAATAAGAATTTTTCAATTCTCAAATCTGATGTTTAAAGAAGATACTGTATTGTAATGTTGTTCACAATTGTTGTTTTTCATATTTTCACTGTATTTTATGTATTTTTATGTGTTTTATGAATTTTTATGTATTTTTATGTATTTTTATGTATTTTTATGTATTTTTATGTATTTTTATGTATTTTTATGTATTTTTATGTATTTTTATGTATTTTTATGTATTTTTATGTATTTTTATGTATTTTTATGTATTTTTATGTATATTTATGTATTTTTATGTATTTTTATGTATTTTTTTGTATTTTTATGTATTTTTATGTATTTTTATGTATTTTTATGTATTTTTATGTATTTTTGAATTCAGTCTGATAAAATTTTGGTATCTATGTATAAATATTTTGATTTGATGAAAAACTTTTATTTATTTATTTATTTATCATAGTCTTTGGTTTCTAGATGTCCAAATTTATATTCTTAACAGTTGCTCCTGTCGGTTCTGATTTAAAAGCCATCGATATCCAAAGAGCAAGAGAGCATGGATTGGGTACTTACAATGATATGAGAGAATTTTGTGGCCTAAGAAGAGCAAGACACTTTCATCACTTTCTCGATGTTATTGACGAAGACGTAAGTTTACTTTTGTTTTTGTTCGTATTGCTGTTTGTTAAAAACAAACTTATTAAAGATATTGTTGAAAGAGGAAGATACAATTTGTCATACAAATAATGTTTGAAATTTATATAAGTTTACTATTTTAAATCCTATATCTCTATAAATAAATTTTACCATATAAGGTGTATTATGATTGATTATCCTCTTTTAGCAACTTTTTTATCGATGCTTCTGCTTCTTTTTTATCGTGGTATTATCATCATGTCATTTTCCATTCTTATGACGTGCTACTAAAATTTTAAATGTTTATTTTCCAATTTATTGATTTATGTTTAATACAATTTTCTTATTTCCAACGTAACTTCCGTATCTTATTAAAGAAAAATATATAATAGATGGCCTTTTTGTGCGCTCTTTAATAGTAACAGTAATGAATAGAACTAACTTTCTTTTTTTTTATCTGATCTTTTTCTATCGATATGTATTTTGGCTTAATTTTTGTCATTCCCAAACGCAAAACAATATTTTTCAGGAGAACAAAAAATGCATTATTTTATAGCTTTTGAAATTTAAAGAAAAAACATAATTACTCTAATCTGGCTTCTGTTTTTAAATAAAAAATGTAGTAGGTAAGCATATTTTATATTTTTAGTCTGGGTGATTAGAATCCATTTTTTTCCAAAAATTGTACGTGTTTTTTTAACATTATAATTTTTTACAAATTAATCTCCACATATTTATGAGTTAATCCCCAGGGTAGCCATTCTTAAATAATGTTACGCAGCACCTTGCAGTAGCATGCAGCTGTTATAAGTTGCAGTCGTCATAAGTAAAGGTACAAGTAAAAGAAGAAGGGGGAATATTCGAGAAATGTCATTCTACGTCAACAAAAATCTGGACAGTTCGAGAAGGTTAAAGCAATCTATATAAGTCGATGATCCTGGTCAGTTTTTAGTTTTATGACGTTATAGTTTAGACGTTATACGATAATAGGTCTGTTCGAGTTCTTTAAAAATACATTGGGAACTATCAGAGGACTAGTTGACCAGTGGACAGTTTAATAGTTGTATGCGACGAATAATTTGGAATTGAACTGTTCCACTGGTTCTCGGATGGTTTGCATCGAGTTTTAAAGAAACTCGAACAAACCTATAGTTATCAGTTAATAGTTATTGTGAAAGTTGAGTTAAAATAAATTGAGATTACAAAAACCTGCGTAATATAAGTGACAGCGGTGGGATATAAAATAAAAGTTACCTAAGTATGGTAAATACTAGACAAACTGCCCACGAAACAGATATGGATACTTCAGGCCTACCAGCATGGAAGAGGAGCGAGTGAGGCGAAAAGAGGAAAAGAAAAAACGTAAGTATGGAAGTATTCAAGAGATTTGATAATAGCTAAAAGTTCTTTCCTTGTGACACAATAATTCTTCTCAGCTTTTCTTAAGATCCTACTAAAATATGCAATTACTTTCTCTTCCCTTGTGGTCCTGAAAATTACCGGGTTTTTATTAAAAGAAACTAAAAGGAATTACGCTTAATTTTTCAGTTTTCTTTGGCAGAAGTACAGCTTTAATGTTTGGTAAAACACCACCTTAAGCAATTGTAACTTTCGAAAGCAGTTTATTCAATTATTCGTCGTTCCTTATGGTCAATTGCAAATGCCTGGGGATAGTACGAGTCTTCTTATTATCTCTAGCGGCGTTACCAGCCAATTCTAGAACTTCAGCAGTCAAATATTTCATTATGACTGCTAAATATACAGGTGCACCAGCTCCTACTCTTTCTGCATAATCACGGGACTTTGCCTTTTCCTTTACACCTTTATTACGTCCAGACATTATTATTATTTTTACTTCGTACAACAAACATGATACCCAATCTACTGTTAAACGAAATGCTTTCAGTATTATTTTAATCCTTTACAATTAAGATAAGTATAATTTCAAGCTCGAGAGAATTAATTTTACTGCGAGACTTAATTTTACTGCGAGACTATTAGGTTGTATGATCAGAAGGGTCCAATCACTAAGAAAGTAATTGCGTATTTTAGTAAGACCTTAGGATAGGCTAAGAAGAATTATTGCGTCACAAGAAAAGAACTTTTAGCTATTGTCAAAGCCCTTAACCACTTCCATACGTACGATTATAATAGAAGTTTTATCATTAGAAGTGACCGTAGCTAATGAATTTTAAAAAAACCTGAAGGACAAGTTGTTAGATGGATAGAAAGACTGCAACAATATAACTTTAAGATAGAGCATCAAAGGGGACGTCTCCTTAGCAACGCAGACATTCTTTTCAGGCGACCCTGTTTAGAACGATAATGCCGGTACTGTAAAAGGCTTAAAAAACAAGAGAAGCTGGTTGAAGAAGTTAGTCTTTAGGCGATCACTTTCAAACCAAAGGAAGACAAAAACGGAATTACCCTTAAAAGCCTAAGAAAGGTTCAAAAGAAAGACAATGACTTAAAGGTTATCCGAGAATGGCTCACAAAATGGAGTCAAACCTATACAAGAGATAGTCAAATATAGTAGAACCATTAAAGGGTACTGGACTCAGTGGGATTCCCTGTATCTCCACGATATTCCAAAAACCTGCGTAATATTGGTAACAGAGGTGGGATTTAAAATAAAAGTTTCCCAAGCATGGTAAATACTAGATCCACTGCACACGAAACAGATATGGATACTTCAGGCCCACCAGCATGGTTTTTAAAGATTGAAGAGGAGAGAAAATAGTTATTTTCTCTTTATCTCGATACACGATTTCTATCTTATTCTTCCATCAAACTTGCTACTCCCTCGGCTTCAAAAATATACATGGTGTTTTAAAAAGGTATATCATAAATTCTTCCTCAGATAGATTATCAAAAAAATGAGTGAATTTGACTATATTTATCTATATCAAAAAAATGACTCCCAACAAAGTTCCAAGATGTTAAACTAATATTTAGAAAAACTTTTTTTTTTCCGAAAAAAGTTTGCTGTTGCGATTTTTTTTTAATTTTTCCCAGTGCTGTAGATTTAAAAAATGTTAGGCGTTGGGTATCATTTAACCCTTCGAATTTTTTTTAATATAAAGAAACTTGCTTTATCGATCTTAAAATCAAAAAGAACTATGATTTTTTTATAGCCAAATGAACTGTATCTCTCTTAGTTAACAATTCATTTAAAATGTTTTAAGAAAATGTCTAAAGTAATTAGAAAATAATCGATAATTCGGTTATTTTTTTGGAAAATAGATTTATCGTAGAATCGGCTTCTTAATTGGTTATTTTTGATTAAGCGATTATTTTCGGTATTTCAAAGATAATCGAATTATCGATTTTAAAGGAAATACAATAAAAATAAATTATTCATAATAATCGATTGATCGAAAATAATCGATTATTTAAAAGAATCGATCATTCGGTTTTTTTGAAAATCTATTTCAGTTAATCGACTTTTTAATTAATCGATTATTTTTGATTAATCGATTATTTTCGATTTTTTAAAGATTATCGTATAATCTGTTTCAATGGACGAAAAAAATTGATTATTTAAAAATAATGGATTATTTAAGATAAACGATAATTCTTTTATTATTTTTTGTAAAAACTGATTTATCGGTTGATTGGCTTTTTAATAATCGATTATTTTTTATTTTTAAAAGATAATGAAGTAGTCGATTTTAAAGGAAATACGACAAAAAAAATAGATTGTTTGAAAATAATCGATACATCAAAAATAATCGATTATTTTCAATGATCGATAATTTATTTCGATAATCACCCACCCCTAGCGACCAAATGACTTTTAATAGGTTTAAATTTTAAAATGTTATCTGGTTTTAGACATATGCATTTCTGGAGTATTATGAAAATCATCATCTATATTAATTAATATTCCTATAGAAACAGGCTGAGGTTACAATACAAAACAGCATTTTCTCATTTTGACTAATTTTAAATATTATATAATAGCCGTAGAAAAAATATAATGTTCAACTCAAAAGGTTTGATTTGCAGTATTCGCCTGGGCACATGCTTTTTTTATAATACTCGTAGACAATGAGTACCATTTCTTGCTCTATTAACAATATTCTATTTTAACATTTTACTGTAGTCTCTTGCTGAAAAGTCCATAGTAAATAAAGCTAACGAAACATTCAATAAAAGGTCTTCTCTTTACATAAAATGTCGTGGTATCTGTTTGATATTAAAAAATCACGTTAATTTTATTTCATAATACAAAATTTCATTAAACATTATGATGCTAATAAACAAAGTCCAGTCCCTGTCACAGAGTTCGGGTCTCTGCCCAGTTCCCCCACTCCGTTAACCTTTCTTTAGAAATTGGCAACATTTGCGCAGTTTAAACACCGGTGTATGTTATATTTCTGGTTTATTTTGTCTAAGCTATAGCCAGACTTAGAAGAATGAATTTTAGAAAAAATACTATAACAACCAAATAGCGTTCACATGAGGTGTCAAAACACTGCGACCTAAAATATATATTGTGCCCCCTTCTGTCACTAATGCAGCAAGCAAATATCTCGATGCTCATAACAACCCGTCCAATCCCATCTTCGTAAGGAAGTGTAGGATTTGAAGTGACTTCAAGTTAGATATGCTTCTAGGTATAGTGGCTCTTGTAAAGAGGTTTCATTTTCCTCCTCACAGAATCTGCTTTCAGTATCTTCTAAACCTCTCTATTACACTAAGGTGTCCTTTGAGTCGGCAACGCCCGGTAAGGATCCCTCTTACACTGCGTAGCCTGTTTTTACTCAGGCAGATACAGGCATCCGATCTTTTCTGGTTTTATTCACCCAGAAATATCTTAGTCTATCTTAGTCCCAAGAGATTCTTTCAATTATCTATTATTCTACTGCCTAATTCTTTTTTATCTCTCATAATATGGTTTTTTTGATGATATCGCAGAATTATCTGCAATCTCGTTACCCATTACCATGTTATATCCCGGGACTTAAATTAGAGTAACTTTATTTTCCTCGGCGAGCTCATTCAATTTTTCTAGGCATCTCCAAACTGTACCTAAAAATGTTTTTGTTTTCGCTGTTGCTAGGTACACGCTAAAGTGTACACAAATCAAAAAATTATATACACGCGAAACGTCATATTGCTGTGGTGGGAGGTGTTTGTATGAATGCGTCCTGTTTATTTTCATTTACGCCGTGACTAGCAGTAGTATTTTATAAACCTTACAAGAAAATTTCACATAACTGAACAAATAATAATGCAGTGACAACAAGAAAACGAAACAACGACTCCTCGTAGGGTGGCGGCATTAACACCAACGGCCTGCACACAGTTCACCTACTCTGACAAGACGTTTTGCGTGTATATAACTTTTTGAATTGCGTACAAGTTAGCGTGCACCTAGACACTGTGTTTTGTTTTTCAGCGAGTCGAATTACTGCGAACATTTTATGAACATCCTGATGATGTAGACCTTCCCGTTGGTGGAAGCATGGAAAGAAAAGTAGATGGCGCACTTGCTGGGCCAACGACCTTATGCATCATGGAGAAGCAGTTTAAAAGAACAAGGAAAAGTGATAGATTTTGGTTTGAAAATGAAAAATGTGGTTTATCTTATGAGCAACTGAGAGAAATTCGGAAATCAAGTATTTCTAAATTTATCTGCGATAATGGAAATAATATCACTACGATGCAGATACATGGATTTTTGCAACTCTCATACAAGTAAAAATTTTAATTTTAAATATTTATTAAGCGGTTTTAGCATAAATTCAAAAGTTAACTATTATAACCTTTCCAAATTACAATTTTGAAGTTTTATAAAAGCTGAAAAAAATATAGAAACCAAAATAATATTATATCTGATTTTCCGTAAAGAAAATATTTTTTTAAATCACTACTTGATTTTGTTGTTTTTTATTAAGGGCTATTTGATACAGTCTTTATCTTTTATGAAGCCACTCATTTACCTAGAATTGTTTATGTTGTCTATCTGGTAACTACAATAATAATAGAAGTACTAATTAAGCCGCCATTTTTGCAGTTTTTAAAATGCTCTAATCTTTTAACCCTTTCAATACTCCGGGGATATATACGTCCCAAAGAAAGTTTGAAAAAATCGGTATAGAATTAGAAAGCTTTAAATTATATTGGGACGGGATTTACTAGTTGTTTATGGTTCAGACTATCCACTGCGCAGGTTGGTTGTCACATTCAATGTTTACATTGTCTTTATTCAAATATTATTGTTGCACGTGTCGCATCGTAGTGGCTATCGTCCGACTAATTACTTGTTTATTTGTGCTTTTGGGCAGTGTTTTAACTATTTTCATGGATATAATACCCAGGTAAGTGATTCTATTCTCTTTTTTATAATAAAACTTATTTTTCTGCATGTTTTTGCAGAAAAATATTGCTTGGGATTTATATATCCCTGCAGTGCTGGGAGTTGGGATATATTTATCCCCGCAGTGCTGATTGTCCGCAGTGCTGATTGTCCGCAGTGCTGATTGTCCGCAGTGCTGATTGTCCGCAGTGCTGATTTGTATCATTTGTTTCAGAATGAGTAGTAGGCGTCCGCTCTCTGAAAAGCAACTATCAGGGATTGCTGAAAGGATGTTTGTGGATGAATCAGATAGTGAAGAAGATCCTTTTCACGACAGTGATGATAGTGACGATGAGTATTATGGAGATGGTTCTGAAAATTCATCAGATTATTCACATGATGAAGATTCTGGTTCTGAGGAAAGTGAAACTGATTCTGAAGAAAATAATATGGAATCTGAAAGAACTGAACAAAATAATATGGAATCTGAAACAACTGAACAAAATACTATGGAATCTGAAATAACTGAAGGGACCAATAATCAAGAGAAGGAAGATACTACTAAAATTCCTTCTTCATCTGTAGGCAAGTATATTTGGAACAAGAATCTTCTTACTTTTTCACCCAAACGAAACATAGAAGAAAACCCGGTGATTATTGCTAATCTAAATAGAGGGTCAACTATGCTTGAATGTTTTTACCAGTTGTTCCCAAAAAGTCTAATCACGCAGATTAGTTATTATACTAATTTGCGTCTTGATATATTGGAAAAAACGAAGAAAAAGCCAATCAAAAAAACCTCAGCAGGAGAAATTAAAATAATTTTAGGGTGTTCACTAATCATGTCGTATAATCGTGTACCAGCTATTCACATGTACTGGTCTAGAAATAAGTCGCTGGGAAATCCAGCCATAATAGAGGCCATTTCTAGAGACAGATTTATGCTGTTATTATCAAAACTATACCTAAACTATCCGGAGAAACCAGAAAATGCATCAAAAATTTACTATATGGAAGAAGTTCTATCCTGCTTGAAGCACACCTTTATAAAAACTAGAACAGACTCCACATTTCAGGCAATAGATGAATCTATGACCAAATTCAAGGGGAGGTCCTCACTAAAACAATATCTTCCATTGAAGCCGATCAAAAGAGGTATAAAATTGTGGACAAGGTGTGACTCGAAAACTGGTTATGTTTATGACACAAATATCTATTGCGGAAAAGATAATGAAGTCTCTGAAGGAACTCTAGGTGAGCGAGTTGTGCTAAAGTTGGCGGAAACTATAAGAAATCCTAATGTGGCAATATGCTTTGATCGCTTTTTCTGTTCGACAATACTCTTAGATTCAATCGGATATTCTGCAGTGGGAACCTATATATCCAGTCGAAAAAATACTCCCAAATTAGAATCTAAACTGGTTGAGAGAGGAGCCTGTGAAATGGCTGGGTGTAAAGAAGGCATACTAGCAATAAAATGGAAGGATACTAAGGACGTGTTACGTGTTGGTAATGAGTAACTGTCACATGCCTATAATCGAAAAAACAAAACGAAAAATGAAAGATGGCACTTCAAAAGAATTGGAATGCCCAGAGGCCATTATTTTTTATAATAAACATATGGGCGGCGTAGATCACGCTGATCAGATGTCTACATTATACGAATTAAACCGAAGAAGTACTAAATGGTGGAAGAAAGTCTTTCCGATTGCTAATGGTTGCCCTATGTAATGCTCACATGGTCTATCAAGAGCTAACTAAAAAAAGATTCCATTTATTGACTTCGTGGTAAATGTGGCTGAAGGCCTTATTAGTGAAGGAAGGTCTCAAACAGATAACAAACGATCGAGAAGACAGGGTAGAACATCAAAGAGGGTAAAACATTGCGAAAACATTGGTGATCATCTTCCTATTGATAAAGGTGGTCGAAATAGGTGTATTCGTTGTAAGTCCAGAAAAATTAAAAAAAGAACCAAAATAATATGCAAGAAATGTCAAGTACCTTCATGTGTTAATTGTTTCACTCCATACCATACATAGATTTATGAAATAAATATTTCCTGGATAAGTTTATTTTTTATTTTACCGCGTCAACACTGCGGGGATATATATATCCCACGTTTCTATACTGCAGGGATATATACGTCCCAAGTTTTTTTCTAAAAAACGGCTTGAAGAAAAAATTTCAAATTGATTGAGCATTCTATTTATTGCTATAGTAACTGGTTTTCATCATAAAAATACCTAAAACACAAATAGCCAAAAGTCGTATTGAAAGGGTTAACTGACCATGATACATCTGGGTTCGTCCACTAGGACTGACCAAAGGAGGGATGATAGTACTCCTCACTGGGGATACCCCTGACTGCTTTAGCTATCAGTGTAGCTTCGCCTAGAGATGATGCAATTACCCTTTCTTCTAGGCTAACTTTTATCCACTGACATAGGACTACTGGTACCCCTTTCATTGCTAGTGCAATAGTAAGATTTATTGTTTGGGCAGTATTAAAAGCCCCCTGAATAACTACGAAAGTTGTTACTGCCATTTCATGGCACCTTAACGATCATAGACCAGCTGTTCAGGACCAGTCGCGGTCTGGTTGGATGACTGAACTCGTAGAGCTCAAGATCCATCTAAGCGGTAAAAAGTACGAGTTGAAAAATGGAAAGAAACAGGCATAATAAGCCGCCGTGGGAACCTCAGAGGTGAAGCATTCAGAATGCAAACTAAGCCTGATTGGGAGAGCCAGGCTGTAATCCGTCTGAATCCATGGAATCTATCAGAACGTCTTAGGGAGCCTAAAAGGGTGAAAAAAGTTGAATTTGACAGGAAAAGATTAAAAATACGTCAGAATATATCTATCTATATTAGGTTCTGTGGCCAAACGATATAGCGTGTATCAATATAACACTCCATTTTAAGCACTTCAAAGGGGTGTGTAATGAAATACCACAGAAATAGAGCCTATTCAAAAAAAAAAAAATAGCGCGTAACGAAATAACGTTTATTAAAATAGCGCCGCGTATCGAAATAACGGTCCAACAAACAAGGGTTTGATTAAAGCAGCTCTATTTTTACTGATTTCCCTAAGCTGGGCGGCCTGCGGGCTGCTTTACAATTTTTTTACACAAAATATTATTGAAACAACTTACTAACTTAACCTCTGCGGCCTGGAGCTACCTGAGAGAGTTTATAAAACCTAACCAATTTATTCAAGCTACACGTTAGCCATAGGAAAATTTAAATGGTTCCAGGCCGCACAGATTAGATAAATAAGTTACATTTTTATTTTTCTCATTTCATAAATATTTTATGAAGCAACCCGGAATGGCTTTAGGCCTTACAGGTTAGATAAATTACTTAGATGTTCTCGTTTTATGTAAAAGCAATTGCGAAGTAATACACGCGGCTCCAGGCCACACAGATGAGGTAAATTATTTAAAAACAGCGCTGTTTAAATGTCTTCCCAGTTCTTGGATAGCTATTTCAAAACACGCTGCTTTTTTTTCTACCATTTCATCTGATTGTGGGTGGAGAGGCGTAGTGCGTGTTTCTTGCCATACTTCGGATTAAAAATGTCATCCTTGATCAGAATGAAATTCCAGAAGGACTCCATCTCTCCTTTGATGTTTGTCCTAAACGCTTCTGCTACTGTGGTTGCCTTCTGATTACGAATAGGCGCTATTTCGGGCCACTTTGGAAAATAGTCCGTAACAATCATCACGTATTTGTTTTTCCTTTCTGTCAAGGGAAGTGGTCCGAGGATAACTATTACGATTCGATCGAAAGGCTCTCTAGAAAGGTACTGTGCCATTTTACTTTGGTTTCTTGTTTCCACATTTCGTCGGCAATTGACCCAATAAAATCTTTCCCGAACTGGCATCCTTTTAGTACCAAAATGTCCCCCTCAAGATGAAGTTCCTTCAAGACAGAACCACTTGTAGTCCATCGGGGTTCTCGTACCTGCCATCGTGAAGGTACAAGAAGTCCCACTAAGTCCAGTATTTTTAAATAGTTCTACTATATCTGGCTATCTCTTGCCAAGTAGGTCTGACTCCATTTTTTGAGCTACTCTCGGACAACCTTCAAGTCATTGTCTTTCTTTTGAGTCTTTATTAGACTTTCAAGGGTAATTCCGTCTTCTTTGTCCTCTGGCTTGATAGTAGTCGCCTAAAGACTTACTTCTTTAACCAGTTCCTCTCGTTCTTTGAGCCATTTACATTACCAGCATTGTCCTACTAAACAGGGTGGTCTGGAAAGAATGTCAGCTACACTATGGAGACGGCCTCTTTATCTCGGAATTATATTGTTACAATTTTTTGTATCCACATAGAAACTTGTTCTTCAGGTTTTTTAAAATGCATCAGCCGCTGCAAGGCGCTATAGTCACTACTGATGATAAAACGGTTGTTAAAAAGGTAAGTATGGAAGTGTTTAAGGGCTCTGACAATAGTTAAAAGTTCTTTACTGGTGAAGCAATAATTCTTCCCAGCTTTTCCCAAGGTTTTACTAAATTGCGCAATTACTTTCTCTTCCTCCTCCTCTTCTTGTGATAGCATGGCATTGCTGTGACGAAAGTTGATTAAATACCTATATAAGCAATTATTTATCCTTCAAATAAGATGAATTGTAAATATTCACTTCTTGTATTGATATCCGTGTTTTCTCAAATTATATGGTTGGCATCGCATCCTATCATGAGTTGGAGGATAGATATAAGACTACTTTACCTACTAATATGCCTGAGAATTTTGCGAAGTTAGGAGAGCTGTAAGTGTAAGAGTTTTACAAAGAGCAGGTATAAGTACCCAATTTATCCCATTGTTGTTGAGTTACATGGCGAGATCTTTTAGTCCTTTCGTTAATAAGTAACAATAAAATTAATTTGGAAATAGACAATCGTTTTTTGTTTCTAAAAGATAAATATGAAAGTGAAAAGATGAAGTGAAATAATTTTATAATTATTGTAAAATATTATGTAATAATATTTTAATTTAAATTACTTTTAATTGTGTATAGTCAATTTAATTTTATTTTCTGATTAGTAAATTATTTCACGTTCCGTAGATAACAAACCTTATGAACATTAATGTATTTTTTGGTAATTTATTTCTAATTTACTTTTAGGAATCCTCGTGTATCATGTGAGTTGCTGGCTGGACCAAATTTAGAATTATGGAGAGAAGGATATCGTAAACGTTATGTATACAACAACTAAGCTAAACATGTCACTATTAAAGATATTATTATACTTATAAATAAAAATAGTGATTTATTTGAAAATGACCTACCCTTAAACTAAACTAAATAATTATACTGAAAGCCGACTGGTCTAATTTTTCAAGCTATATAGAGAAGATAGTGTTGATAAACTATATGAAGGTCTAACTTCGCTTCTTGCTGAAGCAACTCTTGCTCACATAGTTTAAACGTCACAATACAGTTCCTTGGTGGACACCACAATGTGCAGAAGTCATTGAAGAAAATAAACAAGCTCTCTACAAATTGAAAAAAAATAGAAACGAACAAAATTTGGTTTAAGAGACTTAGAGCAAAATCAAGATCAAAATCATAATTAGTTAAGAGAATTAAAAAGAAATACTGGCAAAAGTATGTCTCTACAATTAATTCAGATACCCCAACATCACAAATTATGGAATAAAATAAGAAAAATTAAGGAGTCATCGATTACTCACAAAATTAAAAAATTAAATTGTAATGACAAAATCATAACGAAGTTTTTGCAGCAGAGTTCTTAAGATCATCAAGTGAAGAACACTACGACCCATTATTCAGAGAACACATATGGGATAATACTAAATTAAATTTTAGTTATAAGAAGTTTGGGGCAATTACTAGAGGTTATTTGAATTTAATAGATACATTATAATTCCTTTACCATAATTTTAGTTATGGTTTTAAAAAATCTGATTTAATATTGATTTATTTATTGTAAGAAAAATATTATTATTAATAATATATCAATATGATTATGACTGATATTAATAATTGATGATTATGATTAATGATTATGATTGATGATTATGATTCATGATTGAGAATGATGATCAAGATTGATGATTAAGTTTGATGTTTATGATTGATGATTATGATTAATAATTATAATTGATAATTATGATTGATGAATATAATTGATGATTATGATTGATGATTATGACTGATGATAATGATTGATGATTATGATTGATAATTATGATTGATAATTATGACTGACGATTATGATTGATGATTATGATTGATGATTATGACTGATGATTATGATTGATGATTATGATTGATAATTATGACTAGTGATATGACTGATGATTATGATTGATGATTATGATTGATGATTATGATTGATGATTATGATTGATGATTATGATTGATGATTATGATTGATGATTATGATTGATGATTATGATTAATGATTTATGATTGATGATTATAATTGATGATTATTATTGATGATTATGATTGCCTATATGTGACTCAGGCACAGTTTATGGCCAAAGAATCAGTTCGCTCACTCTGCGTCGGCACATTTGATCTCAATGTTCCAGTTTATACACTGCGCAACTCGGGTTTGTATCCCTGGCGCATACAGAATCAATTCATAACCAATACAATATATGACAACCGCCTATATTCAAACAGCATTCTTCTGCGCATCCTGAATTTGTATCCCTGGGGTGGATATTATTTTGGAACATCCAATTGGTCCGAGTGAGCGAACTGATTCTGTTAAGCTATAAACTGTGACTCAGGTTTGTTTGAAGTCACTATGGCCTACTAGATATAAGCTTTTTGTACAAATTTTTCATATTTATTTTGTCCTTACTACAAAATGACGTTTCAGCCTTATAAATGCAACAAATGTGATTTTGAAGAAACAAATTTTACAATAATTATTATTAGAACAAATAAAAGAAACCCTCTTTATTATAAACTTTTTGTTTAGATATCTAGTTACTGTCTACATTTTAAACGCAACTATTTTGCCAGGGTAATACATCAGTATTTATGAAATAATCAGCAAAATAGTCGCGAATAATATTTGCTGACCCTGCGGTATTCGCAACTGTATTTCTAACATTATTGTCGTAAAGTCCTTCGAAATATAAGGTATCTTCATGTCTGTATCCATCTCGTCTGCGTACAAAATTGTGAAGCACAGTACATGCTTTAATTTGAATAATTTGTTGGTTTTTATGACATATTTCTGTCCTGATAGCACATTTTCTGACATAGTCTCATATACTTCCAACATGCCTCTATGAATATAACGACTAACATAAGCGTTAAAAACACTATGTGCGCAGTGTTGTTTACATTGTAAGTTTATTGAACATAGTTTTATGTTTTTCGACTAACTTTTATTGTGAGTTTAAAAATATAACTTTCATAATACCTCCGAGGTACTGCGTTTTACCTGTCAACTGATTATATTGTATATTGATATTTAAACAACATACCTGTCATCATTAGAAATATCTACATTTTGAGCTATTTCGAGTAGAAAATAATATTCCTGGAACATCTCATCATTATATGATTCCGAGTTGCTGAATGTATATCTCAGGAGTAATAGGTATATCACCCGCTACTATGTCACTGGTATTCTAAAAATAGGCATTATAGTTTAATAAAATTCTAGTACTGAAAAATGTTGTCCATAAATATACATGTACGATAAAAAAAGTCTCTGAAGGATAGGATGCCTGCTGATAATTTTCCTTTTCTTTATTATCATGTTGATATTTTTGTTTGAATAATAAGGCACTGAATTTTTCAGAACCACGACTTTCTTTGGTTTGACTAAAAAAAAATATATTTTACCTACCATTTATCATTTTATTTAAAAAACTATTACCTTGAACTTCCACAAATATTTGTATTAAATGGTTTAAGAGGTTCCAAATTTAAACAAGATACAGCACCTGGTTTCACACTTCTCTTTTCATCTACATATAAAATCAGCCTCAGTAAAGTGTGCACTACACACTACATTATGGGTACTACGTTTTTCTATGTCACTATTTCTTCCTAAAGCTCTCATCCAACTCAGGTACCTATTGCTTGTCAACCTAGGGTACAAAAATAATGTTATGGAAAATCCATGTGTAACTTAGGGGGTTATGATTGACAACCTGTGTTATTTTTGACATGTCTTATTTTATAAACACACAGAAATAACAACATATATACAAATAACGTGACTGTTAAAAATAACACTATTTGTCCATCATAACCCTGATAGGTTAGAACGTTGTAGAGTAAAGGTGCGTTTAGTCAGCCTAATTTTGTTTCAAGCATTAAAATAAACTAACATAAATTTAAGGATTTTAAAACAAAACCGTTTATACATAAAATATACTCATAATTAACAAATGATTAAAAATGGAAAAGACATAATATTATGGTATCTGTTAACTAGCTCACAATTATTATTAATAAAAAGATGTGGAAACAGAGTTTTAGATGTTCGAAAGTTAATAAAAATGCTTAAACTAAATAAAGCTGACTAATCGCACCTTTTAAAACTCACGAACATATAGCTGGACTAGTTTTGCAAAAAATATTGCACGATTCGCAAAATATATTTTTATATAGGAAATAAATATGATAAATAGAATTGAACTCACGGATATAATGGCGGTTTATTATTTACAAAACAAAACCATACATTTCTGTACCATTTTAAAACTTTGTGTCCTCAGATGTTGGGTTAAATAAACCTGAAATCAGTACTGTAGGATATCCACACATGCACAACTTTCGAATAATTTTGAATCCAGGAAAGTTCAACACAGCAGAAACAACTAAACCAAACTAAATAAACTAAAAGCACAATAATTTTCACTAAACACTCAGCTGGTGCTTTGGGCTAAAGTTATCTCTGTTCATGCCGACCAGCGTCATGGCTACCATGCAAGTCATACGCAAGCGCACGAACCTTAGAGTACAGTCCTTTCAAAATAAATATACTCCATTCGACGCTGCATGGAGGGCATCAAATTTTCTCGCCCATGTATTGTTTTCTAGCGTTCCAGTAACAGTTCAGTGGAGAACTACGAAAAGCCTTTCCAACTTTTGTCCCTGCTATCGTAAAGGCGCTACCAATGAAGTGGAGAGAGGTAGAATGATAACTATCAATAAAAAAGTATAGATACTATGCACAATTTCGTTTTGCACATTTTGTAAACAAGATTTAAGAATATTTTATACAACAATTATGTAAACTGAGAGTAGTAGAGGATAGTGAGTGCAGATTCTGTGAGGCACTATGTCTTGGAGGATATCAAATAGAAGAGGGAGATTTACCTAACTTGAAGCCACTTCAAATCCTACACTTTCTTGAGAAAATAGGACTGGAAGGGTCGTTATAGGCATTAAGACATGTCCTTAGTGCATTGGCGACAGAAGGGGGGCACAATAGATCTTTTATGTCGCAATATATTAACACCCCATTCTCAACATAACATAACATACAACAATTATAAAATAGTGCATCGGAAAATAATTATCAGGTATAATTTATGAATAAATCGAAATCAAAGAACAAAAAATGACAATAAAGAACCGATACCAAAAAAGCTAACAACAGCCACAACACAAACAAAGCTGAACATAATAGCTGAACAAAGCCAAGCCTGGAATTTGTTTACTGTGTTTTGGGGTAACCTCTCTTTGTCATTTACGTGAGTAAGATTGGAAGATCAAATCATGTATAATTTCTACACTCGTCATGGATGCGCGGACGGTACCTTATCATTCTACCCTCTCTACTTCTTTGGTCGCTACATAAATGGATGAGATATGCACCAATGATGTATGTTTTTTTTTTTGGCTTGGGCACGTGCCATTCAACCAGTCGCGGAATATATTATATAAGTTTAAATTGCATTATCACTCTAAATATATAACAGAAGATAAGGCAAGCAAGGAATAAACAAAGGAAAACATTTCTTCTTGTCTAGGGGCCGTCAAGACATTTTTTTTTACACACAAAACTAGGCCACGGAAAGGTAGGTATATAACAATTGTTAGAACATAGGTTGCAAGACTAATATTAATTACAAACATACTTTACTTTCATACACAAATTTTATCAAGAGGTCGTAAATTTTTGTTTGATTAAGTGAAAGGAGATGGCAAATGTTAAATGGAGGAAATACATTATTTTTAATTAGATCTTGTATCAGATCTTGAGATTGTTGGGTATAGTTTGCACAACTAAAGAAAATATGATTTAGATCGCCTTTCTCTTGACACATAGTACATATCTCCGAATCTATAACATGGATTTTGAATAAATGTGCTGGATAACATGCATGTATGTTGTATTACCTAAGTGATAAAAATTACAGTTTTTTATATATTGATTTGGGTGCTGTCAGAATTTGTTCAAATTTGTATGTTACATTTTAGGTCATTATAGACAACTTTCTTATAGAACTCAAGTTTGCAGCTCTACAGGGTGAATTGTTAGAAAGAGTCAAAAGTAGTGCAGAAAAAATATTGTCACTCTTAAGTTATTCATGTTTTTTCCATGAAACTTATGGCATGTGTTACATTTGTAAATAATTTGTTAATGCTTACTT